GGAATGATAATGTTTTCTGAAGAGATCATGTTTTTGTAGAGAGAGAGGTGTTGGGGGGGGGGGGGGGATGTTATGATGACAAATGCTTTACTCAGCTTGTTCAATTCTTCATGGTTTTGAAAGTCAATTTGACATCACTTACAAGCGGAAGGGGAGATGAAATTATTTTCCTTGCAAGTAGTTTCCCCTGATTCTCAAAACGCAGTTCTTGCCAGTGAAGTTAAAGATCAGGGAAAAGTGATGTATATATTTTTGGACTTGAATTGCATTTATTAAAGCAGGATAATTCTGTGGCGATTAAATAAGTGGCATAGTGCCCCCAATTTAATTATTATAAAAATAAAATTAAAAGAGTAGAGAGTAAAAAAACAACTGATATGACGAATGCCCTCACCCCCCTCCCGACACCAGTTTCCTCTTGATGGCTTGACCAACTTAACTCTAATAGCAAGCCATATCAAAAAATCATTTCTATCAATGTAAAATAAAGGTTTTCTTTCTAAATTTTCATTTAGAGTTTCCAATGGCAATTTAGATGTTCAATTAGAAGATGATTAATCCCTTATAAGAATTCATGGGAAACGTCTTACTCTGAATTGAAAAAAAGCATTTCATGTTTTCGCAAAGTATCAATTACATGTGAAAGTCTAATTATTCAGAGTAGCCCGTGCCCTTTGGAAGTAGCTCCTCGGGACTACTTAATCTTCTGGGCATAAAACATTTGAATTTGGTGCAATTTACGGGGAAAACGTAATGTCAAGTTCCTTATCTTACATTCATGTATTGAAGTGACTTTTACTGTAAAAATGCACAAGGGATTTTACAATGATAAAGACTGGGATCGAGTAGCACAATGCCCTATGTAACTTCAAATTTTGTAATTTCTAAGCTATGAATTTCTTGATCAAAAGATCTTTATGTAGGAAACAAATTTGAAAGCCTTTTTTGGGGGAATTTGAAGATTTTCCAAGAAATTGTTATTCTCTGCTACATTTTCAAGAGTTTTAGAAGAGCATCTAATTTCAAAATAGGATCAAATTTCATTCAGCTCTGCCCGCGTACCCTGCGGAAGCAATTCTCAAAAGTGAAGGCAGTTTTGCAATCTTTTCAAATTACCTGGAAGTAAGGAAATCTATGGATTATACATACTTTATAGAAAATATAATGGATATAAATCTATTTTAACAGTCCAAAATCACAAACAAGATGCAGGCTATGCTAATAAATGATAAAGTCATATTTCCCTTCTTCAAATCAGACCATAGATGTGAAAAAGCTGCATGTATAAATATTATACCAGCTGAGGACATTGGATGTCAATGGATGACGCATCCAAATTAGTGCTGGCATAACAACATTCATTTAATTTCTCAGTGTGAAAAGTTTTAATTTTTGTTACTGATTGTAATACCCATAATCGTTGAAGTTAAGTCAATGAATTTGGGGAACAAAATTTAAGATAAAGAAGTTGTATGAAAGACTTTATATTAAAGTCAGGAATGGTATGTTGAATTTTGGTGGATAATTTGATAAACTGAAATAACATTTGAAGCAGAAAATTTAGTTTTGAGCATAGTTCCATGTCACAAAAAGCATCTAGAGGTATTGGATTTTCCTTTCAAATAGAGTAGAGTCTGAAGAGTTTGAGGTTTCATGGGCTTGGGTAACGGGAGATGCTCTTTTCTTCTCGTAAAAAATTCAGTGTTTTCCTTTTTATCTCTCTGTCAGCTTATATTTTTAGATATGGATGCAGCAATATTTTCTTAGTAGACTTGGAAAGACTTGAGCATCTACTGTACCATGTAACAAGAGATGTTGAATTTCATTCTTCATTTTGATAAAGAGCTTTCTGAATTAATTATTTTGGATAAAGCTTATTTGGGAAATATGATTCCCCATTAATGGTCTTATTTATAAGCTTCTTGACAGTACTTTATGTCTATATTCGGGCACAAATGTTATTTATATATATTTTTAAAAATAGCTTTCCAAGAAATAATGTCTACAAAAAGTGTCTGTGGCTGTTGTGAGTTGTGCAGGTTATGGATATGCAATAAAACCAGCTCTATCTGATGCAATTATCCATTTCCAGGCTTAAATAACTCCATGACAACCATTATAACATCATATAGATTAATCTTGCAAAACAACCAGTTTATAAATCTTGAGGACTTTGGTGTATCTTTCCCGTGATAGATACAATATGGCACAGGGAGATTGTTTTTGTGGCATATAAAGAGTTAATGTGAAGTTTTTGTTTTTAAGGGTGTAAGTAACTTCAAAACGCTCATGATCACTGAGTATTCCAGGGGTTACCTTTAAAATTGTTTTATATGTCCGTCTACTCTAAATTAAACTAAATTGAGAGAGCTGCTTAATGATGCAACGTCCACCAAACAAAGATGCTTATCTCTTTATTATAAATTCAGTCGAGATGCAAAGATAACATGTCCGATGACATCGATACCCTACATGAATATGTAAAGATGACAACGAGGGGGAAAAATATGTCAACAACTTCTTCCGATCAAAGCCGTGGAGAATTCTTCGAGTAAATGATACCCATTGTGCCATAGGTGAATTTCATTTTCAACTCAAGAGCCAGAATGGTAATGGTAATTCTGTGTTGAAGCATATGAGTTATAGGCTTTCTTGCTCCGAACGGACAATTTTTATTCTAAGTGGATTTACAAGCAACATTGTATGAAATGATTTGTATTTTGGGGGAATGTAGCTTGCATTGCACTCTGCAATTGAGTGATGGATATGTAAGTGGCAATAAAGTTATAGTCCTTCCATTATGTACCAGACATCCACATCATGTCTGTTGTATCTACAGATGTGCACTTTTGTTTGGGACACACATAGTCTAGTCTTTAGTTCTGATGATTGAAAAAATGAAAAAGTCACATAAATCACTCAGAATAATGTTAAACATTATAAATTTGATCTGCCTCTCTCCAAGTATTTATAGAGATGAAGTATAAAACAAAAAATGTTCAGGTAGTTAGATTTATTAGGCTGAATAGTGAGAAGAACTTGTAGTCCCATATGTTCATATCTTTGTTAGATAGTTTTAGTTTGAATGATAATGTGTTTTTAGGAAGATTTAGATGCTATTGTTTATGTTTTCCAGTCCAAAAAACACATTCACAAATCAGAATGAATTTTCTTTTTATTATTATTATTATTATTATTATTATTTATTATTCTATTTTTTTTTATTTGAATTATTTCCCAACGACATCTAATTTTAACCTTAACTCTGGTGTTTGTACCTTTAACTATACAATCTTTTAAAATACCCAGCTGCATAACCTTCAAACAAGGACAGTGGATGCATGGTCATAATTAATTCAATGCTTATGCTGTGTAGATGACCATCTCTACAATTACATCACCATACAAATGAATTTAACAAGTTTGTATTGTGCGATGTTTGCGATAATACAGCCCCGAATAGTGCTGTTTTTCGTGGACGACCAACGATGCCATGTAGAAGAGAAAACAATGCTTTAAGAAGCTATCGGTAGAATGCGCCATACGAAGACCAAATGCCAGAAAGCATGGCATTAGCATGTCTAACAGTTGTTTTCACTGGGTAATGAGATCAAAGACAGATCTGCCCCCCAGGCCGGCTAGGGGAGCGCAGGGCTGGCTGGCTGCAGATGAGTCGAGCTCAGGAGTGAGGGGCCTCTAAAGAGCTCAAACAGTGGGATGTATTGTGTGAGAGGGAATGGGGGGGGGGGGGGCGGGGGGGGGGGGGGGGGGGACAGATGGGAAGGGTAGGGCCAATGTGTGAGGGGGAAACATAATATTGTGAGATGAGATATCACTGGAAAGTTCTGTTTACATTCCATTTCCTCCTGTTTCATTTTTATTTTTTAATTTACGTCATGGCTTGTCACAAGCTCTCCCTCTTCTCCCTCTCCTATTTCTATTATGGGGGTATTATCATTTCATTGGTTTTTCACTCTTTTATATTCGTTCATTTATATGTAAACAAAGCATTTCCATGATCACACCATGCTACAAAACTGTCAATATATAACATTTTTAAAGCTATAGCTTTCACAGTTAAATCACTGCTTTTTCTAATATTTTTTCTTCAATCGCCATTTTTGTCAATCCCTGCAACCTCCTCATTTTTTCAATGAATGTGCAAATCAATACTAGCCTTCCCTTCGCTGTTTATTCTTGTCTCTCTGCCTTTCACATTCACATCACTGTGTATCTCTTTATAGATTGAAATTATGCATTGAAGGATACAAGTGCATCCCTCTCATTAATATTGTTTATTCTAAAATCAATATCCGTTTATATTGAAAACACATTATGTGCTATATTTGTACTCAGTATTATGAATATCACAAGTTGTTGGACATTCATGTAATTTGTCTGAGGGTAATCTTAATACAATATTTAATAATAACATTGCAGTTTTGACATTTGTGTATAATAATATGTAGTCCTTTGGGGTTCATATATGCCCCATTATAAGCCTGTTCCAACTGTACTTCATAAACTGTATTTGGTCTTACCCAAACCATTGAGTTTTAAATGATTTGCTATGTTTTATATCTAACTTTGATTTTCTTTTACTTTCTCTTTATTTATCTTTCTCTGTCTTGTTTCTTTCTCTATTGCCCTGTCTCCATTTCTTCTCTCTTTTTTCTTTTCTTCTTTGTCTCTTCATCTCTCTCTCTCTACTTTCTCTATTCCCCCCTCTCTCTCTCTCTCTCCCTCTCCCTTCTCTCTCTCTCCCTCTCCCTTCTTTCTCTCTCCCTCTCCCACTCTCTGTCTCTTTTTCTCTTCTCTGTATTTCTTTCTTTTCTCTCTATCTTTCTCTCTCTTTCTCAATCCATCTCTCTGTATCACTCCTAAACTCTCTCTTTCCAACTCCGTCATTCTGTATCTCTCTCTCTTACCCTCTTTCCTTCTTATTCCTCATCTGTTGTTCTCCCCTTCCCTTTCCTTTCCTGTCCCATTCGTCTTGGTAGGGTTTCTCAACGGTCTGGACACGCTGAGATTCTCCCGGGGTCACATGGACGAGTACTTGACGGTTCCTCCGGTGGGATGCAAGGACGACGACAACATCAGGTAATCCTCCCAGTAGGCCTGTCCTCATCAGCTCCAGATTCCAAATATCCCGCTATTTGAATTATCCCCATCGCACATTATCCAGTTAATTTGCGTCTTCATCAGCCCGAAGCTCCAATTAGCGGGATATTTGGTCGAGATGATCATCCCAAGATATCTTGGGCTAGTTTGCAAAATGTCCCACTATTGGTCCGGTGCGTGTTTACCAGCCCGAAGACTCACTATGCGCGATTGCTGAGCAAAATATCTCGAGCTAATTTCTTGAGCTCGAGTTTCAAGTTTCGAGGTCAAGTCTCGAGCTGATGAGGATGCAATTTGTAACTTTGGGGTTATTTCTCAAATCAGAAATAGCGGGCTATTTGGCAATCTCGAGCTGATGAAGACAGGCCTAATGACTCATGGGATATGTATACCAACCCCCAAGCGAGGCCCTCCTTCAATATAGCCCTCATTGCCAAGCATTTGATGGAAAGCTTTTTTGACCTATTACTCAACGTGATAGAAATGTAACGCTGTGACCTTTGCGTCATGTGACAATTACCACGATATATTTCGCTGTTATTCTTCCCAAAGACTTCTAATTGAAGAAAACAAATTGAATGACATCCTTTGTGTACCTTAAGGAAATGACCCAATCCTTCAATACCCTCTTTAACAAATCCATGTGTAAACTGCCTGGAGAGGGCCCTTGTGACCAATTTGCGTTTAAAAATAACATCTTACTCTTTAAACTTACACTATTTAGCCTACTTATGGGGTTATGGAGAATGATGGAGTGCCTGCATTTGTTTAATAAAGAGTACAAAGTTCCTTTTATTTTCAATTAGTTTACAAGAAGTTTAGACCCAAAGAAGTATTTTCATGCCTTTTTAACAGCCATTATGTTTACAAGTGGATTTTGATAATCCTGTGATATAATTGATTGTTTTTACACTGTTCTATACATGTATAGTTTACACACTTGTTTTTCAAAAAATGTAAAATAGCTGAGAGAAAAAACTATGATGGTTGGACATCAATATCTAGAAATCCCTCCTAGATACATTTATTTTTCTCTTACATGTTCAATGCATTCAATTCTCACTACAGCAACTATGGTATTTGGCCATAAAGGGGAAGCTAGGCCATGGGTATATTTAGCAAAGGCACTTCCAGTACAAATACAATGGGTCAAAAACTGGAAAGTCCGATAGAAATTATAGTTTCGGAACAAATAAACTATAGGTAAAAGATTATGATGGTGCCTATATACCGGTAGATCTCATCAAATCATCGAGGGAGTTCTTAAAGCCTGAAAAATAGTTAAGTAAAATAAGGAATTAGTTGACACTGCTGTACATTCTCTATGGGAGCCGGAAGAAACCTTGTCTTATCGTCTTCCCCAGTATCGTATATGCATATGTGCTGGCCTGTGCAGTTTGGGAGGAAGGTCGCCATCTACTGTCGAACATCCTATTTGCCATAGGGTCAGTTTATTTATGCTCTCTAACTATGTAATTTGTCAAGACTTTCTAAAGATTGTGATTTGATGCTGCTGAATTGATGCGGATAATGATACACATTTCTTTAACATTTTTTTTAATGTTTTTTTTAATAATTTTGTTGTCATAGTGAGGTGTCGTACGATACGGGAGCAGTGGCTCAGTATGCAAGGTCTCTATGGAGAGCAGAACTCATCTTGAAAAAGTAAGCCTTCTTTTTTTCGTGTTTGAGTGAAAGAATAACCCATGTCAAACAAACTTCGAACAAATAACATGAAATTAACAAAGTGAAAATGATGACATGAAATACAAACTGTTTGTGGTACAGAGATATCTTGAACTGACCAAGTTGCTTACTGTAAACCTGGAACCTTTTGCAGGCAGGCATTAAATATTTGTGAATTTCACAAGTGGCTCATAATTTGCACAAGTTGAATTCCGCAACATGATTTAATCCTTCTGACATAATTCAAATTGAAAACACAAAAAGATATCAGAAGTTGTTGCCACTATTCATGAACCTTTGAAAGACAGCCTCTTATTAGACCTCTCCTACACTCTTTTCCATTTTTGTTTGGAGGGGGATGGAAAGATGGCATTTTATTTGAGGTTTGGTAATGATGGCAAACCCTAAATTTGCTGTTTGGCTGTATGGTTGTGGCATTCTATAGAGTGATGTGCGGTATAATGTTTCCAAGTCTCTGGCATTTGGTTACAGTGGTTCCAAGAAGCTCACAGACATCGCTCTAAGCTTGAGCTACAGACCGTCCTACATTCATTTTTATTTAAATCATTGGCTATGAGAATCGGTGACTCCTGTAGCTAGCCTATGAGAATTAGAGAAATCGGTAGTTAAGAAGTTAAATGGAAGAAACAAAGATTGTGCCTGTGTTTAAAAGCAATGATTAATTGCTTTACTCATCCATAGATGAAATTATTCAGATATTCAACTACAATTTTAAGGTTCCTAGACAAAATTTAAAAACTAAAGGTCACATCCGGAATGCGTAGAGGTTAACTGTTATTTATTTCCTTAATATCTGAATGAAATATCTGAATGACAGGTCCTGTTTAATACAATTAGCCTTTACTCCTCAATACATGAAATTATTCAGATATTCAACTACAATTTTTGGGTTCCGGCCTAGAAATTTTTTTAAAAATAAAGGTCACATCCGGAATGCGTAGGGGTTAACTGTTATTTATTTCCTTAATATCTGAATGAAATATCTGAATGACAGGTCCTGTTTAATACAATTAGCCTTTACTCCTCAATACATGAAATTATTCAGAAGTTCAACTACAATTCTCAGGTTCCTAGACAAAATATAGTGGCACTTAATGTCACATCTGGAAGGCAGGGGGTTAACTGTTATTTATTTCATTGCATCCATCTGAATGAAAGGTCCTGTGTAATACAATTTAGCCTAATCACGGCAGTATTATGTATACATTCTCAGTCTAATGTTATGTAGGGTATGAACATGGAGAATAATAATCATTATGTACAATGATAAACATCATATCTCTATCAGATATATATTGAAAGGGAGATAGCGAGGGGTATTAACTACATTTAAATCATTAATATTTTGTCTGTTCCTTCACTCTATAAAATGAGTATTTTGAGCAATCATAACTTTTAATTTCAGGCTCAGCTTTTTGTGCCACGTGGTATTGCAAAATTGCCTTGACTTTTTAATATTGTATTGTGACTCCAGAAATAAACACTCTTTCATTTTGTAAAGGTGGAGAGTGGAAACTAGTGAATTTCTTTCGTAAAGGAATAAACACAACTTGATTATCAGTAAGGAACATCTGTTTTTTCAGACCTCTATAATAAAGTTGTCAATGCCAGAGGCTTACCCCCCCCCCCCCACTTTTTCAATTATATCTTAAACATCTTTCCATGAAACTCGTTAAAAGCAGGGTGTCATGTTTAGTGTGCCTCTCGGGATGAACAAATGCAATCAATTTGAGGACTTGCGTTGGATAATGTTACTTCAGAAATACATGAAGGTGCTTAAATTTGACAAAGGAAAGTGTTTTATTCATTTTCATTTGTATTATAATAATAATAATGTGTATGGGGATATACATTTTATTTGCGTTTCTGGATCTTGTTTCTTTCGTCAATATCTCACTTTATCTCCCTTTGTGTGTTTTCCTTTCTTGATTATGCTCAGGCCATTCCCCTCTCTTACTATATGTTTCATCTTTTTGCTGTCTCTGTATGCAGAAAGTCTTACCAGTAATCAATTCAAGGGCAGTTTCGATACTTTATTTCATTGCCTGCAGAAATTATGGATGGATTATGTAATTTGGTAATGTTATGCTTCTCATATTTCAAACATCAATGCACAAGGCTCTTGAAATTGCCTTAGGTATATTTTTCTAAACTATTTGCGTGCATGTTATATGATATTTGTATCTGCCCTTGTTTGTTGCTTTCTATCCTGTTATTTTCAATTCTTTCTCATAATAATCTCTCTCTCTCTCTTTCTCTCTTTCTCTTTCTATCTCTCTCTCTCTCTTTCTCTCTTTCTCTTTCTCTCTCTCTCTCTCTCTCTCTCTACCTCTCTCTCTCTCTTATTCATTTTATTACTTTTCCATTTCTGATTTCCATCTGAATCCATTCTCCATATGCACAATATCTTTGTCACTATCCCAATCTCTGGTTAATCCTGTCTTTCACACTGTCTCTGTCTTTCCCTCACTTTTTACTTCTCCCTTTTTTATCTCCACATGTCTCTGAAATATGTCTCACACCTCATCTCCTTTTTGTCTCTCATTTTCTCTCTATCTCTCTCCTCTCTCTCCTCTCTACCTATCTTTTGGTGTCTCATCTTCTCCTCTATTGTGTGACTCTCATCCATTGTGTCTTCTTCTTCCCTCATCCAGGTGGAATGGTAGCTATGTATCCTGGGGCCAGCCCTGCAGGATTCGCCATCTCACATCTGGTAAGTCGATCTCACATCACTGTTACAAAAGAAGAAAAAAACAACATTGATCTTTGTTTTTCTTTGTATAGGTAGTCTTGTGCATTTGGTTTGATTGTTTTGTCAGGAAGCAACCAACAAGGGGAATGATGGCTTTCAAATCCTCTCTGAGGAACTCGGTAATGAGGATTAATTCCTTACCAAATCATACAGTTTTTTTTTTTTTTTTTTTTTTTTTTTTTTTGGGGGGGGGGGGGGTTCAAATCTGCAAAACATTTGGTGTTGCTAACATAATTGAATATTACCTTATTTTATGCAATATTTCTATGTAGCTATCACTCGTATGCAAAGTCAGTATGAAGTCAGACCAAGTTCAAGTTCAAGTTCGTTTATTTATTTCATTTCCATAAAAAACACAGCAAATGCAAATAAACATACAAGTATAAATACATACAAGGAATGGTCAGTTATTACAATAGTTTAAAATGAAATTGGAGAACATAGGAAAGGCCCATGGTGGCTTTGTATAAAAAGTTCCCCGAATATTATAATTTATATTATTTATATTATTGAGCATATATGAGTTCGAGATATCACAAAATATAGCGATAAACACAAAATACAGCAATAAATACAATATAAAGACAAAAAACTACAAACATATGTATGAAATAATCTAAAATTGGAGGCGGGGGGGGGGGGGGCAAAAAGGTTTGGAAGGTAATTTTAACGGTACTCAGAATAAAAGGTCTGTTTCATTTTTGTTTTAAATATTGAACTGTTTTTATAAAAGCGGAGGACTTGAGGAAGAGTGTTCCATATGTTTGGCAAAGTATTTCTTACTGATTTTTTAGAAAATGAACTTTTTACTTTCCATAAATGAAACGTGTTACAAAGCCGAGTATTGTGAGTATGAATTTGGTTATTGATCGAAAATATGGAGACCAATGGGACTTGTAGCAAGAAAGTTTTCATAAAAAACATTTTACATGTATATTTCTTCAAATTTGAATGAGTGCTAAGTCCTTTACAAGATGAAGGTTCTATCTGTGCCTTGTCTGTGTGGTATATCACTAGTGATACGACCTTGATGATTTCATTCCAAATTATTACTGTTATAGAGATATAGAGAGAGATGATATAATCAGACTTGGCAGATAGCAATGTTAGACGACAATCTCTAGAATGTAAGAAGACATTCACCAGATCGATACATGTAGGCTTTGTTCAAACATGAAATGCAGGAGCTAAAGAGTTTTCATCCAAGATGTTGTACATGTATATTTCTTCAAATCTGATTGGGGGTTTAGTTCCTTTCCAAGATGAAGGTCCTATCAGTGCTTAGACTGTCTGGTATATCAGTAATAATATGACCTTGATGATCTCATTCCAAGACATTAGCGTAAGAGAGAGATGACGGAATCAGAGTTAGCAGATAACAATGTTAGAAGACATTCTCCAGATCAATATATGAAGGCCTTGTTTACACATGATGTTCTAGAGCTAGAGAGTTTTCATAAAAATGTTGTGCATGTAGAGGTGTCATAGTGGTTTAATCACTGACTTGAAATGGAAAGGTCTTGGGTTTAATTTCCTCTGGCAAGGCATTACTCTACATATGCCACTCCAACCCAGGAAAGAAACGGAGACCTGGGGGGTGTTTCATAAAGAGTTCGTAAAGTTACACATGACTTTACGAACGACTTGTATATGAAGTGCCAGATAGGATGCCCAAAGTTTTTTCTGATATTTCCAATAACCTCAATTAAATTATGTCAAAAAATATACTTTGCATTAAAAATGGTTGTTATAATAAGAATGTTAAAATACATCTGCACAGTTCAACTTAATAAATAATAATCAATAATGATTGAGCATCCCATGTGGCTTTTCATATACAAGTCGTTCGTAAAGTCATGCGTAACTTTACGAACAGCTTTATGAAACACCCCCCTGGTAGGATGACAAAAGCCTTTGAAATAGACATAGCCATATGCCCTTACAGTGACCACATGGTAGGAATACTCCCCAGGGAGTGGAGATGGTGCATATTGTGAATGAAAGAATCCGATGACCAGGTTAATGATATTTGGAAAGCGCTTAGACAGAGAAGGCATCTATCCAGATTATTATTATTTCTTCATGTCCTTTCCAAGGTGAATGTTATATCTGTGTGGTATTGGTGTAGTGGTATGACCTTAATGATTTCATACCAAGTTATCAGCATTAAAGAGAGAGAGAGAGAGATGATGGAATCAGAATTAGCAGATAACAGTGTTAGAAAACAATCTTTGGAATGTTGGAAGACATTCTCCGGATCAATTCACATATTGGATTCGTTCACACACAATGTGCTGGGGCTAGAGGTTTTCATCCATAACATTGTACATGTATATTTCTTCATGTCTGAAAGGGTATAAGTCCTTTCCAAGTTGAAGGTTATATCTATACTTAGTCTTTGTGGTATATGATATGACCTTGATGATCTCATTCCAAGACATTAGTGTAAGAGACAGATAGAGAGAGATGATGGAATCAGAGTTAGCAGATAACAATGTTAGAAGCCATTCTCCAGATCTCCTTTGGTCATGTTCACACATTGCATGGTAAACTGTTTTGAATCCCGGTCCCTGTAATATAAAAAGTTATGATTAATTATAGCTCCCGCAATTACTTACATTGCCTTTAAGTCTATAAAAACCTTTCAATGAATAGTAACTTATTATATATATATACCGTGGTATTACGGTTTAAATTCTGGACCTTTTGTAGTAAAAAATCATGATTAATTGTACTTATCTTGCCTTTAGTCAATCAAAACCTCACAATAAATAGTAATTAATGGTAGACAGAGTGAACTCATATACTTTCACACAGAGTTAATGCCCTTCTGGCTCTCAAAAGTTGATATTTCATTTAAATAGTAATTTGTGATAAATGTTATGTTCTTTACATATAATACTATTAAGTAATTTCATCTGTTTGTTGTAAAATTCAAAAAGGTTAAGTGCACCAAGCTTTATGTCATATTTTCCTGCAGTGTTAATCGAAATTGTTTGCCGTATGTGAACAAGGATTATAAAGTGAGAGGGAAATGGGAAAGTGATCAAATCTTTCCTGATGCAATGTGAAGAAATGCCAGATTGAATTGCCAAAACACATTACAAAGGTTCTGGAGAAGGACGAGTTCAAATATCGGAAGGGATTGGGGATTATGAGTATTATATATAAAATCAGCTATCTATGGAATGAAACATCTTGCGTCACCATCATTAGTTTGTATAGATTTTATTAAACCAGTACTTGATGACTGTCAATAAGATACATAGCCATGAAGAGCAAAAAGATCAAACATCCATATGTCAAAGAAATGAAAAGGTAAAATCCAAATGTAAATTACCATTGTATGATACAAATTAACCTGTGAATATCTTATTCAGAGACATCACTGTATACTACATACATGTATCTAAGTTTTAAAATGATAATTTGGTTCAAGTAATAGGTTTATCACATGCATTACCGGTAGGTATTTATTTATGCTTTAATTGAATCCCTCAGTGAAATATTGAAATAGAAAAAGCTGTGAGGGAAGCAATTTTGATACAAGTACTACAAGTACTACTTGTATTACAATAAGATATCTGCAAAAATGAGGAAACAGAAAATGTCATATATTTATAAGATAAAGTTCAACAATGTACGTATTTAATTAAGCTTGGAGAATGATCAATCAAAAAGACACATAAGTATCTCCATAATTGCATTAATAATCTGGATCTAATCATTCTTGCACATTGAGAAATTATTCATGCCAATGTTCTGTTACATTCTCCTTTGGCGAGGCTTGCAAATTTGGTAACTCATTCTATGCCAGCCATTCTCTGTGCATTGTCCTTTTTGAGTCAATAAATACATCCATGTCGCCTGCATCATCTACTCTTGTCACTCTGACATCCATCCCTATCAAAACACTGAACCAAACGACTAACATTAACAAGAACCAAACTAAAGCTGCTCCGAGCCATGGAATCCAGCCCAAATTACAACCCCGCTGTGCGCCACTGCTGAGAAGTGTAATGGAGGACAAATTCTGTTCTATTTTTAAAAAGCGCAGTAAGCTGGGCTTTAGGCGGGAGATTTTTATGGCAGTGAAGTGTACCAGATTTACACCTGTGCAATGGGGGGAAGAAAAAAACTCTGTTAGTGTGTGTAGAAAAGGTCAATAGTTTATGACACTCTTGTAGTGATATGGCAGAATGGAAGGCAGGTCAAAAGTCATACATATAGTGTATAAACCTTTTCATTTAATTGTCTTTGTTTGGAAGTATTTTCCTTAGTTTGTTACACTGTCCCTTCTCTTTCATTAACATGTATTTTTAAAGATAATGTCAACCTTTTGTAAAATATTTCAAAGAGATGAATGAAGAAACATGTCCTTGAAACTCCAAGAAACAAATACAAATTCATTAATTTTTCATTTCACAACTCTATCTATTTCATTGATTATTCCTTCAGAATAAAATTGTAATTTGTGTAGAATGTAATTAAACCCTCTTTATCACATCATGCTTCTCACAATGTGTTCACATCTAAAGTAGAAAGTTGACACACAGCTGAATGTGTACAATGGTGCATACTACAAAGTGGAAGCATTCAAACTGTAAATGCATCAATGTAATTTTTGTTTTATTGCTGATGGATAGAAACAGAGTCCTGAGTATACTACAAACCAAGCACTTAAGAATTCCATTCCAACTTCAGATAACATAATCTAAGGTAGAAATGATGAGATACAGTTAAGCTGCCATGCAGGTTATTTGCCAGTTTTGAAACATACTACTTTTGAGTAAGTTATCTCAAGTTCTGAATTATTTAGAAAGTGCATTGTATTTATAAGATAGATAGATCCACGACATTGTATTCTTTAGTATTCAAAAGTAGTCTAAGGTCTTATAAATTTGTGGTTGTTCTACATCTAAGTTTAAATGCAAGGTTTGCAATTCTATGCCTATCTTGTTACAATGCGACGTATCAGATCCGTAGGCTATTAAAGACAAAAACAAAAAAGATAAAAAGAATGACGGAACAATTGAAAATGCCCTTTGATCCATCATCCAATGTTTGTTTGTTGAGCAGCCTGTGCTCCAGTTTTCCTTGTATCTCCAATACCACTATCCATTGTAAAAGACATCTCAAGGGGGTGAGATAGGGTCAGCAACCAGTCTTCCTAAGTTTAATGTGTAACACGATCACAAAGGGGTGCAGTAAGTGGCTAGTAGGTGCTGCACATTAGCGACGTATTGATTGACAAGTTTTCACACGCAGTATCACAGCAACGACCGATCTGGTAATCGCCGATGGAGGTGGGCGTCATGTGATATGGGCAGGGCATGGCCGCTAACAGTAATTGATTGTAAGACAATCTGACAGAATTTCGGCAAAAGGGAGCAAGGTAAAGAATGATGGGGTACTTGTAATAGATTCTAGGCTAAAGATAGAGAACAGGAATGATGTTGGGTTGGGACGAAATCTTATGCAACCTGTGTAGAAAGGCTATGTCGAGGAACAGGACAGTGACTGCTGTAGACAGGTGGTCTTTCTAGACAGGTTGTAGAGAAAAAAAGAGAACTGGAGAAAATAAAAAGCTAGTGAGAGGAGGAAAAGGACAAGAAGAGAATGTGATAAGACCTCCAGCAATCTCCCCAATCAATTGTCTTCATTTTATTTCATGTAACCAGTAGGACCAGTGCCTCCCTCTGACCCCTCTTCTCAACCCCTCTCCCAAACCCTCTCCCTGACCCGATGATGCTCATACCCCTGCAATGGCTGGACTAAAGCTTAACCACCGATAATCACTAAACCACTCCTCTACAAAGATGTGGCTATGAAGACAGGCTTTACTATGTAATTTTATGTCCCCCCTTTTTTTCTTTCATTCAGGCAAATATCTGGCTGTTCTTGAGAACGGGAATGTGTGCATCGTACCAAGGAAATCATGCAACCTAGATGACACCATCTTCTGCTTCCAGCAGTCAAGGGTGAGTTCCTTCTCTCTCCAAATCATCTCATCCCTTTCCTCTTGTACATCTATTTTTGTTCAAACATTGACTGAGTATTTCTTCATATCTTTCCTATATTATCTTTATGTATATATTCATAACCACAATGTTGTTTTAAGAGACAGAGGAGAGTAAGATTATTAAGACTAAGAGTTGTATGTAATGGTATTATAATTTTGTTTAATTATTTGGTCATTTAAATTAGATTGTCGGAACATTTACACTAAGAATATAATAATAGATAATTAAATTTTCTTTCCCTCTATTTTCTGTACCTACGACTCAATCTCTTTCCCCTCTCCCTGCATAAATGTCTTTCATAAACCCTTAATGAGACTTTCTTGCTTTACATTAGATAGCTGCGCAAAATATAGTGGCAAAAAAAGACACATCAGGATCGCAAATTGTAATTGTCGAAAATAGTAATATTAGGGCTTTGTGATAGAACCAGATTTTAAGAACACAGGACTAGTATATAGCTCTACAACCTTGATAAGACTCCATATTACCAACAAAGAATGCTGTTTAGATATATGTAAAATTACACATTTTTAATCAACGTTTGACGTTTATGCATTCTGAATGTGTCTTTTCATGCATTTTTTTTCTTTGTAGGAGGATCTTGCCAACTATGACAGCAAGCAGGACCACGGTATGGGCAGTGCAGACATCAAATATGGAGATTCCACCGTCCTTATTCAACACATGAAGACGGGCCATTGGCTCTCCTATCTGGTATGCCATCTAGATATCCATCTTTATGTTTTCAAACTAATGACCTTTGCAAAATGAATTTAGAATATTTATATTACAGCTATATCATCTATTATTGATGTAATCTTTACTTGATACATGTATGCACATATGAATATATATGTATGCTAATTGTATGAGTACATATTCTTTTAGGTGCAATTATGAAGATATATATATAAAAGTAAAATGTGTATTATATTAAATCTGTTCTTAAGGCAGTATTAATATTGCATATTTTAATTTTATTTTATGCAATAACTCTAATTTACTTTTATTACATTTTTAAAAGGTATTTGTTACATTTCACATATGAGTTGTGAATTTTGAACGTCCATTCCAGCTAAAACATGGAAATTTGTTGAAGAAAAATCATGGGACAAGTCACTTCAAGAACAATTACAAATTTCTAAATATGTGATGTTGGATATCAAATTCATGTTTTGATTTTTAGAATGTAAAGTATGACAACGAATACATGTATCTTTGAACATACTCTGCATCTGCATTACATTTTAAAGCGATGATGATGTTTTTTTTTTTTTGTATGACAGGTTGTTGAGAGTGTTGTTGGAGGCAGAGCAGCTGAAAGAAAGGTATGTCAGTCACCCCATACTTTTTTGTTTAAATATTTATAAATCAACACATTTATGTCATAATGATTACGACACCAATTAATGATATACAGTGAAAACTGTCTATAAAGACCACCCAAGGGAAACAAGAAAAGTGTTCTTTATAGGCAGGTGGTCTTTATGTACAGGTTCCTTTAGTACATATTTCAATGAGAAACCATTTTCAAGGGAAGCAAAGACTATGGTCTTTGTAGACGGGAGGTCTTTCTATACAAGTGGTCACTAAAGTGGGTTTGGCTGTAGTATTATTCATGCTATATAATTCCAGGTCCAATTCCAAGGCACCCTTCTCACAGTGTGTTTCCACAAGTAAACTCTAATACAATTGAAGGATAAGATGACTATTCATATTCTTAAGTGCAGTTATTCTTACTTTCGTCACACTAGCACAATCAGAATGCAAACGTTCATAATATTACCTCCATTTTATAGTTAATATAGGTGTGTTAAAAAGCTTTAATTATAAACCACTTCAATAATAAATTTGATCATGAGAGTAGTCTTTAGGAAATGTGTTTGCTTTTTGGTTATGCAACACGTTTTTGTTTCTTTGCAGTGCAGTGTAATGTGTTAATAATGTATTGACTGCTGGAAGCAGGAAGAGTAGTATTATCTCCGTCTCAAAGGATGCAATCCTACACCCTTCCGGCTCTCAGCAAACGATATGTCCATCACCCTTGTATTGGTACCTATTACGATACCAACAAAACAAAAAACAGTTTGCCTGTAGGGATCAGTCGGTATGAGTTATATTCCTTTGTTACCATGACAACAGGTAGTGATGTTGCCCGAGGGTCACATGGATGATGGGTTCTCGGTGGTGAGAGCGAGGGCGGAGGAGTCGAGGTCGGCCGGAATCATCAGGAAGAGCACATTGCTCTTCAATCAGTTTTTTGAGTAAGTATCCACAATCTGCATGGATCTTCTTTTCTTTTTGTAGGATGCAAGTCAATGATCACTTCACTTTGTGTTTGATATTAAAGAGTTTTTCCATATATCTCTCATCCTTCTCTTTCTTTGTACTTGTAAATTTTGATCGCATATTTTGCTTTCTGTCTGCATGTTGTCAGTCCTATTTTCTGTGCCTTGTTTTTTAATCTCTTCAGATGGAACCCATCGAAAATATGAGTACATGTATTTTCTCATCTGATTCTTAGACATTGGAATGTGAATGTAAACCATTCTTTGCATACTTGGTCAGACAGAATATACTAATTTTGATGTATTTTTGTGATGTGGTAAAACAAATAAGAAGATCCTACTGTTAAACATCCCGGAATATTCACATGTGCTCCCCTGAACATATTTTAAAAGAATTTTTAACTCTATAAATGAAAGTGCCAAATGTACTTTGTTTAGTCAGTGCAATCAATGTCCACTATCTGGTTCCTTCCAGTGCTCTTGACTCCCTGAGGGGCGAGAAGGAAGATGACCAGCTGGCCTGGAACACTTTCAACCTCAGCTCTGTGGTCGACATCCTTGAAGACCTCATTGAGTACTTTGGTGAGCCGGAAGAGGACGAAGGTAGGAGATGGCTCATAGCTCTGTAGCATGTTTTGTTATCAAATTGGCAACGCAGTCAACATTTCAGGGAGATTTTGTTTTTCTTCAAAGATTCAATATGATCAGCTTTTCCTCCTCAGATAGGCATTTCCTCTATTTTTTAATTGGCAGAACATTCCACCTATTTAGTTAGACTATTTGCCAAACGTGTGAAATAAAAAGCTTTTGCTATTCGCAACACTAGTACATTTCTTCGCTATTGCATTCTTCCAACTAAATACGAGGTATCGCAAGCAACAAAAATTGTCAATTTACAAGGAATTTTTTTTATTTGATGATTTTTTTTTAATAAGCAGATATTTTGAAAATTTTAAAGTTATCATACATCCTTCTAAAAATACTAAATTTAAAGAACTGCATTCTGTATTGTTGCAAAATGAAAAAAAGATATTCAAATTTTGTGCAGTGATATTTTTATGAGAAAATAAACATATCTGCCAACTGCTGTCTAATAACCGATTCATTTGCCATGTACACTTACATTTGATGTCACAAGTTTTAAATAAGATGCATGGATTCCAAGAAAAGGCATTCTTGAATTTCCTTCTGCAGATCACGAAGAGAAACAGAAGAAGCTAAAAGCCTTGAGGAATCGACAGGATCTGTTCCATGAAGAGGTGAGTGATACCGATGAGCTTTTATGAAAAAAGACAAATATGATCCTTTTTGAGAAATTACTCAAAAATTAGGGAGATGTATGCATGTCTGAAATTGCTTCCAAGCATATGGTATATACTTTTCATTGACATTATTTAAACCAAAAGACGTGTATTATTATTATTATTTTTTTATTTTTGGGGGGGGGTTTGTTTCACATAGTGTTTCTTTTCGGATGTCCTCAGCTGTATCAGTATGAAAGCAAAGTCTTTACAAAGTAAACACACAGGAGGCATCAATGACCAAGGTGTATGTGTGTTTGTGTGTGAAAGAGAGAGAGAGAGAGAGAGAGAGAGAAAGAGAGAGAGAGAGAGAGAGCAGAGAGAAAAAAAAGAGAGAAAGAGAGAGGGAGATATATATATATATATATATTCAAAAGGTAACATAAATTTCTATTTTGATAATAATTCATATCATCAAACAGTATAAAAAAATAGGAAACATCTACATTCTACATTTATGTTTCTCATAATTGACTTAATGATTGCCTTTTCTTTCCTCTTCAGGGTATGGTCAAACTGGTGCTGGAAACCATTGACAAGCTGAGCATCTTCAAGAGTGGACGGGACTTTGCTGCAATAGTAGGAGAGGATGCGGGAGACCTCTGGCAAGACATCGTCACCTACCTCTACAAACTCCTCGGTAAGCTACCCTCTCTCCCTTCAATGATACAAGTTTTAAATGGGGGGGGGGGGGGGGGGGGGGGAGGAGGGGGGATTTTATAAAAAAACATAGCCTTTATTTTATAGTTGCACTTAATGTAAATTACTTTGTAGATCTACAAGTATAATGGCGCATTCCAGGGAGTGGAGAAACTGCGGGCAAGCATGAATTTGATGATTTGCTTTATAATTATTATGTATAGAGACATATTAAATGTATTTATATATATATATATATATATGTGGAATATTATTATTTGTAAGTCTTCAATGCAGGACAATTATACTTTGAATACAATATGATTATTTCTGTATAGTTTGGCAAGATGTCGTTCTATACGAGCCCCTCTGTAATCAGTTATTGGCATTATAGACAAAATATCCAAAAGCACATTGTCTAGTTTACACCAGGCCAGATAATGTTCTGATAACTCTTTGGGTGGGTGGACCATCACACTGAAGAGGAGTCGGGAAAAAATATATGTTTTTTGTTGTATTGTAATTTTGCTTCATTTCTGTATTGAATTAAATCACAGCTGCCATGATCAGACATAACCACAACAACTGTGCCTTATTTGCCCAGTCTGTCAGGCTTGACTGGCTCATCAACAGACTGGAGAGTCAACAAGCTTCTAAAGGTCAGTATTAAATAATCGTGTCTGTATTTCAGTACAGTTCTTTCGTGGTCGAGTGGTTTAAGCACTTGACTAGAAATGCAAAGGTCGTGGGTTCGATCCCCGACACGGCACTCATGTCCTTTGGCAAGGCATTAATCTACATTTGCCACTCCATACTCAGGAGAGAAATGGGGACCTGGTAGGAAGACAAAAGGCATTTGTGAGAGTAATTGTCTGATGCCCTCATGATGACCATATGGTAGGAATATTCCCCAGGGCTTGGAGATGGTGCACAATGTGCATGAATGAATCCGATGACCGGGGAAATAATATCTCTAAAGAGCTCAGAGACGGTATTTTGTATATAGCGCTACGTAAATCCAGAATATTGTTATTATTTTATTTACGTCTTCTGTGAGATTATATCTTGCTTAATGCACCGTATTCATACTCGTTTATCTCTCATTGGTATTTGTCTTTCTATCATACTGTTTATCTATGTATTCTCACATAACACTTTGCTTGCTTCTTTCTGTCTTTAGAAAGAATTGTATGCTTAAAGGTAAAGACCAGTTATGGTCATGCGATTGCATTGTGAAAGAAACGTTGTGGAATCGATCAGAAAAGGTTGATCATCTAGCATCTAGCATCTGCAAGGTTCTGGAATTTTTTGAAATTGGGGCGTTTCCAATACTGGTCTTTACCTTTAAATTCAAATTCAAATTCAGTCCATATCATTTCTTACAATTCAAGAATTGTGAAAGAGATGAAAGCAGTCCTTAACACTGAATGCTTGCTGTTTTAGTGCATGTGAAAGATAATATTCGCATGTTGGTCATGGTGTTTTTCTAGGTGTTTTGGAGGTGTAGTGTTGACCAGCATTCTAAATTTTATTAAATCCATTGACTTTGTCTGTTTCTAGGTGTCCTGGAGGTGCTACACTGTGTGCTGCTAGGTAGTCCTGAAGCCCTAAACATCATCAAAGAGAATCACATCAAATCTATGATATCACAGCTTGAGAAGCATGGCAGAGACCCCAAGGTAGAATATCAAATTATATTCCACTAGTTTCATTTTCAGCTTAAATGCAATTTTAACTAGTTTTTATCAGGTTTGCAAAGCTCAGCCATTTTGTTGGTGCCCTTTGGTTAAAGAATTGAGCCCTTATTTATGGTTTTATTTTCTTACATGTCCACTTCACAATATAAACAGTATGTTATCATTGCAGATACTGGGTTCATCATCAAGAACCTTCAAATAAAGTGTAGGGTCCAACAGAGACATATTCATCATGTCCTGTAGTAGAATAATGGGTGATCCAAATTATTCATTGCTAGGCCTGTGGCATCTCATTGAGCAGCTTTCTTTTGCATTTCATGTGATTCTTTAAACCACGAAAGCTTGGCAATGTTGATTTTTTTTTTTTTATAACTTTGAATCAATAATAACAAACATTCATACATGTATTTTATCTCCCCCTTTCTAGGTGCTAGATGTTCTATGCTCATTATGTGTTGGCAATGGTGTAGCAGTACGATCCAACCAAAACCTTATATGTGACAATCTGCTGCCCTCCAGGGACCTTCTTCTTCAGACCGCGGTAGTTGATGAAGTAGTTTGGTAAGTTGTGTCAAAGCTTAAGATTTCTTGCATGACTCTTATTTGATAAAAAAAGCTTAGTAAGATAAATGTAAGAATCTGAAGATTCTGCCAATTTGCCAAGGTCAAGTTTTCATTTTTTGCTTTGAACGTTCAAGTTTAAGCACTTTAATTTTTACTCATATTTTTATTCATAGTTGTTACTCTTCACCTAGTTGCTGAAGCCTATGTTCATATGCATGGAGTAGGGAGAAATTTTGTATATGGCAGCTTTCCTAATGGTTGCCTAAAATTGCTTAAAATTGCTATAAAAGATTGCATAAAACTTGCATATCCCTTGGAAAAGATTGTTTGTAAAATTAAAAGTAATAATCAACGGGCCATCCGCCGTATCTGAATCATATATTCCATTATCAATGTTATTCATATTTCATTTATTTATCACTATTTGTCAATATTACCCAAATTAATACTTTGATCTCATTTGCAACAAATATGTAGCATGCGACCCAACGTGAGCATTAGTGTTGACAAGAACAGCACCGTCTACAAGAAGTGGTACTTCGAGGTAGCCATTGACAAGCAGGAGGCGGGCACATCCCGACCCGTCCACTTCAGAGTAGGGTGGGCCACGACACAGGGGTTCCGCACCTACCTGAGGGGCGGGGAAGGATGGGGAAACTCGGGGGTCGGTGACGACCTTTACTCCTTCGGCTTTGATGGCTTGAACCTGTGGACAGGTGAGGGATGGTTGGTTGGTTAGCTGAGAGAAATGTGGTGGTGTATGAAGACGAAGCTGGAACGTAAAAGACATAATTTCAGAATTTTATAGTTTTATTACAAAGAGGCCATGGTACATTACTCAAGATTTAAGATTCAAGATAATTTATTGTCACGTAAAAAATACATAAAATTTGAAGGTGCCTATACACGTACCTAAATAAATAAATACAAAATAATTACATTTTAACATAACATTTAACAATCATCACAATTTTAAGTAGGTTGCATTAAAAGAATAAGATTATACTGAGGAAAACAGCTAGTAAATACCTCTACAATTGATATGAGGATGAATTAGCTAAAAGTGTCAGACAATTCATATTACACTTTTAGATTGACTGACATTATCAAAAATTATGCCTTTTGTGTTCCAGGTGCATCTCTATGGTCCACCTCATTTTACTAAGCCAGCCCATAGGTTGCAACTGCAGTTAAATGCTGCAGTTACGAAGAAGTGCAGTCAGATCCTGCTCTTATCAGGGATTTTCTTCTTACAAATTATAAAAAGCTGGCCTTTTTTGTCTAAGAAAGATGCACACTGATTGCGGCTTTCTCCTCTGTACAGGTCAGGCCCTGTAACACATAGCTTAGCAATTGATTGTACATCATGGTCAATTGCAAACTACATACAGCAATAAATTGCTAACTTCTACTTGTGTTATGTGGCCCAGGTATAATGATGTCATCCTTCTGATCATGTTATATTGTTTTCATTCCATTTCACGGTGAATTGTATTGTTGTCATTGTGTGGAGTATCTTTATAGAAGTTTATCTTTTTAAACAGTAAATATACCGGTATATGAAATCACTGAACATAAATCATCCACAATACCTACTAGGTGGTGTCAGTAAGGCTGCTCCATGGAGCGGGAACCGTCTCTTGTCCAGGGGTGATATCGTTGGTGTGTGCTTTGACCTCAGTGTGCCTCGCATCCTCTACCATGTCAACGGGAGCCCCATCAAGGCTTCCTTCGAAGGCATCAATCTGGAGGGCATGTTCTTCCCTGTACTTAGCTTCTCTGCTAGGGTTAGGTGAGTGTCTAAATGCTTAATGTACATGTATGTATTAGAAAGCAAGTATGCTCATTGGTTAGCAGCTGGGAGATCCAATTCTAACTTCTATCTGAGGAGTGAGGCATCGAGGCTTCTTTTGAGGATTTCAACCTAGATAATGTTGATTTACCTTGCTCTTAATTTCTCTCCAAGGGTTAGGTGATAATCTAATTGTTATGAAAGCAAGAAAGTATCGATTGGTAATTAAAGTAGCAATGGAAGATAAGCTTAAATTCCCATGAGTGAGACTTCATTTGAATGCATCTCTTGAAGGCATATTTAATTTCACCACAGTGTCTGGGCTAAAATCTATTTAAGTTCCTTCCCTGAGGCACTTCCCCCTCCCCTGTGAGTGTTGACCCCCCCCCCCATCCACCCACCCCACCCCCCAAAAAAAGAAGGCTATGTCAAGAGCATTTTAGTTTAATAGTGGATCCTTAATTTCCTCATCTAAATAATTTAGTATCTATCCCTTAGCCTTAGATTGGAAAGTCAATCTGTATTTTACAAGTTGCCAATACTATGATATCATTGAATTTGTTCTGGCTAATCCATCCAGTGCTCGATTCATCCTCGGAGGCAAGCACGGTCGATTCAAGTACTCGCCTCCCAAGGGTTTCGCTGCGGTGTGCGAGAGTGTTCTCCCCAAGGAGAGACTGAAGATAGAACCCTGCTTTGCCTTGGGTGACGTGACGGAAGGCATCATCCAAGGACCCACTGCCTCCCAGGATCATTCGGCATTCATCCCAGCGCCTGTCGACACCGCCAATGTAAGTCTCAAAACTCAGCACAAATCGTTGGTTGCCCGGCAAAACGTAGCGAAGCGCTACACCACCTTTTGCCGGGAAGTTAAATTGCACGTTCGGGCTTTTTCGTTCCCAGCTGAATGTCGTGTAGAAAATGAAAATTAAATTTGCAAATTAATTTGAAAGCATAATAAATCAGGTAAATATCTTTGTCAAAGAATAAGTTTGGCTACATGGAACATAGAAAAAATGTTGTTTTCAGCACTTGAAGTAGGTATTTAAACTTCAAAAGCTTTTTTCTCGGTTCCACCTTTTTTTACAAGCTTGCACGCTATCCAACTGTAAACTGATGTTGGATGACATTATCATTAGATATGAAAATGCAAACATGTAAAATCTTTACAATGAAGGTTTCCAACGGCAAAAAAAGTTATAAAAATGTAGCATGATTGAGGCCTTTGAGTTGGAGAAAAAGTCTGTATCGGTCTGAAAGCAGACACAGTCTTGAGATTGGACTGACTTCACTAAAATGTGCAGTTCATCTGGCATTTTCTTTAATTTAATTTCTGGCAAAGATAAGACAAACCCAGCAGACCTACAACATACGGTTTAAGTCCTGTCCAAGGGACTTCAGTTGTTGAAGAGTAATCCCTTTGGAATGCACAATTTCATGGACTGTATGCTATAGAAGGCATTCAAAAATCATAATATCTTCTTAATTTGATTTTCAGGTGAATCTTCCTGGTTACATTGAGATGTTGAGGGACAAGCTAGCTGAGAACATCCATGAACTCTGGTGTATGAACAAGATAGAGGCTGGATGGACGTGGGGACCGGTGAGCTTGCAAATATCCAATCCTTTCTAATCTTGATTTTATAGATTAATTACCTGCGCAGGGGTACTTTGGAGAGTTGTAATCACTTTCGCTAACAGGAGAGATAGCTAGTTTGCAGATGTAAATATATCTTTCTACCCATTTAAGATGATTGCATTTCATTTCTCAAGCATTACCAATACGTTTATATTTTAGTTGTCTTTGAGTTAGTCTTTGACACAGAAGTTGAAACCTTTTTCTCGGGGGGGGGGGGGGGGGGGGGGGGGGTGAAGGGTCAAATTGTTTTTTTTGTATTGTTAAAAAAATGCAGAAACAACTGCAATTTATCTTCTATTAGGCCCAAAATATATATTATTATCGACCAAACTTTTAGTTTGTTTGATTTAAGGGTTGATACAAATAATGTTTCTTTGAACATTTTTGGTTGCAATGATTTCATCTAATTTTTTGTTCCAGGTGCGAGATGATTCCAAGAAGGTCCATGACAGTCTGATGTTCTTCTCAAGCCTTTCAGAACAAGAGAAGAACTTTGACATCACCATGGCCTACGAGACCCTGAGGTATTCATTCTTTGCCTTCTTAATATCCGTCTCATTTGTTTCATTCGGTTCTTGTCAAGTACACCTGTTTGAAAAAAGAAAGATAAATCTATTTAGTGGAGTATTCAGAAGCCATCAGTCGCTGAAAAACGTAAAAGAATTGTTTATATTTGTCTTTATTTATGTTGGCTACCTTTTTTAACTTTGTAGATGATGTATATAAAGCCCCACTGTCCTACTTGTAGCTACTTGCTCCCTCTATATAGAAAACTTCCCCGATTGGTGCCTGTTGATCCCCCATGATCCTCTTTTTCTTATGTTAGTTGAGAGCTGAGTTAATGAGATAGCCACCTGTCAGTGACCTCGCTGTGTGGTCTGATCCCTTCTGGCCCAGTAGTATTGACGGTTTTTAATAGATGCTATTAGTTTCAAGTTGGAACATTCATGTGTAAACAGTTTCACCAGTTAATGATGACATTTCTTCTGGTTTCACAGAACACTGATGGCTTTGGGTTATCACATCAGCATCGATGAGGAGACGTCCAAGTCTACACTCAAGAGACTCAGACTTCCAATGAAGTAAGTCCAACTATTCCCTGTATTCATCTTTCAAATTATTGTTTTCCTTCAAAGCATTCTAAAGTAGTATTGCCATAGTTTTTTTTTACAACTTGCTGAAAACTGGTGAAGATGTTTCATGTACTACTTTTTTGCTGTTTTTTCAATTCTTATTGATAAGATAAATTGTACTTCCTTTGGAGGCTCTTGCCATTTTTCCTGTTTGGTATTGAGATTGAATATATTGTCAGTGCTATATTGACTAACCTTATGGCCTGAGGTTCAGGCTCACTCAAAGTTTTATCATGGAAATAGATTAAAGTGCTTGATTGCACACCTTTAATATCCTCTACCATAACGAGGGGAAAGGTTCATCAAACTCTCATGCTCTTATTATGTCTTTCTTTCATCTGTCCATTGCATGGGGAACCTGATTTGATATTAATCACATGTTCAGTCACCCACATTCATGTGCATTATGCTCTTATATCATATGATGTTATCTTTCTTATAGTCACCCAATGTCCAATGGGTACAAGCCAGCCTTATACAATCTCTCCAACATTGAGGAACTTATACCGTAATAGAGAAGTGTACAATAACCCATACACATTTTCTTATGTTGCATAATATCCCTTTTCTGCAGCTACCTGAAGTACAATGGGTACAAGCCAGCCCCATACAACCCTTAGTGTGAGAATCTTATACCATAATGGAGAAGTGTACAATAACCCATATAAATGTTCTTATGTTGCATAATGTCTTTTTTCATGCAGCTACCTGATGTCCAATGGGTACAAGCCAGCCCCGTACAACCTCTCCACCATCCATCTTAACGTTAAGATGGAGAAGCTGGTGGAGCTACTGGCCGAGAATGCCCACAATGTCTGGGCCAAGGACAGGATAGCTCAGGGTTGGACCTATGGCCTCTCAGAGGTAAACCTTGATATTACCTTGATGTTTTTTCTTTCTCTTTGTTTTTAAGGATTTTGTATTATTCAGGTTACAGTGTATATCTTAAAGTAATGCGTTGTATTCTGGGTGACAACAATGCAGTAATTTACTACAGTACATGCTGCCCTACTCAGATCCGACAACGTTGTGATGCATAATATCAATGTGGTAATATGCAATATTTTTTAATTACAGTACTGCCTAGCAGGTAATAACAGAAAACCATTGCCAATTCATCATAACTGGAAGATCATGAAACTGTCACAGGGCTATTGCAGATATACCACTTTCATCAAGATTCTTGATGGATTCCAATCACAATAAATTATCGTAAATTCATGTGGATAATTTCCCTTTTTGATCAATACCGTATCCCCTCATCCCTCACAACAGGAGACGTCTTACAAGCGTAACCCCCAGCTAGTCCCGTACAACCAGCTGAATGACCAAGCTAAGAAGCTCAACCGGGACACTGCCAGCGAGACCATCAGGACCATCCTGGGCTTCGGCTATGCTCTGGAACCACCCGCAAACGAGGGACAATTAGATCCAGCCTTTAGAGGTGAGCAAATTGGCAACCTTATCAAATTGGCAACTGCAAATTGAGAACAACGAAAAGTGACAAGGGGCAAATAGGAAACTGGTAGATTGATGAGACAACTGGGTCTATATCAGTGGGTTTTTCAATTTGAAGAGTAACTGGTGATCACAATCTGTGTAGTACATTGAGAATGAATTGAAATCTTGATATCTAGCATTGTTGAATGCTGGATTTTGATAACTGACTTAAAATCTGAACATTTCTAGACGTTGTGATATCAAACTTCTTTTGTGAATGGTAAAATTCATCTTGATGATACTTAACCCTTACTGTACTGGGCTATTTTGAGCAGCCTCTGACTGGGGGGGGGGGGGGGCCTGGGAGGCCCCCCCCCCTATGATCTCGGCCGTCGATTGTCCGATGAACACGAAAATTTGCATGTTTGTAGATATTTACATAAGGAACAAGATGGTATAAATTTTTTTTCCGAATATGCAAATTTTTGTCGTTAGCCTAATTAATTATGCAAAATGCGCTAATTTTATGCATTTTACAGAAAACGTGTCAAACTCCACTTTTTGAATGTTGAAACTCATTTTTCATATGAAACTTCTTTTCTAACACAAAAAAGTTGTTTTAATGTAATTAATAATGATAATTTATGCAAATTTTGATGCGATTTTTAATTTTTTTTTGATGACATGCGCATACTAATTGTTATGTAACGCCTTACAGGTATATCCGATTTCGACAAAAATGGTATCAAAATGTGCGTAAGACTTGAGGGAAAAAAGTCATGAAACGACAATTCGAAATTCCAAGCGGTTGCGGCGCGATCTCCGAAAATGTGGAGGGGGGGGCCTCCCAGGCCCCCCCCCCAGTACAGTAAGGGTTAATGGTATTTTAGTATCAATTAAACATCTGATGATTTAATAGAGTGGATTTGCGCTTTCTGTAGCAAATGTCCATAGAAACCATTGTATTAATAAAAACTTGCTGTAATTACTAGTGCATTTATTTTATATTTTTTAAAATTGTAAGCCTATTTCTTATTTTGCTGACACAATATAACAAGACATAATTCACTCATGTCTACATGATTACTTGCTGTCATATCATTTGGGACCATAATTATAGCATCACATTACTTTGGTCATAATATTCCTTAAGGTTTGGCAAGGGAGATCTCAGACAAGAAGACGCACACCAGGACATTCAGAGCAGAGAAGAGTTATGCAGTCAAATCAGGAAAGTGGTGAGTGATCAGGGTCTTTCTGAAATTCCTCTGGGACTTTCTGAAATTCCTCTGGGATATGAAAGCTTGGAGATCTTCTGTAACATTTGAAGAAGAAAAAGCTCTTATGGTGCATAAAAGTATAAAAACTTGTAGTGCACATTTATTTTGTAAGACATGTTTTAAAATTATAGTGTCTTTTTTTTTTTTATTGTTCATACTTAACATTATTCTATATACTCAAAGTTATTCTAAATCTTCTTCTTCAATGACGTCCAACTTGTCAATTCATGAAGCCTCTTTGAATTTCAAGAAGAGAGATGAGCCTTTCAATAATGAATATTGACCTTAAAATATTCCTTCCATTTTACCATGACAGCTCTGAGTGGGTAAACTTGTTAAGGACTGACCCTGAGTATACATGTACATGTACTAGAGTTCAAACCTTTGGAAATGAAGGATGAATCTAAAAGTGCTGTTGTTTTAATACTGCTCATCCAATGTTCTCCTTACCTGCGTTATATGATGATGACCTGACTTTTACAGGTACTTTGAGTTTGAAGCAATGACGACTGGGTACATGCGTGTCGGCTGGGGTCGGCCTACCATAGCAGCGCGCTCTGAAGTTGGAACGGATGGCTGCTCATTTACCTTTGACGGTTTCCTGGTGAGAATTGTATAAACTGTGTTATGATAAAAGGTTTTCATAATTTCAACTGTTTTAACATAGAGTGAGAAGAAAAAAATGAATACACATACAATAGTTTAGAATTTGGGTCACGTTTATTCATTCCTATTGCCTTGTTTACATATATTTCTCCCTGTGTTCTATATTGTCTTGGTTTTTTTGTTGTTGAAAAATCAGTAGTGTCTTTAAAATTATTTCAATGTTCTTTTTTAATTGTTAGATTCAAAGAGAACCATCCCTTTTTTTTTTTTCTTTTTTTTTTTTTTTTACCTGTGTGATACTTTCTATGATAATCAGATAGATACTCTGTCTCGATAAACATTCAACATGCTTTTCTCCGAAGGTGCAAGACATCTCAGAGCATTTTCCTGTGATATCATCATTCACACTGTAACATTTTCCCATTCACACCAGGCTAGGAAATGGCACCAGGGGTCAGAGACCTTTGGCAAGACGTGGGGCGATTTGGATGTGATTGGATGTATGCTCAACCTCGTGGACAATACTATCAGTAAGTCAAATATCTGTGCTTTAGAATCTATACATACAGTTTTAGCTTTTCCTATCCTCTCTGTTTTATATCTACAACAACGTTTTGTTAGGGGGAATAGATTTCTTAGACGTCACCTCTTGTCGGAACCGACAATTTTGTGGGTACATTTAGATAGTAGTGTGATCAAGAATAAGTAGATTCGGAGTGAATAAAAATGATAGGGATGAATTTTCATTGATAGTTCAACAAATTGGCATCCATTTGGCCACATATCGGGATCAAGTGGTTTAATAACTGGTGTAACAAAAAGCTGTAGGATAGTATGTTCATATTACTTTTGTTCCTCTCATAGTTTTGCATATTGAGGTTTGATAAATTTGTATATGTCAACAATGAAAATATTGGAACTGGGGGGTGTTTCACAAAGATCCTAAGTTGAACTTATCTCTAAGTTGGACTTAAAAAATATGGAAAGCCATTAGCATCTTTGAAAATATTTTGTAAAAGTTATTTTGAAAGGCATTCATTGTTTATTGAAATCATTCATATTTTCTATCATCAAGGAGATTTCATATTCTGGATGTGGAATTAATAAAAAGTCTAAAATACTTGAATTTCTGCTTTTGAATATATTTCATTTAAAGACTCCAATGGCTGTCCATAATTTTTAAGTCCAACTTAGAGTTAAGTTCTACTTAGGATCTTTGTGAAACACCCCCCTGGATTATGATTCTTCCCCCTACAAGAGAGAATACTCCTTCAAAGTCACACACACGGACAGAGAAAATGATTTCACCTTTTCAATGTTTTCCTTTTCTTTCCGTCAGGTTTCACCATGAATGGAGAGTACCTGTGTGATTCTGTGGGTTCTGAGATGGCCTTCCATGACATTGAGATTGGTGAAGGTCAGTATCATACAAGATATTCAGCATTATACTATTAGACTAGGTCCCTCAGAGAGGACCTAAAGCCGTCGGTCCTCTGGTTGCTTACTAAGAAGCATATATGCTTTCTAAGCAGTCGGGTAAAATAACCACCACCACTCCTACTATCTAATGGATTTTCTGATACATGTATTTCTTCTAGATGTAGAGGGATTGGTATGAATTTTTTCTGCCCTATTTTCACCAATTGATGACAGATTGTTTGATAATAATGAAAAACAATGAAGTGTTGATCATTGTAAAATCTGAATTATTATGATATATTACATGCCATGAAATCTTCATTTGAGTGCAATCTTTAAGGAATGCCTTGAGTGAAGTATACTCTTACGATTATTTTATATTTTTATATAGTCTTATTCTTTGTATTAACATGTAAAGTATATGCCATAGTTCTGCTTTTTTGTTGGCACTTTCCTCTTTTTTTTCTTGAAAAGATTTAAAGCTTTCATTCTGGACCACTTTTAGTCTTACTGCTGTTTCTACCAGATCCATAGAATTTATTTTAAGAAGAAGAATGACTCCCCACCGTCAATATAATTTGATAAATTTGTATTCCCTTGGTTGTATAGGGTTTGTACCTGTGTGCATGCTGGCAGCTGGAGAGAAAGCACAACTACACTTTGGCCAGGTATGTACAGTACATTGTATGCATTGAGACTCTGACAAAACAAAAATGACAATATTCTTTTCTCTTCTGTACTTGTTTCCTCATTTAATCTTTATTTTGTTTTTACATCTTAATTCTTTTCATTGTTAGTACAGTTATCACTTTTATGGATGTATCTACTAAAATGGAATTTATGTATGTAAGCATGATATACTAGTAAAACTTTTGCAAGTTCAGAACTATTTCCCACGAGACGTCATGTTGGGTTTGAAACCAAGGCGATGCACTCGTGCCTTTTGGTAAGGCATTAATCCTCATTACCAGGTCCCTCGGAGAGGACCTAAAGTCATCGGCCGCCTGGTTGCTTACTTACTAGCATTTATGCTTCCTTAGCAATCAGGTAAAATAACCACCACCTGAAACAAATGTGTCATGTCCAACACTGAAATGAAGACTCTAGTAATCCTAGATTTTTAATGCCAGAAATGAATATGCAACATGTATGTAGAGAAATGTAGTACAGTTAAACCTGCTTTTGTGACCACCTGTCCTCAAAGACCACATTTTTTGTTTCCCCTTAAAAATGGTTTCTCATTGAAACATGTACTTAGAAACCTGTCTACAAAGACCACTTTTTGTTTTTCCCTTGGCGGTAGCTATAGACCGGGCTGACTGTATATGTACTTTTGCTGAAAAAAAAAATTTAGCTATAAGTGTTGATGATCAGTTAATTGATTCTTTTAATCTTTCTTTCTCACTAGGATGTGAATGATCTGAAGTACTTCACTGTGTGTGGGCTGCAGGAGGGCTACGAACCATTCTGTGTGTAAGTCTTTATTATTTTGTTCTCAATTCTACTCCAATTATTGCTGCCATGACTCATCTTTGTTTCTTCTTCGTGTATTTTGCCTGATATAATTGGAGATGTGGATTACATTTGGGCACTTTAATGTGAAGGGGGAATAAGTGAATGAGATCCCTCTCAAAAAGTTCAAGTAATCTCTATTAAAATCTTGTTGCAGGGTTCGAAGTGGACAGGTAATTATGAACTGGGTTATGTCTCTATAAAGCTTGTAAGAATTTGTGAAATCGGGAGAGAGTGGGTTAAAATGCCCATTTCCTTGCATGTCTGAAGCATCTTGAAATTCAGTCATGCACCAGGACATTATCTATACCGTATCCATTCAGTACTCGTTCTGTTCATTCTATTCAATCTGTAACATATAAACAATTTATTGATCTCCTTCGACTCTCCTTTCAAACAAAACTAAACAAACATTTTCATCTCTTATTGTTGTCTTCTTCTGTTGGTGTGCCACTAATCTGTTACTATGCTTGATTGAAATTTCAATTGAACTTCTTTATACATGTCATTTGTGAGCCCAGCGCAAATTTTTTGAAGCCATTATGGTACAAAATAGAAATTATATGTGCAACTTTTCTCCCTCATTCTTGATAAAGATATCTTTTGTTACTGCAACTATTTACTATCATTATTTTCACCCCTAGACAAAGAAAGAGGGAGAAAAAAAGACCCCCAAAACACATGCCAATATGAAAGTGGAAATTATTATGGTACTTTTTTAAAAGATAGAAACATCATGTAGACTATCAGTGTACATTTAATTATTCATTAATAATGTGTACACTGTATGTATGGCAAACCTACAATGCTTTATAACTAGAAAATTATACAAATTGTTTGGCTTTCTCAGCTGTCAATACCATGAACAGAAAAACAAAATATTATAAGTGAATGATTCTCAATTGGAAAAAAAACCTCTCCTTCCCCCTGCAATTTGCGTCTTGAGACAATAAATCATTACTTTAATTATTTTTCTAGTGTGATTTTCATGTTGAGAAAATGTGAATGTCTAAGTTCTCTGACGGATTCTTTTTCTCGTTTCTTTTTTTACGTCTCTCTCTCATTTGTTGTCTGCTGTTGTTTATACTGATGCACAGCAATTGTTATCCTCGGTATGTCTCTGTCCATTTTCTGACTCTATTCCTGCTGAAAAGAACTTGAGAAAAAGAAAAAGAAATCATATCGGCTCAGTTTTTTGTTGTTGTTAGCTTCACTGCAGCAATATGTATGCATACATGTAAATGTACATTACTATGTATCTATTTCAAATCTTTTCTGTATTCCATCCTACTTGTAGCTTGTGGTTTCTATATTCGTAAGCCTATTCTATATGTGCATGGCAAAGTAATGTTTCCCTTTTTTGTATCTATTTTCTTTCTTTCAAAGTTAATTTTTTCATCACATATTCCCACAAAACCCTTTGTATAGTTATATGTCAAATAAGAAGTACCAGCAAAGTATCTTTCTTTCCCCAGCACTCCCCCCCCCCTTTTTCTTTTCTTTTTTACAATGTCTCAATGGAGGTATTTCATGCTATTTTCTTTTTTTGTGGTGTTGTTCGTAGAAGTATTTCATTTGAACTTGTTGGAAACATAAATGGGTGGACAGTTATCTAGAATAATTGAATATAGATAATCAAGATTAATTGTAAACATAATCTAAAATATAATTATAAAGTTAGAGGAAATATTCTATGATACCACATTCACAAAGCCCACTGTGACTTTTGGTGTTCTGTAGTACAAGTAGCATCACATTGTTTTGATTTGTAGGTCACATATTTTAGCTTTACAATATATTTTTGCAAGATACTTTTGAATAGTTTGTGAATTCGTCACTAAATGGTCAATTGTTCGCACTGTGAACATGTGCTTCAGATAGATCTAAAGTTTACATCATACAGTTGTATAGAGAGGAACGTGTTTTTGTTTCATTGCTTTTGCACAAATGTTATTGCGGTTTATTTAAAGTTTTATACAAAGCTTGTATATGGAGTGTAGACCCACATGTACATATAATGTGATAGAGTCATACTCGTGTCTAGAAAAATACACCTTAAAAGTCTCATTCTAAATAATCTTGCCTATTGCACATTAGCAGTAAAAGTAGCAAATCTGAAAGTGAGTTTGACTCAGTGTTGGTTTTTGCAATTGGATATTTTGTATTATTGTAACTATTGTTTTTTTTTTAAATAAATATATTGTTTAAGTGATAATGAATGAAAAGTTGGTTGTAAAGTGAAGAGAAAATTGCAGAGTTTATATGTAATTGAGCAGCTGTATCCATGGATGTGGCTTCAAAAACAACCCTGCTACAAAAAAACGAAATTAAAGGACGCAATGATGGCATGAAAATTGGTATTACTTCAGCACACCCAATGAAACAGAATTCTGTTTCAATAAATTGTAATGTGGAGTGCAGTGGTTTAATTGCAGAAAATAAGGGTGGAGGTGTTTAGCTTCTTTGTATTTTAGGATCAGAAATTCTCAAGGTATTTCTGGAACTGTAAAGGTTACTGCAGTTCATAAAAGGGTTTTCAGGCCACAGCAGATTTAATATTCTGTAAAAATTTGCAGTGTCTGATATATCGCAAAGTGAACATTTTGTTTAAAAAGGGATGAAATATAACATTCATCTACAATACTACATATGATTAAGATTGATAGTTATGAACAAGTATTTAATTATTTAATTCATGAATGAGTAACATCAAACTATTTGAAATTTTGAATTAATTATTTTCCCTTGCAAAATATCCTTTGCATGCGTAATTCAATATTTTACAAGTGAAAGATTTTACTAAGTATAAAGGAAAATGAAAAAATCATAAAGTTGCGGATCAGTTATTTAAAATTCTACACATGCACACACATATTGTACACAATTGGACATGTTTGTCATCATGAACCTGGACATTTTTCGCTGACCCTTTGCTGGGGATGTACATGTAGCATAGTCATGTAAATGTACAAACCTGAACAAGTATACCTTTCTTGATATTAATTTGGGGTGGCAGAAGAATGAACTGTTTCACTGTAATTATATTTCATATTTTGTTGTATTTTTAATTATCAGGAACATGAAGAAGTCCATGCCTCTGTGGTACTCTAAGAGCCAGCCCATGTTCCAGTCCATAGAAGATGAGAATGATAGACTGGGAATCACCAGGATACCAGCTGGGTATGTATTTCCTATAAAACTTAAAAAAACAAAGTGTCATACAAAATAGTTCTCCTTGTACAAATACCTTTTCATTTACTTTGTGTATGTAATACTCATAGCCATCATTTCCTTAGTGTAAATTTAATATATATTCATGTATAACTACAGAAATATTGACATCAAGTGGAATGCAGTACATTATCCACTTTGGTTTGAAGAAAAAAAATATCTCGAATGTAGACGTTATGAATTGCATGTTAGAAGAAGAGGGATGGCATATTTCTATATTCCTTGCTAAAAGGGTCTGATGACAGATATAAAGTTGGCCAGCAAAAATTTCAGATCTGATTAGAACATTGGGAATTGTGAATCATCATTGTTTTAATTGCATTTGATTGAAATTCTCCTAGCACCATTGTCATGTCCATTATTTCTCAAGTTGTTTTTAAATAAATCCATGTAGGCTACAGCTCACTCACAGAAATATACAGTGGGGTGCCGAATTCAGATGTAGATGTACTAGAATATGTGATCATTGTTACGTTCTATTAATTTGTACCATTCTCTTTACAGTATTGAAGGTCCACCATGCCTGAAAGTGTCTCACAAGAAGTGTGGTACTGTAGAGAATCTACCCACAGAATACCTGCGTCTCAGTATGCCAGTTGTCTGCAAGGACTTCCCTACCAGGTGAGTTGACCTTGCTTTCTGTGAGATCCATATACTCGTCAACATATTACAAGTAAATCATGATTTAACAAAACTAATAGGACTATGCAAGATGTTTGTGCTTCGTTTCATTAAAGCAGCAATGGAAAAATAAAAATGAAACGTAATTTCCAGCATTTTTTATTTTTTGGGTGACTTTAAATTCTAAATTAGTCAACATGTAACCTGAAATCAACATTTTTCATATGAGTTGTAAAAAGAAAGTGATATCCTTAAATAGTTAAATTAAAGTGTTTTAAGTAGAGAAATTATGCATTAATGCTGTTCTTTCTTTTGTTTTCAACTTGTGCATGTATTTCTCCTCGACTTTAAGACCACTCCTATATCAAACGACTGCATCACATAATTATTTGTTTATTTATTCATAGCAACCAAAGGGTTGGATTGACATGTAGGCCATTTCATCTATTCATACTCTTGCCTTGTCTTCCTTTTGTGACAGTGGTGAGATGGTCCTGTCCATCCCAGTACCCGTCCTATCCCCTGGTAACAAGCGTGGCCAATGGATCCAACAAGGAGCGACCAGTCTAGACCTGAGTGAGACAGACTCCAACGATGGCTCCAACCGTAGGACCAGGTCTGGTCTCGACAAGATGGGTAAGACTCGCCGAAGTCCACTCCGTAACACTAATCACGATTAACTTCTCTAGATATTCCATTTTAATATTTTGGGTTTATGCTCTTTTGTAAACACAAATATAATGTGCATGCCTTCAGAATTTAAATTTTGTCCAAAGGAATAATTTTAAGTAGAATTTTAAGGTACATTCTTGATATCTGTGAAAAACTTTTCCTTTAATATGTTGTTTCTAATATTTCCTCCCAGAGCTTATATCTTATTGAAATTATGTATTTGCCAAATTGCTGGAGTCGTGTTTATTTTTACGGCTTATCGGTGGAAAACAAAAACTGAACAAAAAAATTAAGCTTAAAAATTATGCAAATATTTTGATTGACGTACAAGGGTGTAAGAACAAGGTAGCAAAGGTAAACTAACAATGAATGAATAAACAAACAAGTAATGTAGTATTTGAATGCAGTTTTGTTAACATCACCACTGTATTTAATACACAGGTCTAAGGCTTTGGACCATAACACTTAACAATGATAAATTATTCTGAAACGTACATCTTATGATATGCATGTGTACATATTATTTTATAATCCATTAATCTATCAGTGATGAACATATATATATATATATAACTCCTCCTCATTACTAAAATAGTGTAGATTTACAAGAAGCACATCACGATTGGTTTGTGCTGAGTTTGAAAATAGCCTTTGAATTGCAACAAGTAACACGTTTGTGGTTGAAAATGGCATTACTAATCGTTCTCATCAATGAATTGTTTCCATTTCACCATTTTTTTTTTCTCATTGAGGTTTACTAACCCCGTTTGCCGTGCCTATCTAACGTGTGCATTGTTTACAGTTGTTACTAACGGTTACCGGAGCAGCACGTTGGAGAGTGACTCTGATTTTGATACGAGTGTCCCCGACCCCAAACCAACACCACCCCCCTCCAATCACCATCATCATCACCACCACAAAGGGCGTCGCCACAGGCTGTTACAGAGTAATTTCCATTTATCCCTTTGTTTGTGATCATAGTCCTTGTGTTTGTTTGTCGTTTGTCATAAATACCTTTGTGTGTTCATGGATGATATGTGACTTGGGTGCCTGAAACTGTATCTATCACCAAAAATATTTCGATATGTATGTTAGGGTGCTCATTTAGCTATACTATATTAAAAATTTGAGCTTAAAATACTTCCATAAAGAGATATTATAACTTAACACTCTCTCAAAAATATTAAAATGACACATTGAGTAGACTAGTTGACGTACGCGTACACACTCACATAGAATAGGGCGCCCACGGATTCCCAAGTCGGCCTTGGGTTCTGTGTGTGCTGTTTTATGTTATCCTTTATTTTCTTTATACTGGCTCGACTGTTAACGTATAGACTGCCAGGTACATTTTCTCAAGGTTGATTTTATATAATCTACCTATACAAAAGTTATTCTTTTTAGGTGATTGGTACTCTTTGAAATATTGAAACTTTAATGTATTTTTACTGCGAGGTCTTTATATAAAAAGAATGCATCTGGCTTAATAGCCAATAATCATTTTTCCCTTCCAAAAGATAATGCTAGCCAGGATAAGAATTCACCTGCCTCCTAAATTAAAAGAATTAGATAAAGATTCTGCATCTGGTGCATGTTCAAATTTTACTGATTTGTGACATGTTATTGTTCCTTTAAGCATCATCAATTTTTTAAAAATTTATTTATTTATTTATTTATTTATTTATTTATTTATTTATTTATTTATTTCTTTATTTATTTTTTTATTTATTTATTTTTTTTTTTTTTTTGGGGGGGGGGGGGTGTATCATGTCAGTTTAAAAAAATTTGTTATAAATGTTCAAGTAGTTCTATGTGGAAGGTCCATGGATATATTTTGTGTTTTTGCTTGAATTTGATTGTTTGTTATCATCATAACAGAGTACCTACCAGCAAATGTAAATCAAAAGCTTTTATATAAAGAAAATGTATATAATCTTAGGCTTAGTAAATATCATGGAAATCAAATGCCAAGCAATATTTCATATTCATAACATCTTTTTTGTGAATTATGCATTATAAGCCTTAGTTGTGTTATATAAGCCATGTATTTATACACTTAAATTATGAAAACTATATTATTATGCTCTGATAAAATCCCTTTCCAAAATGTGATGATTGTCTTGTACTTCCCATAAAAATTGCCTGAAAATAAAGAAGCTTTTGGAATACCATTATTGGAAAAAAAAGGTGTTAAGTTCAAGTAAAATTGCCAAGCAGGTTGGAAGAGTTTAGAAAATTTGAAAACCAGCTGGTTGTGCATGAAATTATAGGGATTTAAAAAATGAAAGTATTTTAAAATTCATGTTCTGTTTTTGTAAATGTTTTTTGTTCCATGAGCTGTGCATCTCAAAAGTTTCAATTCATGCTTATCATTGAGACCCCCCCCCCCCCAAGTTGTAATAATAATAAATTGAATATCCTGTCTGTTCATCCCCAAATTGGGACCGTATTGTCTCATTTTGTCCGCTGGAAGCTGAAGGGCTTGAATGGAATATTCAGCTCTTTGGCTCTTAGTAGAAAATGTTATCCCACTCCCTCTTTTGGTGATCATATGACTATTCCTGGTCAATTACAAATGTGACATTTAATAATAATGATAATATTTTTGCTTACATAGCACTTAATACATCACCAATTTCCGAGTTTCCACATAATTTACTGTGTTCAATATTAAAAGAAAATTCTGTAAATTTCAATAAAAATCTAACAGTTGGATTCCGTATGAACCATTCATCATATTTATTGAATTTTATAAAGATTTGTTACAGAATGACATAGTAGGTAATTTTTTGGTCATTCTGTATTATAACAGAGCTACATGTATATCAAATTCAATATTACATAAACTTGATGACTGGTTGATAAGGAACCAAACTATTGTGAAAGTACATGACTTAAATTGTCATAAAATAAATTTATTGTTTTTATGACAATTTCTGTAATATCTTTTAATTGAAATTGAAATTTCTCTAGAAATGTCATTCCGTAATGCTTGAAATTGACCTCCTTCAAAACTTACATGTACATGTACCTGTATGGTAAGCTAGAGATCCACCATTCCCGTCCCATGCACTGCCCCTCATCCTTCCAATGAAACATTTGTACTGTATGCCACCATTACATGTATAAGTATAACCCCCAATGTGTTATTGTGTATATGTTTCCAAAATACTTCATTCATACTTCAGCCATACCTGATGTGGTACAGTTGTTGATAAGTGAAGGTAAATGCTAAAAAAATTCAACAAAATTCCTCGGATGGGCGATTCCGTGGAATGTGTCCCATACGACATATGTATGTTTTTCACATAATATACATTTGTATTTCATCATTCCATAAATGAAGAATCTCTCAATATAACTGTTGGATTATGTGGCTTTCTGCTGTTTCTACTATTAGCCATTGTCATACCAAGAGATTTTCAATTCATGGAGGAAATTTAGTATGGGACACGTTCTACTGAATCGCCCAGACGTTGCTGTTACTTCCTTTCATAATGCAATAGATTTTCCCTTCTGGCCAAGTTATTTTTCTTCATTTATCCTATTCTTATTTGATAACCCTTTTCAATTCTGCTGTCATACTTACATTTGCTTTTCAATTTACTTACTAACATACATAAAAAAAATCTGTTTGATCATGATTTTTCTTCATTTTTCTTTTGTTTTACCGTAGTATGATTGCCTATTGCAATATTGCCGCCATTTGCTTTCCAACTAATCCTTACTAACTTAAAGATTATTTCAATTGCTTTTTGTAGCAACAGAACAATTTTTTGTTGCTTGAATGAACTACATTGCCAATGTAGAGATTTCAGTCTCCTTGTAGAGATTTCAGATTATTTGTTAAGATGTGTTACTTTCTCATTCTTTCTTTTCAGCAATTCAGTAGTACATGTTAAAACTATATAGTACATGAATAATATAATCCGTTGCACGTACTTGTAAATGCTTGTATTCATAATCAATATATACGTACTTGTTTGGATTCATGCTCATGTTAGACTTTTCTTTATGCATTTGCAGTTGTTGATGTTGTTCATGTGAGTTTATTGAATATCCACACCTCCTTGTCTTTCATTCATCATCATTATCATCATCATCATCATCATCATCATAGTCATCATCATCATCATCATAGTCATCATAGTCATCATCACCATTATCATCATCATAGTCATCATCAACATCATCATCATAGTCATCATCATCATCATAGTCATCATCATCATCATCATCATAGTCATCATCATCATCATCATCATCATCATAGTCATCATCATCATCATCATCATAGTCATCATCATCAACATCATCATCATAGTCATCATCATCATCATCATCATAGTCATCATCATCATCATCATCATAGTCATCATCATCAACATCATCATCATCATCATAGTCATCATCATCATCATAGTCATCATCATCAACATCATCAGTCATCATCATCATCAACATCATAGTCATCATCATCATCAACATCATCATAGTCATCATCATCATCATCATCATAGTCATAGTCATCATCAGGAAAATCATCATCCAAAACATGGGCTTTGCTTCTTGTATTCTCTCTTCCTTTTCTAAAAAGAGAGATTCTCTATCGTATTCCTTATTCAAAATCCTAGTGATCTTCTTCAGCATGCCACTCAAGATTCCTTGCTCTCTTGCCCTTTGTATGATAAGTGATTAACTGATGGGCTCAAAAGTTGAAACTGATATATTTTTGATTTGGACGTTCTAATGATTGATACTGATATGACTATCCTCAATTCCACAAAAAGGTAGAAAGTTTCCTTATGTGTGTATATGTATGTGCACACTACATGAACACAGTAATAATAACAATAGTGATAATTATAATAACAACAAGAACTACTAATACTATAATAATAATAATAATAATAACAATATTAGTAACAATAATAATATTAAGAAGAAGAATAACAATAATAATGGAAATCATAATAACGATAATAATAGTGACAGTAATAATAACAAAATAATTAAAAAATGTTTTATTTAGGACCTTTCCCAGAGGATACAAGGCACTCTCCCTTAGTTAAAGGAGTTTGTTCTATGGGCATGGGGCAATGAATTGAAAGGAATTTGTGACAGCCTGTTATAGAGATTTGGGAATGAGAAAGGAATCTTCTGAAATATGTTTAACCACCTTCTCTCCCGACACCTCCCTCTTGCATGCAATTCTGATTTATATTCCCTTTTTGTTTAAGTGTCTTGATTGCATCTTCCTTATTGCATGAATTAAAAGCATCTGCATGCCATCCTTACGTATACTTTTGATTAAATGTCGAAGGCTTGATTCTTTATTCCAATATGCTGCTGCATTTTAGATGAAAGGCATAATAACCAGCCAATAGTTTTGACATGTATTATATGTATCAATGAAAATGAAATCATCAAAAATATCAGTCTTTGGTACTGCTGTATGAGTCATAAATCAGGCAAGAATGGATAGTCCTCTGTTGATTGAGTTTAAAGAAGTCATAAATGTAGTGGTATGTTATCATACTTTCCTCATTATGAACTGAGGATCTGCTTGCTGCATTGAATAAAGATATATGCATATGCCATTGCCAGTGTTTTTGTTTGTACACAGTGACCAAAGAACCCCAAAATCAACCCTTTTCCTGAGGTTAATAAAGTTTGTTCGAGATTTACATGAACGATGGAGAATGCATATTTCTCTTTCGGGCAAATATCTGACATTGTATAAGGAACATATTGCTGTTATTCTCTTTTCTAGAACACAAGGCGATAGACACCGATGCTATAGATGGAGATGCCAGAGTCAATGGCTACAACGGGGACACCAAAGAGCTCACCAAGAAGGAGAAGAAGAAACTAGCCTCACTCCCTCTTGGACGCAAGATACCCATGTCCCGGGCCGCCTCCAGCGAAACATCCACCGTCCAATCCCCCGACTCGTCCTTCGAGAGGTCTGGCCCTTCCCCTGCGAAGTCCAAGCGTAGCAAGTTCACCAAGAGTGCCAGCATGGACTCGGGTGCCAAGCACCCTGAGGATACTCTAGCCAAACCCGCAGGGTACGAGGTGGACGGACAGCGCAGCCCTGGAGCCGCTAGGAGGGGAAAGAAGCATGACAGGCTGAGGACGCCTGAAGCATCACCTCCTGGTACCTTGAACCGCGAGTACATCCCCTTGAAGAGCGACAACGAAGGGTCAGTCGGATCGGACAACCATGGGCGCCCTCGCTTGGCCAAGCTGGTCTCGATGGGAAGCAGCTTCGATGTCTTCAGCAAGTCCATTGACATCATGTCGGACATCAGCGAGGCGGACTCCATCGATCTCAGCATGATGACCAAGTTCTATTACTCCGTTAGGATCTTCCCAGGGCAGGACCCGACTGATATCCATGTTGGATGGGTTACCCCTGGTTACCATCACTACGCACCTCACTTTGACCCCTCCAAGACCAGTGAAGTCACTGTCAACATGCTGGGAGAGAATGGAGGAGTGCAGGAAAGGTATTATGTCATCTTTGACTATGTCACCCGAATCGACTTGAATTTTCCTTTTTCTCCATTTTCGTATCTGATGGATTTATTTTTATATGAGAGCAGTTGAGAATAATCTATCAAGTATACCTTTTTCAAAACAGCTCAAACACAAGCTGAAGGAGAAAGTTAATGCAGGAAACTATTACAATTTCCAAAATTGTATACTTTACACGTCCATTTTTTTTCCCGTCTTTCTCTCATACAACTTGATATCAAAGTCAGATTAGACAAGAATTCATAATCATTCTAATTTTAGTGATAGCAAGGAGCTTTGTGTGATGGATGTAGATATAAATTTTGCTATATACACTCCCTGTATCAGAGACCAACTAGTTCATGGCACCATGCACCACAATACCAATAATCACGCAATTGCCCCAAAATCATCCTCAATAAATTCCTTTGCCTACTTTTTGATCAAAACTATTATAGTTCCAAGAGGCGTGACTGCTTCACGGTGTGCGTCGGGGACCACATGGACCTGCTGATCACGCCAGAAGGTCGTAGGATCTCATCGGGTCTGGTGGTCGGATGCGTCGTCGATGCCTGCAATGGTGAACTCTACTTCACCATCAACGGTAGAGACATCAGCACCAAGTATCAGGTAGGTGGATGGAAAGTCTGTGTGTAGTTGCATTTTTGTTTGACGACTGCTCAGAGGAAACAACTACAGAAGTGGACTTAATAGACAGGTGGTCTTTGAATTGGAATTGGCTAGTATGTGTTGAGGAAGATAAAAGAGGAAGAAAAAGTGGGAGAAGGAGCTACGAGAGGAGGGGGTGGGGAGAGGAGGATGAGAGAAGAAGAAAGAGGAAGAGAATAAAAGTTGATGAGCTGGAGGGAGAGAGAAACAGAGATTCGGAAAGTGGGGAAGAAGAAGGATGTAGAAGATGAGAAGAGGAAGCAAATATTTAGAAAAAGAGAGAGAAGAGGTGGAGGGGGCAATGAGAGAGAAAGGGGAGACTTTATACTTGTAGATATGAGATAATACAAGCTTGCTTTCATGTAGGTCCTATCATATTTCTCTCAGTTAAATCAGTACTCTATTTCAATGTAATGTGATGTGATTGTGTTTGTTTACAAGTTGTAGAATTATTTACTGTTATCTCTGAAAGAATATGCAATTTCTTATCGAAATGCGTACAAACTTTATGTAGTTACTCATTGCTACCATTTATTCAAATTTGTCTCTATTTCAAAATTCAGGTTGAACCCAAGACCAAGTTGTTTCCAGCTGTGTTTGTCAAGCCTACCAGTAAGGAGATGCTCCAGTTTGAACTCGGAAGGTCAAAGGTGAGAGAAGTACTTTCTAATTAAACTCTTTATGATGTTTTAGTCTGATGATTATGCTCATGCATATGTGCACATGAATGAATCAAGCATATTACGATATCGTATTGAATGTGTTGCACCAATTGTATGAGCTTTTATACAGGCACCGCAACCTTGCATTTTTCTTGTGAATGAAGAAAGTATTGGATATTTTGAAAAATAGAAGTAAATATTTACGCATTGTTACAGACACAAAGCCCCTCATTCATTATAATCATTAAAGAATGTGAAAGTTGGTTTTTGTGTTGCACCAATTGTATGAGCTTTTATACAAGCACCACAAATTTGAATTTGTTTGTGAATGAAAAAATATATTGACATTTTTAAAAGAAATTATTATTCTACGCATTGAGACAAAGCCCTGCATTTATTATTATAATCATTAGAGAATGTAAAAGTTATTTTTTAATTTCATTTATTGAAGGTTGACGTGTTAAATTATGTTGTTTCATGTTTATGAAGTATATTTTGGTTCTGATCTAATCACACACTAGTATAAAATAAAACTTTTTATTACTTATACAATGTACATACCTATAATGTAAACCACACCGTACTGTACACTGTTGTGTAATATTTTGTGACAAAAGATGCTTGTAAATATAAAATGAATTTGAATTACATTCATAAACATTTTTTAAATAAAAACTGAACTGACTTATGGCTCTTGATTGAGTAACTTACACTTTGGTTCTTGGGTTTTATTATTGGAAACTAAACTGGGAGTATTAAATAGTTTTATTAGAGAAAAGGAATAAAGGAAGTAATTCTTATCATTTAGGTTTGCTTTGAAATGAATAGCTACTCTGCTAATACATAGTTTACCTTGCACATGTTAAATACCAATATTTTCTGAAGCAAGTTTAAATGCTGTTTTTAAAGACCTTGAATAGAAAGTTTCACATACTCAGTGTGTACTTGCCTATATATTCTTAGACTTGAAAATATCATATAGAGTTGAATTTGAAATTGATATGATTATTGATACAAATAGATAATAGATAGTAGACATGTATATTATTGTAAAATGAATGTTAGAATGCTTGATATTTATGATACTGCTATTAGCTTGAGAGTAGACAGTTCTATATAATTATGAGTAGACAGTTCTATATGATTAAGCTTGAAAGTAGACAGTGGTAGAGGTGCCGTGGTCGAGTGGTTAAGTCGCCGGACTGTCGATCACAAGGTCCGCGGTTCGAGACCCGCCGCGGCACTAATGTCCTTTGGCAAGACATTGATCTACATTTGCCACACTCAACCCAGGTGATGTGCATGGGTACCTGGCAGGAATTAATTCCTTGAACATGCTAGAGCGCCGCAATGGCAGCACAGCTAAAGCCGGGGTAATAATCAGTTTGGAAGCGCTAAGTGATTGAAAAAGCGCTATATAAAAACTGAGTATTATTATTATTATTATTATTCTATATGATTAAGCTTGAGAGTAGAGAGTTCTATATGATTTAGCATGTTTTGCATGATTCTCAGATTCTGGAGAGACGATCCAGCTCAGTTCAGTCAGAAATTGCTCAAATGAGCGTCGACCAGGTGAATGTATGCCTCCCTCTATAGCTAGCGAATCATTAGTGCTCATCTCGATATCAGCTTATTGCTTCTAATCCATGCGCTTTAGTTTCCATTAGTGTCCTTGAAGTTTTGATGAATTCACAATATTTCATGAATCACATAGAGTATTGTATGTTTTTCCAGTACTACTTGTACATGCAGTTTCATTATGAGATTGCTCACTTGAGTTACAACCAGGTGATTGTATGCTGCCCTCTGTAGATAGCGCATCATCAGGTTGAACTAATTCATCATTCTCAACCTTTACAGAGAAGTGAAAGAAGTACAGAGTCATCATTTCATGAATGTTTATGTTTGATGTACATGTACAGATCCTGTAAATGTATCTTTTCTTGTTATCCTAAACCTAGTTTTTATGGAGTTCAAGGGAACTTTTTTGTGCAAAAATTCTATTACATTGGCTTCATAAATATAAATTAATTTAAATCTAATCAGTACACTTATAGCTGTAGATGCGGATGTAGAAATTCAGCTTTAATTTTAATCTTGAGAATGCTGCAGGAGAAGTGTTTTTGTTAATGTTGTTGTTGGTGTTGTTGGCTCGTATATAGAATAACATTAACAAATGAACAGTTTAGACATCTAGTCCTTGTATAAATCGCCTAATACTAATCAGACCATTTTGTAAGGCTTTATATTTACATATCTCTTTAAGAAGGGTTAGAATGCAATTATTCTTGAGGTATATTGTCTTTAGGTTAAGGTATACATAAAAAGGGTTTCATTGAAAGTGTATGTATTCAAAATTACATGTACCAAATTCATGAGGACAAGATGTATTTATACATTATGTAGATGTATTGTAATGCGGTTAAGAATTGGAAAGAACACAATATTATAATACCGGAAAGCCTCATCAGATTTCAGCATTTCCAACCTACAGCGAGAAAGCTGTGACAGAACATTAATTGTAACTTCATCTTGTAAAAACCATGACGTTGGAAGAGAAGTATCTTTATTGCAACCAAGCTTCCAAAATGTATCGGTTAGGGGTTATGGAATGAGGTTTCCTCATTTTTGTATGAAAATGTATACTGCATAAACATTACAATTTTTAATATGTTTACACAAATATAACATATATTTGACTAAGCTGAATAAAATATGGATGGAAAATTTAACTAAATTTCTCTCTTCTTCATGTAGTAATTTAACCAATCATATGTCTTGTAGCTTTGCTTAACATTTGGATTTCTGCTAGTACAGAACAATTAATAAAACACAATTCTTGTATTTTTTGTATTATTGTTTTGTTACTGTTTCTGTCTATCTTACATGTACGCAATTACTACCATTTCTAAGGAACTACAACTAAAAGATGCTCAAAACTGCATATACATGCCGTCTACTAAAATTCACATGATTAAATAAAAATTGTACAAAGTTACAGTTATATACTGTGTACATGTACCTGCATGAACATAAACTGAATGTGAGTACTGGCACAAAGTTTGTATGACATTTTACATTGGTTTCTGTGTTCTCTCTCTCTCTCTCTAGCACTAAATTTTCCAACAACCTTAGGATCTTATCAAAGCAAACCGTTTCATATTGCCAACATTGTCAAAGTATTTTTCCTCATTTTTACAACATCCAAAAAAGCAATACTTTTGCATATGCCTTCATATTTTTTACATGTCATAAAGCAGAACGTTTTCTTAACAATTTTTTTTTTAGAGGGGCAGTTTGAATTAACTTGTTCCTTGATATGTTCCATTCCACCAGAACTGCCTCCCCTTATCGGCTGCCTGGTTCCGAGGAGACACCCACAACCCCACCCCTCAATGTCCGTCCAGGGTCGAGGTCCAGGTCATGTACACCAACACCTGGGCCAGGGCTCCACTTCAGACCATGAACATCGAGACCAAGAAGATGTCCGACAACAACGGCTGGCTGGTGTCGTGTCCAGAACCTGGTAACTATTCTATGTTCATGCATTCAACTTGCAAGAATGTATGCATGTAGATAAATTCCTTAGGAAATGCACATCTGTACCTGTGCCAGGGCACCTTTTAAGACCATAAAAATTGAGACCAAGAAGTTTGTGGGACATAAGTGCGTTCAAGACCCTGTTCTTTGCTACTTAATGTTTAAGACAAAGACATATTTCATTGTCCAAGACATATAGTGGTAGCACTAAAATGATTAAAAGCAGTTCAGGAGGAAAGCTATAAAGAAAACATGACTTAGGTATGTACAGTTTAATCCTAGCCAGATGTTATCTCTTTATGTCATACACAAAATATCTCCCTGTGCCAGATTTTATTTATCATGGGACAGATATACCAAAGGCTTTGAGATATTTTCCAGTGCAAGATTAATCTATACATTATACCGGTGTTAAGGTAGTTGTCATGGAGCAAATCAAGACTGGAATTGGGCAATTTTGCCCAGCCATTGTATGACTTGGGTATGTAATCCTAGCCAGATATACCAAAGGCTTTGAGATATTTTCCAGTGCAAGATTAATCTATACATTGTACCGTTGTTAAGGTAGTTGTCATGAAGCAAATCAAGACTGGAAATGGGTAATTTTGCCAAGCCATTGTGTTGCACAACGCAATCCTTCCATCAATTGCAGCTTATTGTTTTTTGCAAATGTGCACACTTAGCAATCGAGCAACTAAGCAGAGAGGCAAAGAAAGCAACTGAAGTGTTAATAAATGATTTTGTCTCTTACATGTTTATTCTATATCCTTCATTTGATACAGTATCATGGCTTGGTGTCCACATACCTGAAGAGAATCGTTGTATGGACATCTTAGAACTGGTGGAGCATGAAGACCTTCTCAAGTAAGTTAAATCTGCAAGGAAATTGTAGCTTTCATCCTTCCTAGTAATTTATAGGGGGTTCTTGACCTTCTATTATAATGTTTTCAATTTCTTTTATTCTTTCCATTAAAAAGCAACAACATATCTTCACTATAATCAAGTAATATGGCACAAACAAGTACGTATATATTCATTTGCCACAATCCTATGTGCAATTTCATATGATTATGACAAGTTTATTACACAATAAAATTAAATTATTGACAAGAAGTAAAATCAACATAATATTTTTCCAGCACAGTCATATATGCCTAGTATTATATAATGGATGTTTACAGATTCACACCTCAGTCTTTACAAAATTTGAGGAGAATTGTCAGACTCCAGTCAGAAAGAAAATTTGTATTTGATTCTGCCTAGATTGGTTGTTTTAAGCCTTGAGAAAGGTGTGTACTGTGTAGGATATACCAGTTATAGTAATTATTTATTGTTTTTATCCTAGATTCCATGCACACACCTTGAGGTTGTACTGCAGTGTGTGTTCCCATGGTAACCACCATGTAGCCCATGCCTTGATCAACCATGTCAACGAAGACCAGCTCATGTACTGCCTTCAGTGCCCATGTAAGTTCTTTACTGTTTTTGTAACCTAGAAGGTTTAATGGTTTCCGTGCAAAATATCCTTGTAAATGGGCTACTTGTGAGGAATAATAAATGTGTGGAAACTTGAGAGAAAGGAAAAAAGGTTTGGCTGGTATTCTACTAATACAATTAAACCCAGCAGAGAAACTGATTGAGGCATGTTTTAAAAGGACAAGTGGTTTGCACGTATCTTCCTTTATTAAACTCTTCACTATAAACTATTTGTAAAACCCAGTGTTACATTTGAAATTGGTAGAGTAAGGGTCAAAGGTTATCCTGCAATGTCACTTCATTCAGTTTACTTATGTGTATAAGCAATTCTTGCAACAGGGCTGCCCATACATCTACATGTAGGATATACACTATATAGCATCTATAGTAGATGTGTACTGTGGGCTCTTACATCAACCAATTTGAATAAAAGTTGCTAGTGGGATATATTTAATTGAAGGGGAGCAGCTGCAAGATAACCAACATGTTCCTATTATTTATATATATTTATTATATAGTGTTAAAAGATGTGATTGTTTGTAATAGATCTGTAATTGTGAGACAGTGAGACCAGACTCCTTACTGTTAGTTCCACACAGAAATTTGATATTTAATACTAGGAAGAAGACTCTAACACTTTGTGGACACAGGACACTTTATTTATCTGTAGAAAGTGTTCTGATTTACCTGTTCTATATAAATTGATATGTGGTTTTATTATCATTAATGCTGATTTCTTGTCTACTTATTTTCCTGCTCTAGATATATCCGGTCCTTTGAGGATAGGATACTACAATCTGCTGCATGCCCTCCATCTCCAAACCCATGTCAGTGCTAGGTAAGCTTTAAGTTTATTTGTATTCTAACTATTTGAGTCGGGTTCTACTTGCATGTATGTGATATATCTCAGAAGAGTTCTGCATTAGAAAGAAATACAGAACTGGATAGAACCGATATAACTGGAAAGAACTGGATTGAACTTTACCAAAGCTAGCAAATTCTTTTTCTCTCACTCAATAATTCTGCCTTTGTTTTTCTTTCTGGATTGTATTTTCTCACCTTCAATCTTGTTATATCCATCTCTCACCCCTCTGTAGTTATTTGCTACAATGTAATTACAATATATGTATAAAATCTATCTTGCATTTTGTTTGCTGTTTATCATTCAAATTCCCCTTTTGTTGCAAAGGGTGAAATATAATTGATTCAATGCAACTCAATGTGATTTTGTTGTCCGCTTTCGATTCAGGTTAAAGACTCAAGATGAGTTTATCATCCCCTTATCGGCCGGTCCCAAGCCAGTAGATGAAGAAATGGACATTTCCAGTAGTATGTCCATCAAGAGAGCCTTGAGTACCACCAAGAGTGTCTCCATCAGACCACAACTCAACATCGGACCATCAGCTGATAGGTAAGTGCCCAAGCGGCCACCACTACAACAACTAAAAACAGCAACAACAAAACAACAAAATCACCATCAAGATTATCAACATTGCCACCATATGATGTAGAGGTGTCATAGTCGAGTGGATATATCACCGGACTGTGGATCACAAGGTCCGCGGTCCTTTAGCAAAACATAATCAGGGCAGTGTCAGGAGCGTCACAACGTGACGGACATGTGCGCTATATATTAGAAGCCACCATTATTATTATTATTATTATCTACATTTGTCGCATCTGACTCATCTTCACTGATAAAACATTATTATTTCCTTCTCCTTCTCTCCTGTGCTCCTCTTTCCCCCATGCAGTAGTCATCAGAGCTTCAGTCAGAGCATGAAGGCGTCCGAGCAGGCTCCTCCGAGCTTCAACCACATGGTGCTCAAGCAGCATGTCATATCGTCGTTGGGTGAGGCGGTGGCACACGGCGTGTCACACTGCCGAGATCCCATCGGTGGCAACTACAATAACCTCTTTGTGTGAGTAATCATTAATGCATCACAGAATGTAGGGGTGCCAATCCATGCTCAGATAAAAAGGATTGGATGAGGGGAATTATTGAAATGCACATGCACAAAGTATAAACTGCCTGAGATGTTGAGTTGATCACACATATATATATATATATGTATATTTATACATTTTTTGGAGGGGGTAGGGATTTCCTTCAGGGAAGCTCAGGATTAACGCTGTAGTTCAAATGAAAGGGTTTTTATGTGAATTGTGATAGCTGTGTTTACAAATTTTGATACCCATTTTGAAGTTGTTGAATAAAAAATATTAAGTTTCTATTATCGATTAATCGGACTCTGTATAATACTTGGTATTTGTTTTTGTTTTCTCTGTTTCAGGGCCATTCCTCACAAGCATTTGCCTTCCAATTGGTCCTCTCCATATTCCATACTGTATTTTGTATTAATTTTTGTCTGTTTTTTGATGGTCATGGTTAAATAAAATATCTAGAATCTCAATCTCAATCTCAGTACCTTTTTGGATTTTTCTTTACAGGCCTTTATTACAACTCTGTGATGCTCTCCTTGTTATTGGTAAGTGTAAAACAAAACTTCTGTAAGCTTTTTTCCATTTTCTTGATATGAATAGAGGATGTTTAGGAAATATTCATGTTGTAAAGACATTGCAACTCTTTCTAAGACGTTGCACTGATGTGCTGTCTTGTGTATGAAGTGTCACATGTTGTTTTTGTTTTCTTTCTTTAGGAGAGTTTGATGATGATGACCTGAAGAGTCTTCTTATTCTCATTGATCCTGCAACATTTGATGAAACATACAAGAAAGGTTTGTAACAAATCAGGTTTCCCATACCTTACAGGCTTTTTATTATATTAATGAAAGTGCTATGTATGTATAAACATTGTTCATTGAGAGAAAATAGATTAAAATTGTGTTCATTCACATCAATTTTGAGGTTTTTTTGCAGATTATTCCACTAATTCTTTAAAAATGAACTGAGCTTTTTTCACATGTTTTGAAGTTTTTTAATTTGAATTGATTTTGATTTGATTTAAATCATCATCAGGTATAAGTGAGACAGTTGTAATGCTTCAGATGTATCTAGATGAGCACTATACATGTGCTTCTTAAGTCAATATCTCTTTGACAGCTTTAAATTGATTAGGTTTGGTTTAATTTGATTGATTCGATTTTGATATGATTTGAATCATCCTCAGGTATCAGTGAGACCGTTGGAATGCTTCAGATGCATCTCGATGAGCCTGTCAAGCTTGCCATGTACTTCCTAATTTAACATCTCTGTGACAGATTTCAATTGATTAGATTAAACTTTGATTTGATTTGAATCATCCTCAGGTATCAGTGAGACCGTTGGAATGCTTCAGATGCATCTCGATGAGCCTGTCAAGCTTGAAATGTACTTCCTAATTTAACATCTCTGTGACAGATTTCAATTGATTAGATTAAACTTTGATTTGATTTGAATCATCCTCAGGTATCAGTGAGACCGTTGGAATGCTTCAGATGCATCTCGATGAGCCTGTCAAGCTTGCCATGTGCTTCCTACTCCAGCATCTCTGTGACAGTCAGCTCAGACATCGTGTAGAATCAATCATCAACTTCTCGGATGACTTTGTAGAAGAATGCCAAGCAGTGAGTACATAAGCTGACACCAAGGCCTTGAATTTGTAACTGTATTTCTGTAGCGACCATTCACAATACCAATTGATACGATCTTGATATTTTTTAAAATATGAGACATTGGCTTTATCTAACTCCATGTAGCACCTCTTGTAATCCCATCCTACATGTACCTCAATAAATATTACAATGGGATTTTCTGTGGTTAGAAACACGTCTTATTAATATTAGTATATTGATGAATATGACACATTCTTTCAAAGTTTCAAGTTCCTTGTATAGATTTAATAAGTGTAGGCAATAAACCTTTCATAATATAGTCATATATCCCCCAGAGCTGGTGCATACAAGACTTGATAAACATTTGTGAGTGATTCATTCAAATGTTGCTATGGGGTGTGTTGTCTGTGTACCATGGTATTGAAAACAAACATTGCTTTAATGAAAATAATAATGGAAAGTGCTTTTATAGCGTATAATAATCTGTAGAATTCTCTAAGCACATGTGTAATACCTCAGGCACACCTACTTGACCAACACCAGACCAACAACAAACAGAAGAACAGACGGTGGCAAAAAATCAGCCTGTTTGGAGTCGGTCTCGAGTTGGTTTGGCGGTGTGACTGAGGGTTGACTGAGGTATAGTCATGATGGCCAAAATGACCCATGTCTATGTTATCTACAATGTTTTATTTATATTTTTTTCCCCCACAGGATCAACTCAGAAGGTTCTTAGAAGTGAGGAACACCGACATGCCTCCCGTCATTGCGGCTAAGAAGACCAGAGAGTTCAGGTCCACTCCTCAAGAACAGGTAACAGCATGGGATGTACAGTACATGCTTGTGTTTATTCTTTTAACCCTTTGTCTACTGGTACCAGGTTGGTCCTTGTATTAAGCCTATGGGAATTAGAGAATTTAGCCATCAATGTGTTCAATGTGGTTTTGATCATTTCAAATTTCATTCATGTGATGACGGTCATCTATTTCCAAATCTAATTGTTCAATGACTTGCGTATAGATTTTTTTATTTGGGGTGTATTTTTGTAAGAGTTTGATTCAATTAAAACTGTAAATTTAGTCATTACAAGCATGTCATCTTTTAAGATACGTTAATTCAACTTGTTAGGAATTAAGATGAATACTATTCATGACAAGTACCATCTGAAATGCAAATTTTCACAGTATTAATGCTTTATAAAATCAAAATATATTATTTACCCCACTTGCTACCATTCATATTTGTTAAAACTTTTAGTTTTATGCTGTTCAAGAGCTAAATAAACAATCGCAAGCATCATGGCCATCATTCAGTTAAATGAGAGATCATACTTTAAAAAAACGTCCTGATGACCTGTTCAAGGAGCCGTAGAGACCAAACATAATCACTTTGTCATTGTACAGTGAAACCTGTCTATAAAGACCACCCAAGGGAGGAAAAAAAGTGGTCTTTATAGGCAGGTGTTCTTTATGTACAGGTTACTTTATTACATGTTTCAATGAGAAACCATTTTGAAGGGAACCAAAAAATGTGGTCTTTGTAGACAGGTGGTCTTACTATACAGGTGGTCATTAAAGTAGGTTTGACTGTATAAACCACAAATCCTTAACGTAACCCGCCTCCCACCCCACCCCACCCCCTCTTCTTTCTCCTCCTCCTCAGATGCGAATGCTGCTACACTTCAAGGAGGGTGACGATGGGATGTGTCCGTGCCGCGAGGACCTGAGGTCGGTCCTGCTGGAGTTCCACTCCACCCTGGCCAAGCACTGCGGGGTGCACGAGACACAGGAGGAGAGGAGCACAGACTCCAGAGGGGTGATCAGAAGGTTCCTCTCGTGGCTGTCCGGGAGCAGGAAAGATGCGAGTCCTCAAGGAGCCATCACGCAGGAAAAGTTCTCAAGCGGTGAGAAACAACTAAATTTTTATCAGGTTTTTTCCGATATATAAAATAGATATTTTGTAAAATATTGTTTAGCTACTGAGTATACTTTTAAAATTATTTTCATATCAATTTTTTCAATTGGATTAATAAACTTCTGCAGGAGAAGTTCTCAAGTGGTGAGATACAAATAATTTTTGATCATGTTTTTCCGATTTTTGAAAAGATATTCCAAAATCTTCTTCCGTACATATGAGAATTGAATTACACAAAAATAGCTTTGTCCAATATTGCATAGCTACTGAGAATACTTTTTTAAAAATTGTTTTCATATTACTTTGAGCTCTTTCCAAGCATTAGTGGACTATTTAAACAAACAGCAGACTGCTGTTTTTTTTCTTCACACATACAATATACTTGGGTGAGGAACATTATACCCCAAATAAATAGCAGTCTGTGGTTGTTATAGTCTCTAGTGAGACTATAGCAATATTCTTTTTTTAAGAAGGGAGTACCATCACTTTACACTTGTTTTGAAGAGCCTATCTTTATTTTCTTGTTTTCCCCCTCCCTCTTAGACTCACTTTCCCATCTGATCTCCAACACAATGATCAAGTGGGCAGAAGAGAAGCACATTGAGGATCCTACCCTAGTCAGAGAGATGTTCAATCTCTTACATCGCCAGTATGATGGAGTTGGAGAGGTAAGTCATTTACAATTGTGTCTGAATATAGAATGTATCACGGTTTGGGTATAACATGCATATTCCACAGACCCACATTTTGGGAAATATAAACAGATGAATAAAGAAGTATGAAAACAGACTTTAGAAGAAATGGCAATTTGTGGTAGTACATACAATGTATCTTTGTAATTTACATTTTCTCAAGACATGTAAATATCAAGGTTTCTGTAGTACTGAAGTTCACAATATTGCCAAATCTTTTGTGATAAATGTTTACTGTTTTGTAGCAAGTAATGTACCGTAATAATAGATTGCAACAAGGTTTGTTTCATTTCACTATTGTGACTTTTCTTATTGCTATAGTGTACCTTTGAATGTTTAATAGTTGAAGCTAGTAGATGGATAATATACTTATGGTACTCAACTTTTTCTCTTTGTAGCTATGCAGTGCCTTGCAGAAATCCTATGTAGTAAGCAGCAACCAGTGCGAAGACATCGTTCACCTCCTGACCTCTCTGGGTCAGATCAGGTCATTGCTCACCGTACAGATGGGATCAGTAGAGGAGGAAGCTCTCATCAAACATCTATGGTAGGTCAAAAAGGAAAAAAATGGTTGAAAATGTATTTTGAAGCATATTTTTTAAGTCTCTTTCTGTGACCCTGTCACTATACATGGATCAACCACGCACAAGTTTTGTTATTGTATGAAATATGCTCGGGCAAAAAAAAAAAGGGTCTGTTGTCAATTTTAGACACTTGTCAGTTTCTAGCCCAAGACCCATCACTATGCATAACTATTATTATTACTCTAATACTGGAACTTGTCTCAACCCCCGTCACAAATTCAATATCTATCAAAATAAATTGTACAAAGTGCTGTCCAAAGTTTGGGTCTCATTAATTGATGGCTTGTGTCATAGATGAATTTATGATGATTTTAGAGGATGACAAAATCAGAGTAATGTACTGGGCAGCGTTTCATGATGGTCGTAAGATCAAGTTCACCGACAACCCATTAAAATGCATGTATTAAATTTAACACCTGCTTCAATGGGATGTTTGCGAAATTTGTACTTACTACGGTTTCTATGGATCCTTATTTTCAGGCCATGTTCAATTATATGACATTTTTCTTTTTATGTATTTTCAAGTATGTGTGTGGTGGTTGGGGGAAGGGGTGTATGTTGTATTGTCTATTGGGTACGTATACGAAATGTACATTATAGTCATTTCAGTATGTTAATAATCCTGCATCCCGATTGTATCACATTCAGGGAGGTGACGGACAACAAGGTCTTCTACCAGCATCCTGACCTCATGAGGGCGCTGTGCGTCCACGAGACGGTCATGAACGTGATGGTCAACGTCCTCGAGAAGCATCAGACGTCCATCCAGCTGACCAGCGACGAGGAGGCTGAATCGTCCGCTCAGGGTCAGGGAGTGACCGGGGCTAGCACGGCAGCAGCACCCCCAAAGACACAGGTAGGGATGAAGTGTGTGGATCATGCAGAGCTGTCTAGTCACAGAGTTGAGCCAACATACAAGCAAAAGAAATATACAGTCAAACCTGTCTATAGCGACTGCCCACAGAAAAACACAAAAAGTCTTTGTAGATAGGTTCCTTAAGTACATGTTTCAATGACAAACCATTTTCAAGGGATACAAAAAATGTAGTCTTTGTAGACAGGTTTGACTGTATCGGTGGGTCCAGTAACCCAACTGGTCAAACTCTGACGTGGATGGTCTATGGGATGAGAGTAGATGTGTGAGAAAGTAGACACTATTTTGGTATCAAATGGGTGCCACATTATATTAGGCTTTGTTGATACATACATGTACATTGACTGGTTTTCCTCATAGAACTAAGGGTTTGTTTGGGCATGCTAATTGTGCAGATTTGTGCTTTCCCAGAGATATATGATATTTTCAGAACTAAAGTTTTATACCATCAACTTGCCATACCTGAAGACTTAAATAGAATACTCACAGAGAGCTACAAACAGTTTTTGTTATTGAATAAAACTACCAAAAATGATACTAAAAGCTATGAAATACATTTCATCTATGGTTGTTTTCTTACTTTGAGATTTGTATATTCTTACATCTTACTTGAACACCTTGTATTTCTTTAAAATTTCTCCCATTTTTCTGGTTTTCCAGGTTTTTGATAGTGCTTATTGTGCATTAAGAAAGCCAGTTCTGAAACCATATCCTCATGAACCACATATTTTTTTTTGCTGATACTCCCCTACCCCTCCCCCAATCGAAACCCCTCCCCAACAGCCTGAGGAATCTGATTTCAACCGTGATCTTATCACTGCCTGCTCACGCTTCCTCAGCTACTTTTGTCGCGTCAGCCGTCGAAACCAGATGGCCAGTTTCGATCACATCAGTTACTTTTTAGAACAGAGCGACATTGGACTTTGTAAGTGCTTGCAAGGATCGGAATGAAAATTGAAATTACTAAAACAAATAGCCTTGCAAGAATTCACTGCTAACAAAAGTGGACTCTCCGAACAGTCGTCTTGCCTGCGGACTGTGAGGGGGTCGTGGCTTTTATTTTTTGGCTGGTTTTCACCCCTCACTCGTGACGCATGCCTGGGATGAATCCCTGTCAGAACTCACAGCATTTTATTAACCGAACACATTAATCTTAGAAGTAGAATTTGTTGATGACTCAGATTAATATATGTAGCCCTTGTCGGTAACATCAATGTACAGGTAGGCGGGAACAGGCAAATGGAATTTTCCTTTGTAGTGAAAAAGAGAGGGTTATTTTTGTTATAGTTTGATACTGTACACAAGAGTAATTACTTGCTCTCATATATTCCTCTGTCACAGCACCATATTAGTTTATTGATTTGACGCTTGCAAAGTTGATTCCAAAATTGAAAAAATATCATTAGGTGATGTTTAATACTCATATGTTTTTAGCTCTAATGAATACATCAAATACATATAATCCATGTCTTTAGAACTATTCTTCAATTTAAAACATGATCTTCACCAAAAATTATGAGTACCGGTACTTTACTTTGATTGGGCTCATGAGTCTAATAACTTTTTTTTTTAGTGTCAAGTGTACCAAATATACATATCCACAGATATTTTCATAGATTTTGAATATCATTTTCTGTAGGACAAAGGATATATACTGAACAGTCTGTATGATAGAGAACTGCATCTGTAACTAGCAGAGGAGAGACAATTTTTTTTTCTAGTGCCTTATCTTTTAAGCAATTTGGTAATTCATCCATTTTGCCTCCATAACTGGTTTTATGCTATGCACTATGGTGATTTTGAGAAGATTTGTTGGGTTTCTCCAAAAAACTTTATTACTTATGTAACACAGCCATTGAAAGACATGTTTCATTTATGAAGGTGGATTAGATTTGAGGTCTTTTTGCATGATGAGTTTGTGAGTAGCAGAGTTAGAAAGAGAGAGAGATAGATAAAATGTATTTGGTTGCTGTGTACTATGTGAATAATGTTTAATGATGCATGTTAGGATAACAGTGTGAAATATAAACCTGTATATTCAAGTTTTCTGTCAACCATGCACAAGTTTCATGAATGCGAATATTGAATTAAAAGTGATGGCTGACATTTATAAGCCACCTTCCACAGAATAACACTATCTTCAGAGTTGGTACGGATCATTCTCCAGGAGTTCCTCTTTTTGATTTATTAGTTGAAAAGAGACGAGAAATGATGAATAGATTCCTTCCATTCTGATTAACAGGATATTTTTTCACATTTTAAAATTTATAACAGGTAAAGTGTTAAACAAGGAACGATATCTCTCTCATTCATGGAATTTGTGCAGTGGCTTTCACTAACTTCCAACAGTGGTTTTACCCTCACCATCCAATGCCCTATGGCAGGCATTCACTTTTGCAATGTTTCCACATGATATACAATAAGCTTTAAAATTAAAAAAAGCTCTAACTAGATTCCCAGAAAGAATGAAAGTTCTCTGCTCTCATTTAAATTCTGTTCTACTGAGTCTAGAACAGGTAGACTAGTCTGTGGAAAGGCAGGAATAGTGACAAATTAGTTTACCTCCACCTGACTCTGTATAATGCAGGCTTCATTTAGGGTATGGGATACACACACCATTTGTGGGCTAAAAATGAAAAACTTATCGTGTTATAACATTGCAAAAGTGAATGCCTTGTCATGTAACCTTTGACCTCCTCACACTTCCGAACCACTCCCATGTCTTGCCGTCTTTGTCATTAACCTCCCCAAGCAGGTGTGCGTTTACAGGTTCCTCGCTCGCCAGGCGCGGATGTGCCACTCCAAGGACAGGTTCGCTCGTGCGCTCATCGCAGGCTGCTGCAGGTTTCTCTGCTACTTCTGCCGCACCAGCCGGCAGAACCAGAGGGCGCTGTTCGATACACTTCTCTACCTCCTCGATCATGGCTACATAGGGCTGTGTGAGTAGACATGATTCTCATCCGGTCTTATAGGTCACTATGATGATTACCCTCGTCGGCAGGCATTTTGAGCAGATCGGTGCATCTATGTTTGCATATTGAAGATGTATTTATTGCATTTAGACATTAATTTAAATGAGTTGGGACTGATGCACATGAAAAAAATTACATTTGTCGTAATAAGCGTAAGATTTGACATTAAGAATGAAGAGACTTTGATGAAGAGAGAACTTCAAGCATCCTTTTCCAGTTATATTCCACGTTTTTTTAGTAATCATAATATGTTTGAATCTGGACAACTTTGCTACATTGCTATTATTTTGTTGCATTTGCTTCTAGTTTATGTTTTGCACTGTTTGGAATAGTTTTTATTGTTTGCTGAATTTAGAGCATGCTTTTTTGTTTGTGCACATATTTTATAGCATGATTTGCATCTACTGTACTTCAAATTTTCCTTTGATTACTTTTTAATGTTTAAATATGAGTTATTTGTAGAAATATGTATCAATTCATTAATACATGTACATTGAGATGTACTAATGACTTTTAATTTTCAAACTCTTCTTGATCTATATGTACAATATAGTTCAAAATTAACCATTAACTTTTCAAAGACCAAGTTCAGGAATAAACCTTTTAAAGTACATATGAAATGTCACATAAAATGTGGTGGATGAATAAAATGTGATAGGAAAAAATTTAAATAAAAAAATAATTAAAGGGCCATTGTCATCGCTACATACTATAAGTGAAAAAAAGGTCAAACATGAACGACTTTTGGGATAACCAAAAAGAAAACTGCAGAGGTTTTATTAAGCTGTATCCTCAGTGAATTTCATTATTATTGGTGGATTATAGATGCATTTAAAAGGTAAATTGATATCAATTAATTTTGATGCTCATTCTTTAATTAAATAATGAACAAATAGCCTACCCATCTTTGCGAGGCTCCTGCCCCCTGGACGTAGCAGCTGCTTCCCTGATGGACAACAACGAACTAGCCCTGGCGCTCAGGGAACAGCACCTCGAGAAGGTTATCACCTTCCTGTCCAGGTGTGGGGTGCAGGACAACGCCCGTCTGAGGGCCATGGGGAAACCCCTACCTGGATGGGACCCCCTGGATGGAGAGAGGTACCTGGACTTCATGAGGCATGCAGTGTGGGTTAATGGTGAGTAGAGGATTGTCATTGTTGAGGAGGGGGCAAGTAGGATTGAGGTCATCGATATCCTTCTAGTGGGAGTACTGTTGTTACAGAAGGAGGCTCATGTGCCTTTTTCGAGAATCCTGGATGGAGAGAGGTGCATGTACATGTACCTAGACTTCATGAGGCACACTGTATGGGTGAATGGGAAGTCTACTTTAAACTGGAGGGTACCTGTATCTTAAGATGTGAAAGGAGAATTTCTTGTGCGGATCAATGAAACATCTAAGAAAGGAAGTTCACTTTGGTCTTGAGGGATGAGGAGCAAGTTTGAAGTTGGTTGAATGTTACATGTTCTTAAGTCTGTCAAAACACCTTTATGTCAAATGTAAACAACTTGAGATTTTTCAAGCACATTCAATCAAACAACCAAACAAATGGAAACTTTATCAACTTGTGATTTCTGTGACAGGTGAAACCGTAGAGGAGAATGCCAACCTGATCGTCAGAATGCTGATCAGGCATCCCGAGTGCCTTGGCCCTGCGCTCAGAGGTGAAGGAAAGGGTCTCCTAGCAGCCATGGAGGAGGCCATTGATCTCTCTGATACAGCCGAGGAGGGGTATCTCATATCTGCTCCTACCATGGCTATCAGTGAGGAGGATGGGGAAGTCAGACCAATCGATGGGTGAGCAGGGGCGCGTTTCACAAAACTTGTCATCAGTGACAAATTACAGTTTTTGTTATAAGCTACTGAAATCCCTGCTTCTGATTGGTTATCAGGAGATTTGTCACTGATTTTTTTTCATTTGTCATTGAGAAAAGGCTTTGTGAAACGCCCCCCAGGAGTTTATGTGTTACAGATGTCAGGAGTGGGATAAATATTACAAATTTAAAGAGAGATATAGGGAAAGAGGCGTATAGCTAGGAAATGTTTAAAAATAACTGTGTTAGTAGTATGAGGAAAGGAGATACAATGCAGACCAATTGATGCCTTGGGGTGAGCGAGAGTTTATATGTTAACTGGTGTCAGGAATGGGATCAATGTTAACATTTTACAGAAGAAAGAGGAAGTGTGGTAGATTTTAAATTTCAGAATGAAAATCGAGTTAGCTTTGCGTATGAAGTTTTTGTTTTATCTACATTTTTTGGTTTGTAAAAGAGATGATTTACATATACATCTCATCTCCTACCATGTCGACCAGTGAGGAGGAAAGGGAAAGTAGACCAAAAGATAGCTTAGAGTTGGTGTTTGTTTGAGTTTGTTAGTGTCAGGAGTGGGATGAATGTTGGAAGAAGGAACGAGGGTCAGGTTTTTATATATAGGTTGCCAGGGAAATATGGTGTTACTACAAAGAGAGGAGCTACATCCTAGCTCCTACATGCACATATTACATGGCTATCATGGTTATTGTCAGTTTGATTCTGCTGGTGTTAGGATTGGGATGAATTTCACACATTATTTAAGAAAAAGAGAATATGGAAGTAAAAGACTATACTCTATATTTTGGAGATTTTGTTTGTTAAGGATCGATTAAAGTCAGGGAAAATGTTGGAATTGCCTGGGAATAGTTAATCCATACAGACAGTGCCATATGCTTAATACTATCACTATCACAGAAAACAGTGATTGCAAGGCCTTCATTAATTATACCCAACTCTCTAACTATTTCCACTTGATTTACAGTCAAGATGAAGAAGGTGATGAAGACGAGGATGACGTTGACACCGGTGGAGCCATCCTGACCTTCTACGCCACCCTGATTGACCTCCTGGGTCGATGCGCCCCTGATGAGAACCGTCTGTCACAGGGCAGGACTGAGCCCCAGAGGATCAGGGCCATCCTGCAGAGCTTGGTGCCTCTGGATGATCTGGTCGGGGTGCTCAACCTCAAGTTCATCCTGCCGTCACCTCAGAAGATCTACGAGAAGAAAGATGGTGAGAAACCATTTACTGCTTTGGAGATTGAAATGAACATTCAGGGGGATTTCCCACGAGAGTGTTTTACTTCAGTAAAAATAGCCAAGAAAAATGAATTCTCACAAATTTATAGAGAGAAATGGAAGAAACAGAGAGATGGAATGTTGGACTCAATTGAGGACACAAAACAAAAACAATACATGTAATGTAGGATCCTATTTGCAATTCATGCTGAGGGTATAATATTGTAATAAATATAATATTGAATAATGGTTATGATTTCCAACCCATTGGAGCTGCACAGAAAAAATTATAATCACAAATAATATTTGGGATGTGGCATATTGTTTAAATAGATTGATTTACCACTCTCTAACACTTTAATATCTTATTTTGTAAAATCAAGATAAGATTTTACTTAGCATTTCTCATTCCTGCAAGGGCCACATCAATAAATATCTCTGACTGACTGGTGACCCTTTCTTCCCCTGTCCCAGATGGAGCCGGTAAACCATTGGGTGCTGACCTGAAGGGTCTGACACCAGTCCACAAGGAAGCCATGCTGCTGTTCCTGGAGAGGGTGTACGGTATAGGGAATCAAGAGCTCTTCTTTGAGCTCCTGGAGGTGGGATTCCTACCGGACCTTAGGGCAGCCACTACCATGGATACGGTAAGAATGTCTTGCAGTAATAACTTTTCTTCTTTGGAATGCAAAATGTTTATTTATTTGTTGTGTTTTGAAAGCATACTTGTACTTGTGCAACCACCAGAAAGTTTATAGTGGTTAAACTCTCAAGGGCACCAATTCACTTACTTTCCATTTCAAAAACCCTATCTCGACTTTGTTATTTAGCCATACTACCTCTGTGGCTAATAAGCCCTTTAAGTTTTTGCTTTAAGTTTATGTTTGTTTCATTTGTGTTCAATACAATTTTATTGGGATAACGTTCTATTTCAATTTTATGAAGATTAAAAAACATATTGCTTAGATTCAGGTATTTAGAATGGATTGCAAAACAGATTGTATAGATTACAAAGAACAATGTGCATTGGTTATTCAGATTTCAAAGTGTGTTGTCACTTTTACTTATCATAGTCCATAAGTGGTTTAATTGTTTGTCTATTCTTTCATCATATTTATCCCCACCCCACAGCCAACCACACACGACCACGACATGGCCCTGGCTCTCAACCGCTACATCTGTAACTCGGTGCTACCCCTCCTCACGCGGCACAGCGAGATGTTTGAGAGCGCTGACCAGTTTGCCTCCCTGCTTGACTCCACCCTCCACACTGTCTACAGGCTGGCCAGCTGTCGATCGCTCACCAGGGGACAGAGGGACACAGTGGCCGATTTCCTGGTGGCCCTTACCAGGTTCGGGATTTATCTATTTTGACATTTTGCTTTTGATGTTTTAATGTTTACTCTTTTGTTAACACTAATGATTATCATACTAAACGAATACAAAACCATTGAAGGAGCAATTTCTAATGACATGTATAAGGAATATTCTTTTTCCCCAACTTTCTTTTCTCCAAAAAATTGATCACCAAGTATGCTTAAGAATACCTGTTTTTATAAATCATTTCATTTACATGTTTGTGGAAATCTGTTGAAAGATAAGCTTGTTGAATAGTTTCCTGTACTAATTTATAATGCACAAAGGTTAAGATTGGTATATAAATAACAACGGGATGAAGATGGGAAGGTTTAATTGAATTTCGAATTTATTCTTCTTTGAAATACAGAAAAATTCCTCTTTGTAACCCTCTCCAATTTCTTTCTGTAACCCCCTTCTCTAGGAGTCTGAAGCCTTCCATGATGCAGCGGTTACTACGGAAGCTGATCAACGATGTGCCTGTTCTAGCAGAATACTCTTATGTGGCCTTGAAGGTAAATCAAGATGCCATACATGTATAATCCATCCCACTCCTGACACCAAGTATCCCACAGATTACATGCATTATCAGTATGGGAATCAAATGAAAAAGGAGTCTTACCCTATTGTCTTGATCAGGATTCATTTGAAGTTTGCCATACATTATAGAATATAAATGTTTTTTGTATATTCTCAAGATCAATGTGTTCAGTTTTTGTTGCTCATCATGAAACATGTTGTCTTGATGTTTATACTATGTTTTGATAATGGCATAGCACAATTGGAAGCATGGAACAGCATAAAGAGTTTGTGAACCAGTGAATAGCAAGGAGAACCCCAATAGCAAGAACTACATGTACTTTCCTTCTGTTTATTCTCAAGCACTACTCAGTGAATGTTCTCACTATCTTCATTCATAAACATCTTTTAACTCTTTTTGCCTGGAAACTAGATTGTTGCACTTCTTCTTTCCTTGTTTTCCTTTACTATACATAATTTCAACTCGTGTGCTTAGAATCGCATGAAGAAGATGGTACTTCTTTTTCCCTCGTTCATTTCTTTAGTTTTGATTATATTGTCTGCAAATGCGAATCAGTTCTAGGTATTTTTTATTTGCCTTATTCATATATTTTTCTGGAAATTTGTGAAATCAAATAACAAAAATTTAAACTTGAGACACCATTGATAATTTACCTGACAGATCCTGCAGCTTCATTACGAGCGCTGCGTCTCGTACTATGGTAGCAGTGGAGGGTGGGGTAGTTATGGTGCTGCTAACGATGAGGAGAAGAGACTCACCATGATGCTATTCACTGGTCTCTTTGATGCACTGGCAGAAAAGGTATGAAAAGTGCTCAACAGTGAGTGATACGCATTGCCCCTTAAGGTACATCCATTTGAAGATGTTCATGTATGTTATAAACAGAACACCCAAGAAATCCCTATAATTATTCAATGATTTAATGGACACTGTGGCTTTTAGTCAGAAGTTCTAATATGATTACCTTTCTGTTGAATATAGAAAAACATTGGTTAAACTTTGACATTCTGACAATGCCTCAAATATTGACAAGATACATGTTTAGCTAACTTTTAAGCTTGTTCAGTTTAATTATAATGCACATACAATACACTGCATTGTTATACCCTTTAATTGTAACTTTTAGTCAGTTTTTATGCAAAATGATGATAATGTATATGATAGTTATAGGGCTCTGAGGGGTGTATTAGAATGTATTGCCTTCGATCAAATCATATAACCTTGAAAATTGATCCAGGCAATATAATAAGTTTCTCTGTATCGGGCATAGGCCTATTTAGTAGACATGAAAAACATGCTAGCTTGCATATGGGTCCGTGGATTCACAAAGTAAGGACTCTGTCTCAACATTGAAATGACTTTGATGTATTTGTAGGAGTACGATGAAGAACTGTTTGACAGAGCTCTACCCTGCCTGACAGCCATTGGTAGTGCCTTGCCTCCAGACTACAGCATGTCATACCATGATGAGAGCTATGTCAGGGAATCTTGCTTTGATGCTGACGGCATCTACCAACCAAAACCGGTCGACTCAAACAAGTAAGATGTTTTTCATGTTTTCTTTCTTCAAATTCTCTATGCATTTCAAAGGTTATTCACCTGATTTTCATCAAATAGTGTACCTGTTTTCCCCTCTTACTCTCTCCATTATCTTCATCTTCATCGCTATGTGTAACTTCTAATCCCTCATCTTTTACCACTCCTTCCTCCTCACTTCTGTTTTCTTATTGTTTTGAAAATCTCTTTGCCTTCTAAAATTTTACCTCAATAATATTCCTTTCCTTTTTTTTCCCTATTTTTCTTTTACTGTTCACTAGGCTTTTACTAGATATCGTTCCCCTTGGATCCTAATTAGTCTGTTTCCTTTTCCTTCCAGTATCTTTTCTCATACCTTGTCTACATTTCATCATTTTTTGAAAGTGTCACAGATCCCTTAAGTGAAGGTGGAAGGAAGTGTAATTGAATTCTTACTTTACAATTTGGAAGTAAAATTTTTTCATCTCTTTTTAAAGACTCATTTAACTTATCTCTGAAGCTCTGTTTATGCTACATTTATTCTTTAACATTTATATGTCTTGATGAAATTTGTGAACTTGAAATAATTTTTCTGAATATTTGTTTTGCCAGGGTGCTACTGAATGAGAGTTTGCTGTCCTTCAGTGACAGATTTGCTGAGCATCTTCATGACAGTTGGGCTTTAGCAATGGTAACTTTCTTGCAACTTTTTATTTTTTAATTTGTTTATAGCACTAGCATTTACATTTCAGTCTGATTGTTGGTTTAGTTAATAAGCAAAATATGAATGACTATTCTCTAGAATTGTTTCGTTATTAACTGTTTTATATATAATTAGTGATGGAAAGAACATCTGACAAATTCGAAAGTGTAACTATCGCATAAATTTGGAACAAAATGGAGGAACCTAGAGGCCTGTTCTAGGCACCTCACTCGACACGTTCTCTACTTTATTTTATTTTTTTTTCTATTCTATATCTTTGGTACTGTATTGTTTTGTTTTATTTGATTTCATTGTATACTTGAATGATGAACATGCTCATTCTTTTTTAAAAAGTGAATAAACTTTGAAATTTTAACCTTACATTGTAGACAATCACATCATCTGATGCTTTTTTCCTCCTATAGTTTGACAATGGCTGGACCCATGGTGAAGCAGAAAACAGCGCCATGAAAGAATCATGCATGCTGAGACCTTACAAGACACTCACTACCAAGGTAGGTCATCACATCAATCTTCTCATGGAAGTGTTGTGTGATTTGATCAGTATTACCATCTCAAATTGGCAATGCTATTTTTTTCCTTTTCACTCAGAAATTCCCCCCTCCAATGCTGCATACAGCCTTGTATAGGATTGAGGAGTATTACATATTGCAGCCAAGAAATTGCTCATTCTTAAGAGGAAATAATTGTTGCACATTTATGTACATGTTACCAATATGAGGATATATTTGTAGCAGAAAGAAAAATCCTCAGAGACCTTAAAATACTTAAACATCCAAGTAAGGGATAAGTTTAATATAATATCAATATTTTGTAGTTTAGCAAAACGTAGTGGTATGAAAAGATGTGTCCGGCACGCAAAAAGCATAATGGTATATTGATATTTGCTTATTAGAAGTTCGTTTTTTAGCATGTCTGAATGTAAGTTTAGGTAACATTAAGCCTCATCAACATCATACATGTATTAAGCAGCTCCTCACTTAACAATGGGGGTCTACCTCTGTGTGATAAAATCATTATCTTCAACAATCATGCATTTTGCGTGTGATCCTAAATATACATGTACAGCACCTTTGATTAGGCAACTAGATGTTGGCGCTTTATAAATTCCTGGATTGGATTGGATTGATCCGGACTGATTTTTGTTGTGCCTCTGCATTTCGCTGAGCTGCCTTACTTCAACACCTTCATCAATAATGATGTTCTACATTTTGAGATATGACCAAATAAACATTCATTGCATTTAAGGGGCCACCCTGTGCAAGTACATATAGATTACTCTTCCCTCAATTTATGTCTCTCTTGTATTTAAACAGGAGAAGGATTCATACAGGGAGCCAGTGAGAGAATGCATCAAGGCTCTTCTTGCCTGGGGTTGGTCTGTAGAGAGAAGCAAGGCATCGGAACAACAGTCGCAGGCTCATAGACCAAGGAGATTGTCAAAAGCAAGTCTGGTGAGTAAAGACTAATAGCAGATGTTTCAATTGAATTTAATAGATTAAGAATATCATCCAAGTCAAGTCTGGTGAGTAAAGACTACAGCTAATAGATGTTTCAATCTCGATTTCATTTGATCAAGGATATTATCTAAAGCAAGCCTAGTGAGTCCAGGTTCACCCCCCCCCCCCCACCACATCCTTATTGGGTCGGGGGGGGGGGGGGAGGGGTGAAAGTGAGATATCGAAAAGAGGAAGAATGGCATTCAAATGCTTAGTGGCTTCATATTTTTTTGTTTTGGTACCTCTATGTTACTACTTAAACATCTACTACTGATATCATACATATATATATCATATATATACAACAAGATTTTTTGATGTATGATTGTTGTATTGAATAGATTTTATTCAAAATTGAAGGGGAAAAAATGACATGCAGCCTCGAGACTGATTTTATAATTTTACAAAGAAATCAGAAATTTACATTATAATACAAGCATCAAAATGAAAAAAGCAATATAACAAAATAACGATGGTAACATCACACAGCAATAGTATAACAGATTTAGAAAAAATCATCAAAGATGTGGATAAGTAGTTATAAGAATAACTTAACCATGATTTTTAAACTAGTTATCCTTTACCCACCTATCAGTTATGATTCAGTTTATGTAAAATTACACATTCTTTTCTTTGTGTTTTTGTTTTGTTTACAGGGTGCAATGGAATCCCCCCACGGCTACAACCCAAGACCCATTGACGTCTCAAACATCACACTCACTAGAGAGATGCAGGTACGTGTAACTTCTTGATTTTTTTCTTCAATTCAAAGTACCTTGTGTAGCTTATTGTTATGAATCTCTACTATTGTTAATCATATACATAATCATGGTTATGTATATGTGTGTGGATGCATATTCAATGAGGAGTTGGAGATTTGGAGATTCAATAAACCACCACAGTCATGGGTCAAACTTAGTTGTTTTTGGTGAATGTTCTGCTGCTTTGAGTACTCGTGTATTGTGTGAGGTGAGAGGGATATTAAGTCAAACATGTAGAACCCTTTCATTGTAATATTATCAAGTTTTTTCTGCATATAAAAGAGGATGTTTATCAAAGAAACGCATCCAGCCAATCAGCAGTTGTCTTTCCCTTACGTTAGACTTTTTATCATAGGAAGGTATGTGCTGTAGTCTTCCGGATTGTAGTTTGTTGTAACAGAATTGTTTTTTGACATTTCTTTCCAGAATATTACCCTATCACAGCATCAAGCGCTATCACATGTTAAATGGTCTCAATCCCCTTGAAGAATCATGTCAGATTTATATATATTGGTTTGTGTTTGATAGTCATAATACAAAGTTATATACATATGTGGGTTTTTTGTCTAATGCATTGCAGACTATGGGTGAGAGACTGGCAGAGAATGCACACGATGTGTGGGCTAAGAAGACCAAGCTAGAGATGGAACTAAGAGGTAAGTTCCTAAAAATCAAATTGTTTAGTTAAAATACCCTTTTTATGCCTTTGTTGTCTTATTATATAAACAGATATGCATCACTGTAAGTTGGCCTCTGTACACATTCTATTCAAAAGTCATTCAGAGTATCAATTTTGAACATATGAATATAAAGTGAATGTCCCCAAATTCCCAAATCAGAGGCATTATAGGGATAGATATAAGTCAATTCCTATATCTGTCGAATGGACTGAGAACTCTCAGTCATTAGATAAATTTACATGAAGAAAAATATATCCCCTTCTCACCCTGACCTCTGTCTCAAACAGGAAGTGGTTGCCACGCCCAGCTGGTGCCCTTTGACATTTTGACGGACAGCGAGAAGAAGAAGGATCGAGACATGGCCCAAGCCCTGCTCAAGTTCCTCCAAGTCAATGGATACAGATTGCAGAGGTACGTGAAGCTTTCATTTTACTTTTAATTTTAGAGGGAGAGGGGGTTGGTGATGGACTCTATCAGAAATGTTGGGAGCGAACGAGTGTAGCAGTGAAAAAAGTCTTCAAGCGATGATGAAATATATGTTGATCTAATTCGTGCCCTGAAAAATAGAAACTTTAGAGAAGTAAAATATGTACATTACTTTCAAAGTCCAACCATTTCAACAATAAGAATATATTTCTTTGTATCAATTTACATGTATGTCCATATATAATTGTCATATATTCTGATTTTAATTTGAGTATTGCCTTCTATGATACACACCTTCATTACAGTGTTTTATCCTACTTATAAGAGTTTGAAAATTACATGTGTTATTTATGATAGGGAATTGTGTATTCTATCAAATATATTTCTTGGGGTCATCTACTGTGAATATATATGTTCAGGAAGGAGTCCTAAATAGAATGAATTAAAGAACTATTTTGTGTGTAAATTCCATGTAAATGCTTTTCATTTAATTGATTGCCTAATCAAAAATTGTTTTGATATTGTAGCTATCTATTTCACTGTTCAGGTTTTTATTAATACATTTTACATACATGCATGTATAAAAATAAAAGACTATCACTTCTGTAATTTGTATCGGAATGCCCTATTTACTTGTAAGTTCATTATTTTATCATGCAATTAACAGTGAAGAGGAGGAGGCAAAGAAGAGGTAACATTGATTACTTTTGTGGAGGAATCCACATTTATATTGTGCATGCTTTATTTTTGTATGTGTACATAGTTTTCATCTGTGGAATTTGCGCCTGCAGAGTATGTTTGAAACCATTTGTGCATGTAGTAAAAATATGTTCCCGTTGTCATGGCTTACAATAAGGGAGTGAACATACATTATAAGTTTTCAATCCATTTTTTTATTCATTAATTTATTTATAGTTTTATTTTTACTGGGCAGCATTGGCAGTTACAAAACTGCTTTCCACATTGGCTCTTTTGGCCTAGATTAAGTATAAATATATATATGTAAAATATGATTTAAGATTGAAATTATAGACAAATTAATTGCTAAGTTCTAGATACATGTACATGTACCAATTCATGGTAAACTAAGAATAATCTGTCGATAATGAAGGTGAATTAAAAGAATTTTGTTGGAAAATACTCTATTTTTTTAAAATCAAAAGGCAAACAAATACACAACACTGACAGAAAAAAAGTAATTAAAACTAAAGCTAACCATTCTGTTTGAAAGTAACACCACCCAAAAAATGAGTGATGTGGAGGGGAAAAATGATTTGATTACAAAAGGAGCAACATATTTCAGGATTTGATCATTGCTCATTATTTTCTCAGTTATCACTTTACCAGTATTTTCAAATTGGTACCAATGTTTCTGCTTGAGCACCTTTAACTATTTGAGGAGTCACTTCATGTGGGCCACATGTTTTGCTGTGTGAAATTGTATGAAAGACCTGTTTTGACTCAGATTTTTGTTGTAGATTACACATACATGTAGTGTTTATGTACTTCTTTGAAAGTTCCTGTAAAGATTACATTTTTTATTTACAATCTATCAAATTTCACTTTTCTTTACATTTCATGTTTTCGTTCTGTCCTATGGCAAGTTCAAGTTCCATTTTGTCTGTTACAGATAAGAATTATTCACATGTACATAGATATTCAGCTATTTCAATTTAACTTTGTATGTATTGTCACATGATATATATGAAGCTCTCCTGTTGAAGTTCTATCTGTTGATAGAAACATGTATATGTAGACTGAGAGTAGATGATGATTTTTTTTAAATGCAGGCTGAAGACTAGTTGTAGATGTTTATGTACGTTTAACGTCATGATCATTAGCGTCATTTGAAACAGATTGTATCAAATTAATGTACGTGTATATCAATTAAAAATGTTAGTTATAAAAAAGGATTAACATTTGAATGTAGTTACATGTACATTGAACATTACAGTCCTAGTTTAACAAATAGTGCCGGGACTTTATAGCGTAGTATTTGCTGTTTTGATTGTAATTCTTGATTGTTAGTTGTTGGGTTCTCTGCTTGCATGTTAAAGTTTTGATAAAGTGTTGAGTAGTATGCACTGTAGATCTGTAGTGGACCATAAATGATGGATATTGCAGCTGTGAAGCCATAGCGCAGTACAGACGAACACCTAGTTAGCTGATTATCACAACTTTTGTCTATTGTTCCAAAGATTTTTGTTATTTTGGGTTTGAAATGATATTGTGTTGCAGCATTTTTTGCAAAGCTATTTTGCTGCATGAAGTTTTGTTTGAAGGTTTTTATATGTGTTATTTACACTTGATTTTCTTTCTCCAGTGTACCAATATTTGCTTACATACAGAGCACTCTTCAATTTCAAAGGGTTGACTTTTTTTTACATTGTAAATGTAATATTATTATCATTTTTTTTTAGAGAGATCGCATGCATGAATTGTGAAGTTAAGTATTACAGTGTAGTAATAAATAATGTAGCCTATGGTGATAGAACAGAGCAATATTCTCAAAAAGAGTACTCTCCAAACACTTTGTTGTACTTGTTTGTTTTGAAAATTAAAAAAAAACACTTATAATAGGTCTCAAGTGTATCTATGTGCCCCAAGCAAAGACTCCAAGTATTGAAATGATTTTCGGTCACTTAAAAGGTGAATCAAAATCAAAATCAGAATAAAACATGATTAATAAGTCTTCACTACCACAAACATGTACATTATATGTGTATATCACACAAGGCACATGGTGTGCATGCGTATGGTCATCCAATAACTATTTCCCATTTGGGATGATTTTCCTTACAGACACAGTCTGTCCATGGATGCTGATGGTATCATCAGAGGACACAGCACCATAGAGAAGAGATTCGCCTTCAATCTCCTGGACAAACTCCTGCACTATGTGGACAAGTCACAGGCAAACCTGAAACCTCAGAGGCGCCAACAAGATTGTGAGTGATGACTGAGTTCAAAGCGGGACTGCACCACTTGTAGCTACTTGCGCCCTCTATATAGCCAACAATGCCTAAGCGGTACCCATTGACCCCCCATGGTCCCCCTTTTCTTCTGTTAATTGAGAGCTGATTTGATGAGATAACCACCTGCCATTGACCATGCAGGGAGGTCTAATCCATCCTGGCCAAGCTAATGCAGATAGGCTTTAAGGTTCAAAATGATGTATGGGGTTGAGGTGTTATAGTAGTGTTTGGAGGTTATAGTCATAAAATAAAACTCTGTAGCAGAAACTGTAGAAAAACAATTAGACAAAGATGACTGCATTTTCCTGATATTTATGATACGTCTTGTAATCTTGATTTTACAAACTTATGTAAAATGATGTCCAATGTTTGTTTGTTTATCCTATCCAGCTTTCCGGTCATCGAAGAAAGAAAGCTCAGGTGACAGAGGATACAAGTTCTTCGCAAAGGTAACTTTCATCTCTCTATTGTAACACATATAGTAAAGATGGTAATAAGATGGTATCACACTGTGTCATGTCAACAGTGAACTTGATTTTATGAAAACGAGAGTGCTAATATTTGTTATCAACACTCACCCCTCCTACGTAAATATGTTGACCCCTTCTTTGTATAATTCACCTTCATTGAGTATTTCTATACCTCTGTTATTCATTGTTCTTTTCTCCATCTACCTTGATCATTTATTTTTCCTTCGCTTTCATCCATTCTATAGTGAAGAAGTAGACTATATAATGTGGTAGTTGAACTTTTAAAAACTAACCGTTTCGAAGTATCAACAAAATTCACTTCTGAATCGTTTTTCACCCTCCCCTGCTACAGGTTGTTCTTCCTCTAATCGAGAAGTACTTCCAAGCTCATAGCTCCTACTTCGTAGCTGACCCCAACGCCCCTCAGGCTGGCAGGTCAGGAGGGGCATCCACCAGAGAGAAAGAGCTTGTATCAAGGTAAGGCCCTGCATACTTTCTATCTCTTTATGTGCTGCATTTAATGATAGAGACCTCCATCGGTGTGCCATGTTTTGCTGATCAGGACACATAAAATGTCTAATTATCTCCATCGATGGACATACTGTGTTTGCTAAAAACTGTTCAAATGAACATTGGAAGAAGAAAAAAAAAGGTTCATTTCATATACATGTACCAATTTTATTTGTAGCCAGTACAAAAAACATGGCTGTCATTTTTTTGGGGGGTCCTGCTGCCCTTCACAATGTGGTCTGATTTTCAATTACTGTAAATTACAATTGATAAACATAATTACTAGATGTGTAAGAGAAATGGTGTAATTAATTGTTTTTATTGATAATAAATCAAAGTACTGCTTTGTAAGGGAAAGGATGTAAGATGAATAAAATCCTGTGATGAGATTCTTACATCAATTTGTTATTTAAAATATTTGAAAGCAAGACTTGTGCACATACATTTGCATTTACCATCACATTATCTTTTGAATTGAATTATATGATATATTGTACTTCTACATGTATATCTGGATTGCTGTGATTCTATCTTTGTATTTTCATTTCATGCATTGCATTGCATTTGCTTCCTGTGTTACTTTCATGCTTATTTATTGACATGTATCATTTTGTGCAGCATCTTTTTATTCTTTTGCCTTTGAATTGCAGATGATAGTCAGTTGAAGTTATGTATCATTAAAACAAAATTATGAGGTTTTCAAAGCACCATTTATTCCACTTACACGTTGATGTCACACTTAGGTATCCAGTAAAAGTCAGATAAATCATGAACCAAAACGATTCTAATTTTAGGCTCACCATAAAGAATTCATACCCTCTTCACAATATCAAACATTGAAAGCAATAAATTTCATTCTAAATATATGTTGTGCTTGTTTGAGACATGCCTGATTTACAGAGAATGTTCCCATTTTCACCCATGTATCATTGTGAAGAATGTACTGTAACCCTCCCATTATTACATATCATGAAAAATGATACATTTTTCTATACCTTGTTTAATGAGAATGCTTCCCTTTTCACTCAAATGGTCCTTATGAAGAAATTTACCCCTTTTACTAATAGATCATTATAAAGATTTGAACCACCATATTATTTACCCATTTGTTATTAAGATAATTTTATCTCTGCAGTCATAAAACACATTTGCTAGCCCAAATTTATGTAGTCTTCATTCTAAGACCCAAAATTACCAAGTGCCTTGTATATATATATATATATATATATATATATATATATATATATATATATATATACAAAGGACCTTCCATTTTGTTCATTATTCAAATATTATTTCGTTATTTATTAGTTTGAAAAATATTCCTCCTTTACATCTCCATCTCTTTGTTTCATTTATTCACCTTTTCCTGATTTATATTATGCATTTGGTTTGTTTTGAATCGCTTTCTGGCTGCTACAACCTGACTAATATCTATCTCTTCATTTTCCGCCCAACTAATCTCGTTTGCAATCAATGCCTCTAGTGAGATGATGTTTATGCCCTATGCATCTCATGTGGAGAAAGCTATGGTAGCCAGGTGAGAATAGTGCTGCTATGTCAGGTAGCTTCATGTTTGGTGGGGATTTGGTGTATTTACATGTAGAAGTCATCCACAGTGTTAGTGAATTTACATGCTTTCATCTGTGATTTTTCTAGCTCAATCAACAAACTCCTGCATTATTCATGAATCATCCAGGCGTTTTGTCAAAAGTTCTCCATTTTGTTACTGTCAAATGGCATACTTTTTTGATACAAATGATTTGAAATCTGAGATCCATATTCTTTTTTCAAAGTTGTCATTAGTGACTAGCAAATTTGTGAATATATTTTGAGAGTTTTTGTAGGACAAACATTTCTTAGTGAATTTTTAAGACTTATTAGATTTTTATTGATTTTAAGATTGTAAAGAAAGAAAAATGTCATGTTTAATAGTAACTTTCACCACGTTCATGACCCAGGCCAACACTGTGGATGTACTTGAAACTTCCTTATTTTAGCGGTGTAGTAAAGATCTGTTCTACCTTGAATCTGTTCGAATCGTATACCCGTACATGAGTTATGTAATTGTGTGTATAAGTTAGTAGAAAGTCAAATTTAATTTGGTGCATGTGTGTCATTCATTTGGATCATATATTTTGCTCAAGGTACCCTTATTACCTAGCTCACAATTATCCACTTCAATATATGCTTTAGGGAACTGAGTTCCCAAGGAAAGTGAAGACTTCTTAACGATGCATGTGGTTGTTCCTTCTGCTCTCTCCGGGGTTCTGTTTGATAATTGTGAGATGTGTATATTTATCTTAGATAGTTTTGTATTTATTGGTGATAGAGGGATGCATGTTAAACCAGCCTCAAGTAGTTGTAGATAAAGCAAACTTGATCACCTAACTGATGTAGATTAGGGTCTTGTGTTGCACTACTAGTTAGAGCTACGTGTAAGCTCTAGGTTTATGTACATTAATTTTGTAGATATGTACCTGTCACATTACAAATTAATTTTGTACGAGACGAGCATATCTGTTTGGGTGTATTTTGGTGTTCACAAATTTATATGCATACAAACCCTCTAAAAGAAAGAAAAACAAATTATTGAAAGCTTCCCTTTACCAGAACAATACTGTTTCCGATATTCATTTTAGAGTGATCTGAAAAGAAAATATGTGTGAGAATTCCGCAAACATTTGTATGGTGACATGTGCATGTAAATTGGCATAATTCATGTTATTTATTGATAGTGTTTAATAATGTTTAATCAATTAATAAGCAATCATCCTTCTCAATCTGCAAATATATCAAGTCAATTGAAGCTGTAATCCTCTTGTACAATGCAAGTATGTCCCAGGAGACTCTTTTTTTCTTCTCCTTCATGTTTTAAAATGGGTCGCTTCACAGAATTATAAAGGTATTGTGCTGTCAGGTTTTGCTTCCGTTCTGCTAATTACTGTGTGATTGGATCAGTCTTGTTCCTATTTGATGCCTTGCATTTCTTTACTTCACAGTGCATGCCTCTCAACATTGTATTTGTATATATGTTTTGGTTAAAGATGGAGCACATTTTTTTTTACATGATTTGGTAAAAAATAAAGATGTAGTATATTGTTGTGTCCATGCAATATTATGCTTCCCTCTGTCAAATTCAAAGACTGTAATGTATGGCAATCAAATGCCATTTTATTTTTGATCATGTGTTTTTATTTTTGCTATCTATTATCTATTTTACTCTTTGCACCTGTATATTCTATCATATCCAAAACCTGTTTGCAGGCTACTAGGGGTCAATAGCATTCTTTGTAGTCCTGTAGATAGATATAACAAATATGGAATTTTTATTCCTTTTTTTACTGTCTATTAACAAAATGCATATTTTTTTAATAAACAATGTTGATGTAGGTATCAGATATGCCATACAGGGAACAATTGGAAAGAAAGCTTCTCTCTAATTGTAATAGACAGTTTCTTGTAAAATATATATTTTAATCTTTAAAAAATTCTCCCTGTTAGTTTTACCATTAATATACATATAATTTGCTTTACATAATGTTAATACATGTTATTTTTCAATGCCACCAATTAATACAACCTTACAAGAATGTATGTGGATGTAAATCAGCTGCATATCTTTGAATCTGGGTATAACATAGTGAAATCTGTTCAGTATATGCTACTTGCTAAATGTAAATAAATGTACATCTTCTTTTTATTAATGTCTGGAATGGATATTTACATTTTTGCTAACAAAGTTTAGCCTCAACGACCGTGTTCATTTTATCTTGAAGTCATATGCACATGTACATTTTAAAGTTAAATCTGTTCAAGTACATTCATTTGTCTAAAATTAGTAATAGGAGAATGATAGAATTAGCAGATTTTACGTGTACTCTGAACTTTTTCTCCTGTTTTCTATTTTCCAGTCTGTTCTGCAAGCTTGCTCAGCTCATTCGACAGAAGATCAATCTATTTGGTGAGTGAACAAGATCAACAATTTCCTTCTTTTTTTCCTTTTCATTTTACCCAAAACATGTGATCAAGATTAATAAAATGTTTCTGTGCTTTATTCTTTTGATTAAGCATTTATTATCCATGCAAAAATTTGTTTTTCACTGGTAAAATTTTACGGATCAGTTTATATATAGAAATAATCATAGTCATAGACAATTACAGTAGTGGTTAACAAAAATTCATAGCGGCTTTATTGGGGAAGGTACACAAAAAACAGTTTTGTCTTTGATACCAATGTCTTTGCTGCTTGTCTGTGATATGATATTTCTGTTCTTTGTTTTCGGCAGGTCGTGATCTAGTGCCCTTCATTCGCTGCATCAGAGTGGTTGCACAATCTATTGATGCCAGGTAAGTGGTTAATCTACAAGCTCTTTCTGTCTTTCCCTCTCTCTGTTTCTCTTTCTCTTTCTCTCTGTCACACTCATACACATACAGACACGCTATATCTTAGATACTCAGGCCCACAACGACTGTTTCTTCTTCTCTAAATATACACACACCAACACGCTTTACCTCTCTTTCTCTTTCCTCACTTTCACATGCACACATTCCTATTTTCTATTTTATAACACACATACACACACAATACACACCCACACTATATGTTACATCTTCAGGCTCACAACCTCTATCTCTTTTTCTCTAAACTCACACACCCACGCACCCACATGCTGTATTTCTCTCTGCGTAAGTTTCACATTAACACATTCCCACTTTCTCTTTCTATCACACATACACACAATACACACCCACAAACTCTTTCTGTCATATACAGTCAAACCTGTCTATAGTGACCACCCAAGGGAAACACAAAAAGTGGCCTCTGTAGACAGGTGGTCTTTGTAGACAGGTTCCTTTAGTACATGATTCAATGAGAAACCATTTTCAAGGGAAACAACAAATGTGGTCTCTGTAGAAAGGTGGTCTGTGTAGACAGGTGGTCACTAAAGCAGGTTTTACTACATAAATTTTTACTCACACACACACTCTCTGTACTACTTTCCTGACATCTGCCATGAGATGAAAAGTCACAGCTGTTACTTCATACATCTGTTCACATCCTATAACTTGCTTTCATAGAAATTGTACATCTGCAAAACCAAAATCAAATTACTTTAAAATAAATTGGCAGATTTTGACAGGTCTTGATATGAATGTATCATCTATTCTAAAAAGTAAAAAAAGCTAGTGGTCTGTGAAAGCTGAGCAAAATGTAGTGACACAAAAAGTTGCAGATTTTGAACAAAAGACCAAATGTGATAGTTGACAATCCTTTTCACCTAGCAAGCTAGTGTTGGCATGCACCAGGACCCTGTTTCATAAAACTTGTTATCAATAACAGGTCCCACTGACTGTTATAAGCTACTGAAATCAGTGCATTTGATTGGCCGAGAGCAAAGTTGTCATAGATCTGTTGCAATTGTTATTGATATAAAGTTTGATGAAACGGGGCCCAGGATGTCTCATTTGGACACCAACTTGGAAAGATCACAGATACAGGCGAATGTTGGTTGACCAGATGCATTCCTAATTTGTTTATGAATTGTATTTTATATATTTTATATTCCAGTACATTCCACAAAGCTGCCTTGTGTGTAAAATAGAGTTTCTGTATAAATCACCATTGGGTATATTCCTAAGGTCCACAAGAAAGATAATTTAAACATGGATATAAAAAAGGAGAAAAAATCCTCTAAGTATTAGGAGCAGTATGTTTTAAATAACAGCAGCTGATCCTTGATAAAAGAAAATGGCACATCTCAAATATATGACATCATCTTATACATGATTTGTTTGTATGTATGTCTATAATTTTTTTATCCATCATGTGCTACTACTGTAGTTTAATGGTTTTCCACCAAGATTTGTAATATGTGTCTTTATATATATATATATATTTATTTTGAGGTGATAATCACTTAGCAATACAACTCCCAAAATAACTTTGTTATATTTGAAGTATTGTATACATCATGTGAATAGCAATTGATAATAAACATATATTGAAAAATTCTAGAGTGATCATAATGCTTAATCCAGTTGCTTTGATAAACTCACTGCCATTGATTTAGTACTAATGTAAGGCTCCACAAAGCTTAAAACCCACATCTTTGATTTGTTCATCATAACCCGTTCTTTTTCCCCCAGATTTTCTTTGATCTTTTGATTTGCTCTCCCATGCACCATTTTTTCATCATGCGTATCTCTATCTCTGTCTCATTATAACCCTAGGGTGTCTCATTCAGATGGGCGAAGGTACCGAGTGTGAATTTTTTTCTTTCATAACGTGTGGGCTCTTTCTTCACACCCTCCCCGCCCCCTCCCCCATTTGAATTCTGCCAGTTCCGTTATCATCTTTTAAGACGTCAACACCTAGCTCCATGTTGTTTTGCCCTTTCATGCATCTTATTGAATCCAGTCATTGTGTATTTTACCCTCTTTTTGTAATCATTTCCTTGTGGTTTTAGTTTGTTTTTACCCTTTTTGCATTTTTTTTCCACCATCATCCACCCCATCAGATTTGATTTCATGAAAAAGCACCCATGCCACACCCCACTCCCTTTAAAAAAAGATTATTATTTATTGACCATCTATCATATCATATTCATTCTTTGTGGGGAAATATATTAAGAAGAAAATGGTGCATTGATATACTTTAGGCAAGATACTCAATAACAGTATTTCACTCAATGTTTATATACATACTCAATGCTATATACATGTACATGTACATACATTGTATTCTGCTGCATATTTGTATGCGATGTACATATAGAAGTAGGATACATGTAAATTGATTCACTATCTAATTTCTCCTTCAACTTAAGACGGAAATGGAAGAAATCTGTACCCAAGGAGCAAATAACAAAGAGAACCATCCTTTATGTGTTACATTATTTTTGGAAATGGAAGGAGATATACTAAAATTCCTAGTGGAGAGTTCTGCTGTTTATTTTTACTCATATTGAGCGTTTTTAAAGGATTACTTCGCAGCATCAATGAAACGTTCATATTCTGTGTGTTTTGCAGCAGTGTAAATTTTTCAAGATGTGTGGTTCACTTAATACCTTGTCGCTAAAAACAAGACTCTACGTACATGTGCTGTAACTATAGCTCATTGTGTTTGATAGTTCGGACAATCATCTTTTCCACTGTATATAATTATATTACTATCAATGTAAACTTTATTCTGTCAGAGGAAAACTGGTCAGTCCCTCTTTATTCCTTTTCATGATAAGTTACAGTGTTGATAAACATTTTAAAGTGTACTTCAGTAATAATTTTTCTCTGTTTATTTTTAATGTTTCAAAATAGAAGAATGCGTTTGCATGATTTCTCTGCAGCTTCCATCTCACACTGTTTGAATTCATGTTTTTTTCAAAACTTGATTCTTAAATGAATCATTTTCTCTCACATGCACTCGTGTCTTTGAATGCTCTTGGAACTTTCCTCTTGTTTTGCCATATTACACAAAATTCGCTCATTTAATTTATAATTTTGAACATAATTACTCAGTAATATTGACTTAGAGAATGGAAGTTATGCATAGAAACTAAAGGTAACTCAAATTATGTATCAATGTTAACTATATACTGTTCAGTTTCTCAGAAGTCAAATATATTTGTATACTATTTATATTATTATTATTATCAGATTACAGTCATTCAATATGTTTTGTATCTAGAAACCTTTCTATTTAAAAAAACATCTGTCAGGTTTATCTGGAAAACTAATGCATGATACTTTCATATATTGTCACCTTTTGTCCTTCTCAAATTCATATACGGTACATGTAATCATAAATTTATAGCCTCATATTAGAAAATGTTCCTTGAATATTTGTTTAATATCATTCGGTAGTTATGTATAAAATGTACATCTACTAAAAACATATAGAAGTTAAAAGTGTATTTTCACTAAAGTCATAATGATAAAAAAAAAAAATTCTTTCAATATTTGTGTTTTTGGAAATTCTCTTTGCAATAAACAATTTTCATCAGTGGAGGGTCCCATTTAATTTAATTTGCAACCAGTCTATATTATCATATTTACAGTGAATACACAATTATACTCTGTTGTTCCGACACACAAAAAAGGTTGCTTTATTAGGATAGTATAATTCATAATGCATATGTAAAACAATTCATAGTCCCATCTATGCATGGCCATTTATAAGATGTGACAATATTTTTTTTTAAAGAAAAAAAAAAGAAGAAGATTTTAACCTATCCAATTGCCCCCTCTATCAGTTCTGTTGTGAAGCACAGCGCTGATGCCATCAAGAATGGCCTGCTTGTCTTCTTTCGCCACGCCTCTGACGACCTCGTCGCTACTGTAGACTCGGTCACCTCGGGAGGGCGTTTTACGCACATCAAGTCGAATCAGGTCCACAAACACAGCCTGGCAGTTAACTACGTTCCGGGCGTGCTCGTTCCCGTCCTGATCAGCCTCTTCCAACATCTTGCCAGGCATAACTACGGTGCTGATTTGCTCTGTGAGTAGGCGTGGTTGAATCTCATCTGGAGTTCAGGGGGGTGTTTCACAAAGATTCAAAGTCAAACTTCACTTTAAGTTGGACTTAAATATTATGGATAGCCATTTGTAGCCTTATTTTGAAATATATTCAAAATAAAAAAATTGAGTATTTTAGAGTTTTCATAAATTCCACATCAAGAACATGAATCTACCATGATAATAGAAAATATGATTGATTTGAATCAACATTTTATGCCTTTTAATATAAGTTTTACAAAATATTTTCAAGGATGCTAATGGCTTAATTGTTAGGTTCAACTTAGAGATAAGTTCAACTTAGGATCTGGAAGCAAAGAATAGTAGGTTTCTATAGAATCCAGCAAACTTAGCATTAAACCTAATGCTTGAGGCTGCTGTTATCAATCCCTTCAATGCCAACAACAAAGTTTATGAACAGTTCTCATTCAGGTTAATTTGTTTAAGTCCTCATTTGTAGTTTGTTTCATTGGTAAATTTGCAAATTTAACATAAAATATAATCTTTCATTTTGCATTGACTAAATATCCTCTTTAATCTGCTCTCTCTAATTCATTAAGGTTTTATTTTTACTCTAGTCATTTTTTTATGTTTACGTACATGTATGTAGACTATAAATTCTAAATTCTAAAATAGTTTTAATGTACATCACTTGAAGGGGCGATTCTAGGGAACTATTTAAAAAAAAGAGTAATAGTAGGAATACAATAAAGTACATACAACTGAGCAAATTGAAATTACTTTGACATTAGTAGTACTCACTATTGACGGACAATGATTTTATCGTTGATATACATGTATAATTGCCTTTTTCCTTCTTTTTTTCGTCTGTCATTTTGTTTTGCACAGTGGATCAAATCCAAGTGTACTGCTATCGTATTCTCAGCTGTCTTTACAAAGTTGGTGCTGACCAGTCCATCTATGTCAAGAAGTGAGTATATTTACAGCTTGCACAATCAACTAGACATCTAGGAGCAGATCGTATTTTCTTCTGTTGAAATTTAAAGTCAATTTAAAGTATATTATCATGAAATCATGTGGTGACGTTGTTTTTATTGAAATTATGATTCCTCTTGATCCTTACTAATAAAGTGTATCCCTATCTAGAAATACATCTAGAATACAACATTCTACTTTTCTTTCAAATCCCTTCTGTTTGTGTTGTCAATTACATGTACCCATCGATAATCAAGTCTTACTTCCCCCCTCGATTTTTAGTTCCAGGCACTATTAATAATGTCAGTAGGAATATTTTCTTTTGAACCCTGTCTGCATTTAGGAATGTTTTGGGTCACCAATGAGACAATGCATCAGCTTTTATAACGTGGGTGAATTATAGCTGAATATTCACTTGGAAAAAAAAGAAGGAAAAATTGCCATCTTCTTGTTTTCAAACAAATGAACATAAAGCTTTCTCAAATACACACCATTTTAATATTGATACCTGTTCCTTTATATTATAAAGATAATGAACATGAGATATCACAGCAAAGATCCAATACTTCTCTGTTTATTGTAGTGTATAGATATGTTGGGGACACTAATACAGGTGGTTAAGGGGCACGTATTGTAGTATAGTCTGTGACCCAATCAATTGATTATTCTCTGTTTTAGTGAGGAGGCCAAAGATGTTGGAGAGAGGTAAAATAACAAGGATTGAATGAGAAGACAGTTTGAATGCAATACATCAGTAGCCTTCTTGCAGTGACTAACAGCCATGAATTATATCATATTTGATTAATAATACAATAGAATCATTTATGCTTAAACTGTTGAATCTGGTTGATTATTATGATTGAATGAACAATGAATAAAAGTTTTGTGCTTCAGCGTACAGAATTGTGAAAGGAGTAATAAGAAAGGGATATATATATATATATATATATATATATATGTGTGTGTATGGAGAGAGAGAGAGAGAAAGAGATTGAATTTTCAAGTCTTTATTATAAATTATATATGCTTGTAAAATAAATATTGCTGCCAAATGTTGCATTGATGTGATGTATTCGTGAGTATACGTGCAAAATACCATTATGCTCATTTGAGCATTTTTTCATCTGATGCAGTATTTTTACTTTGATGATTAAGTATAATAAGAAGAAGTATCACAGGTATTTAAAAAAATATTGAGTGTATTGAGCATTAAGCATGGATTTTCATGACTTATGGTATTTACCCAAAGGTATATTGTGATTATTACAAATTTTCAATATAGAAAAAATCAAACATTAGTTTCTTGGTGTAATGCACTACATTTTTCCCTGCACACTTCAGACATATTTTATCACTGCACTAACTAAACTACATACATGTATATATATTTTTTCCCTCTTTTTCTGCTGTTGAATGTAATGCACACTTCATTCAAGTGACTTCACATGTACATTCATGATTGATAATAAAACATGTATGAAAATATACAATGTAGATGCCAACGTTTGAAGTTGAGCCTTTTTAAAACATATTGCTTTTTAGCTAGGTATTCAGTGAATTTCAGAAATAGTACAATGAGAGTTCAGCATGGCATGTGCAATATGAGAAGTGTTTTATTTTCTTCTTTTTTTGCATTCTTTATAAACTATTTTTCAAATGCTTCATCTATATAAATGTCAGGTAGTGATAGCAAAATGTAGGCCTGTGGTCTTGAAACTTGACGATTCAAAAGCTTGCTCTATTGAATAGATTTGACATTAACTTGCTTTTACTTACATTTACAAAATAATTAAAAATTAGTATTAGTAAAATACATACATTTACAAAATAATGAAAAAATTAGTAAATAGTAGTTTAAATAAATTTTCCTGACTTTCTTGTTGTTTGTCTTTCTATTTGAGCTCTAAAATGGTTTCTACATTTTTAAAGACTGAAATGAAAGTCATTTATTAAATAATGAAATGTAAATTAGTATGCCTGTTGCTCTAGTGGTTGCATGTACTATATATTCGCTTGGTGATTGTGCAAAATATATTTCAATTTTCACTCTCTTCAGATCACATATTCTGCTCAGAACCAAAATGGCATTAACTCATTGTTGATGGATATGAGTTGAAGCCTTTCTGGCTCTCAGAAGACAACATAAACGCTGTGTTGCCCCAGGGAACATACACAAACATCCCAGCAGACCAGGGCACAAAATCTGCTACAAACCCAAGAAGTATAGTCTTACCTCTGTGTTAACGGACGTTCCAGCAGACCAACATGCCAGTAGACCACAAGACCACTGATCATGAGAACAACAATTCTTTTTTGGGGGCCCTCACAAAGATATCTGAAGGCCCATGACGATAACATTGTTGGTCTTGTGGGCTTTTAGTTTCATAGGCTGTAGCCGAAAATTGTATACCAGCGTCATGCATGTGCAAGTACAATGTGTGCATTGTGTGTTTCACTGGTCATCTATCGCCTTCTTTGTCTGAATTTTAGATTACGTCCAGCCATCGGCGAGCTCCTCGCTGCCTTTTCCGGAGCCTTCCCTGTGGCCTTCCTGGAACCACACCTCAACAAGAACAACCCTAACTCTCTGCTTGGACAGATCGAGCTGAGAGGCGCCACTGTTGAGGGTAAAGGTACATGTATCGTCTTTGCTATACCTTGTGAAAAGTGATATATTGTTCTTAATGTTACCTTAAGGAAATTGTAACCAGATGGATAGTGTTACCTTATGGACTGTGTTACCTATGTAAAGTGTTACCCTTATGGAAAGTGTTACCTTATGGAAAGTGTTATCCTATGGAAAGTGTTACCGTTACTTAATGGATAGTGTTACCTTATGTATTGAAAGTGTTACCTTATTGAAAGTGCTGCTGTATGGAAAGTCTTACCTTTATATGAAAAAGTGTTTGAAAAGTGATATCTTATGGAAATTGTTACTCTATGGAAAGTGTTCCATGTACCTTATGACAAGTGTAACTTTGTGGAAAGTGACTTTTTCAGCCTATGCATGTGGCTTTACATAAATCTTTTGTAAGGTAGTTTTATGACGATTGTAGTGTATCCTTGTTTTATAGTCCCATGATCTTGTGACAGAGAAAACTTTATCTCACAAAATTTGATTCTTTAGTAAACATGTCATTACGTATGTAAGAAATACATTTGTATGGCTTCTGGTATTTTCTTCTCATCTTTGGTTTTTTCTTCCACTTAATTTCCAGAGGAGCTGATTAAGCTTGCCGCCGGGATCCCCACTCTGCCCGCTGTTGTGACAGAGATCGACAAGATGGCGATGTCGGGAGCGAAGTACGACCAGGCTCCTCACATCATTGAGGTCATCCTACCCATGCTTTGCAGGTTAGTGGACCACCTCACACTCTTTGTGGATGTGTGACACTTTAAATTAATATGTAATGCCTCCAATAAGTGACCGATGCTTAGTGAATGTCAGCAGGATTCTTGAATCCAAAAATAAAAATGGTCAGATACATGTTCTACAAACAAAACACAGTTGCTTGATTGAATATTGAACAATTAAATCATAGCTTAATTCAAATTGACTCATACAAAATAGATACATGACATGCGTGTCTCTTTGTAGCTGAGTGCAACAATGTGATCTTTCGTTTTAGTCTCGTCTCTTTTGGAAGAAAAAAATCATTGAACTTTCAAGAGTGAAATTTTGACTTGTACATGTACATATATGTTTTATTGATAAAATTGGCATAGATAAATACTTTATAATGGAGAACCTTGTTTTTTTTTCGGGATGAAAAATGTAAATATTCTTAGTCCAACCATACTGTTCCATATTCAAAATCCTTAGTTATCTGTTCTTTCTCTCATTCATTTCTTCCCATAGCTATTTGAATTACTGGTGGCAACAAGGACCTGATAACATCTGCCGCAGACAAGGGTGAGTTCACATCAGTACTTGGCGTATTGCAATCAAAAGAGTGCAATGTGTGGTGGGATTGAAACACTACTGAAAGTGTGATGTCTCTCTTGGTATGGACACCGAGACCTACTGCTAAAAGAATGGAATTAAATTTCCCCTGCAGGTTTTTGTACTGGGACCTCATATCTTGATTACAATCCTGGTAATTGATGGCTGTTTTTTAATTTATATTGTTTCTTTCTGTAGCAACTATTGGACCATGGTGAACTCTGGGAATCTTAACAACACCCTAGGCAACGTCCTGACCCTGGTCAAGAACAACCTCGGTTTAGAGAACGCACCCTGGATGTCACGCATTGCAGGTAGGTCCATTGCTGGTTGACTCAGTCATGCCCTGTGATGAAACTGAATAGAATTCCATGTATGTGATAAGTAATGTTGTAGAGGTCATGTGCATAAAAGCCTGTCATGGGATACAGAAAAAGTACCTGGATGTCACGCACTGCAGGTAGGTCCATTTCTGGTTGACTCAGTCATGCCCTGTGAGGTAACTAAATAGGAGTTCCATGTAATGTGATAAGTAATGTTGTGACAGTCATGTAAATAAAGCCTGTCATGGGATACAGAAAAATTACCTGGATGTCACGCATTGCAGGTAGGTCCATTGCTGGTGGACTCAGTCATGCCCTGAGAGGTAACTAAGTAGGAGTTCCATGTATGTGATAAGTAATGTTGTGACAGTCATGTAAATAAAGCCTGTCATGGGATACAGAAAAATTACCTGGATGTCACCCATTGCAGGTAGGTCCATTGCTGGTTGACTCAGTCATGCCCTATGATGAAACTGAATAGGAATTCCATGCATGTTCAATATAAGGAATGTTGTGACAGTCATGTGAATAAAGCATGTCATGGGATACAGAAAAAGTACCTGGATGTCACGCATTGCAGGTAGGTCCATTTCTGGTTGACTCAGTCATGCCCTGTGAGGTAACTAAATATGAGTTCCATGTATGTGATAAGTAATGTTGTGACAGTCATGTGAATAAAGCCTGTCATGGGATACAGAAAAAGTACCTGGATGTCACCCATTGCAGGTAGGTCCATTGCTGGTTGACTCAGTCATGCCCTGTGAGGTAACTAAATAGGAGTTCCATGTATGTGATAAGTAATATTGTGACAGTCATGTGAATAAAGCCGGTCATGGGATACAGAAAAAGTACCTGGATGTCACGCATTGCAGGTAGGTCCATTACTGGTTGACTCAGTCGTGCCCTCTGATGAAACTGAATAGGAATTCCATGTATGTGATAAGTAATGTTGTGACAGTCATGTGAGTAAAACCCTGTCACGGGATGCAGCACACATCACGCATTGCAAGTAGGTCCATTGCTGGTTGACTCAGTCATGCCCTGTTAGGTAACTGAATAGGAATTCCATGTATGTGATGAGTAATGTTGTAACAGTCATGTGAATAAAAGCATGTCATGGATGCAGAGAAAGTACCTTTATGGAACCAACACTGGCATTGGTTACTCATTGATTTAGTGATGCCCCTGATGTCACAGACATAATAATAATAATAATAATAATAAAAACATTACTTATAAAGCGCTTACCACCAAAGTCTCTAAGCGCTATAACACACAAAATAGCCGGAAAACAATTACATATTTAACAAAACTAAAAAGTGCAAATAAACATACACATCAAAGTGAACAGATTTAATTAATCATCGAACCAAGTTTGAATAAATGTGTCTTAAGACTAGTTTTGAATAGGTTATCAGTTTGACAGTTTTTGACATTTAAAGGTAGTCTGTTCCAAAGTGATAATTAACAGTGATTGCAACTCAAACTAGTAAATTAAGGTCAGTAGACGGCTCCAGTGGAGATACTTTATGGACATGTGGTCGGCCTTTCTATTATTTCTGTTACACTTGTCATTGATGTGCCAATAAAATACACAGCTATCGGAATGACATTTTTAAGGACCCTAAGCCAGCATTTGCCATACACTCATCTGAAAAGTATCTGGACAATGTCTTGGGACATTTGTTTATGTAGATGACAGGGGAAGGTAATTCATAGAGATGTAAGCCAGTCTTTTGTTGCTTTATTCCTTATACAGTCTTTAGCGACCGCCCAAGGGAAACACAAAAAGTGGTCTTTGTAGACAGGTTCCTTTAGTACATGTTTCAATGAGAAACCATTTTCAAGGGAAACAAAAAATGTGGTCTTTATAGACAGGTGGTCACTAAAGCAAGTTTGACTTTTTTTTAAATTTAAAAGCTGTTTCCATATCTTTCGTGTCCACCATGCAGCCACTGCTAAACCCATCCTGAACGACGCCCAGCCAGAGCTTCTGAAGACCCACTTTGTGCCGGTGATTGAGAAGCTGGAGGAGAGAACGGTTAAGGTCTTCAAGGCAGAGGAAGATCTCAAGAAGGAGTATCCCATGGGTGGACAGGAGATGGAGGAGGCTGAGTTTGCCATCTTGGAGGTCAGTGGAGCTTTTTCTCTAGTCCTTTTTCTAATAGAAACAGGGCCATATTTTTATCAGGAAAGCTAGGCTTGCCACTCCTTTTTTTTGAGGCTGATTGGGTAAAGTCAGCAGATAGATGGCAAGAATACGATCAAAGCATTGCATTTTATCCCAAATAACATCTAAATTTGAAAGCTACCATTAAAATTCTTCTGGATATCTGAAATAAGGCTCCTGTCCTAGTGAAACAAACAGAAGGAAGATGAAAGATGATTGGTAAAAAAGCATTTGTAGACATTCAATTAAAAAAAAAACTAGGCCTCTTTGTTTAAAAAATTGCGATTGCAGGTCTTTCCATTGTAGGCCAAACCTACAGTTTTTATTGATATCAATCTCAAAATCTTGATCATTTGTCTGAACAAGTATGTCAATACTTTTATAAATGTAATGCTTCCTGGGAGAAATTTTCATTATTTAAACATATTTGTGGCTTACACCCAGTAAATGCCCAGCAAGCAGTAGATGCTGGTTCAAGTCCCACTGGTTCCAAGGATTTTTCTGACTTGTTTTTCAATACAGATCGATCAATCGATGTTATTTACTGGGTGTAAGCCACAAATATGTTTAAATAATATGTCAATACTGTTCAATATTTCAAGCCATTGCCAGTAGAATTTGACTTTTTTAATACTATTTCTTTACTTTTGTTTCTTTTTTCCTCCTTTGTATTCATTTAGGATTACCATCTGATAATCAGGGATCTGTATGCCTCATACCCTCTCCTAATCAAGTTTGTAGACTCTCAAAGGTACATGATACTTAATACTATGAATAGATGAATCAAATGTTGATACTAAACATGGTTAATGTCTTGATGTGAAGTCTACCAGATGATGAGGCATCTGGACATTCTCTCTTGCCTTTATACCGCTTATTGAATGTTGGAGATTACTCATTTTATATATACTTGTAGGTCTTTTGATGATTAACTGTCGGTGTTGCAAGATCTCGTTCTGTAGCTCACTTAAAAGTGATAATTTGGAAATATGTCTTCACTAATCTTTTGCTAATCATGTATGAGTATTAGTCCATGTGAATTAGGTCAAGCTTCTCAAGTAACTCATATTTCCTTACTTGTACCATTGACAGATCAAATATATATGTACATGTAAAATCACTATCCTGAAAGGATATCAATGTTTCTTCAGAAATCCAGCTGAATGTTATAGATAATTTGCTATTTTTTGGTGTATATTGTCATCAAGATTTTCCACACCCATAACTCATATATTTGTTTTACTTGTGTCTTTTCTAGGAGTCAGTGGCTCAAGTCACCTTCCATTGATGCAGAGAAACTCTACTATAAAGTAGCATCAATCTTCAACTCATGGGCCAGATCAGCTGTAAGAATGTTCATTTGATTTTATTAAACTTTGAGAGAAAAAGAGATTGCAAGAACGTCATTTATCTTCTTTCTTGAGCTTTTTATTGAACTTTGAGAAGAAAAAAAGAGATTGCAAGAATTTATTTTTCCCCTTTTAGTTTGGATTAATTCTACATGTAAATCAGAGTTAAGAGTTATGAATAATTACAAATCTAAATATGGAATTGTATATTCTAGTTGTATTATTTGGCTCACTTGAGAGGATGTCAAATGATGTAGCTTGGGTCTCATCTTGAATGAACCGCCCCCAACAACAATAACCCGAAACAAAAAAAGTCTCAAAGTGAAAGTTGGTCAAATAAATTACATATAATAAGGGAATGCAAAGATAAACCACATTTTCATTTAAAACTTTCTGCTATGGTTTTCTTTTCATTTGCACTTATTCTCCATACTTTTCAAAATTCATAAGAAATCTGAGGAAAATCATTTGTCCATGGAATATATCTTTTCAGTATCATCCACATTTGATAATTTGATAATTTGATGACTATCACGCTTAGGTGAAATGTTAAAGACAACAAACCATCAATTAATACATTTACTGCTTAATTCTCTAATTTCCAATAGGGTTAATCTAGTGATCGCCTGGATTCCCGGAGGTAATTGGCAATGTGTTGAAGAATAATTTTGAAAACAATTCTTTCAGCTCTTTTAATCTCTTGTTTCTTGAACAGAATTTCCGTCGTGAGGAGCAGAACTACGTAGCCCAGACTGAGGTGGACAGTTCGGCCGCGCTGACCTCCGCGATGTCAAAGTCCGGCGGCGGGAACGGCAACTCTCCCTACAGCATGCCGGGGGAGCCTCCGAAGCTCCAGTCGACCGCGCCCAAGCGTCCGGATGGTCAGCACGGCAGTCCACCCAGTCTGATCCTGGCTGCCCTCAAGAGGTTGCTTCCCATCGGAATGAATCAGTATGGAGCTAGGGAACAGGAACTGGTCCAGCAGGCCAAGCTCATGTTTGGACAGGTAAGTAGGTGGGGCTTGTGATGTGAGAAGGACTAATGATAGGAATGTTTGTAGCCTCTAGCGGTTTCTTCTGATTGGAACGAAAAATGGTTTGTGATTGTAGGGAACAGGATCTCGTCCAAACAACAAGCCAAGATTTGGGCCTTTGGTATAAATATGATTAGGCCTAGAGTATATATATATATATATATATATATATGCAAGAGCAACATGAAAAAGGATCACCAGGGGTAAATATGAACACAGTCTAACATATTCTATAGGTTTCATACTGCTGTTTAGCCAAGGGACCTTTCAATTCCATTTGTTATGTATAGAAATTTGATATTGAAAACGTGACTTGATATTTGCACATTATGAGAAATATCTCCCAATTGTAATATTACCACATGTATGTTTAACTCTTGATCAGCTTTAGTCAACCAATGGCACGCACACGGGGACTACCATGGTTAACTTTTGCCACATGTACGTTTACATATTTTGATATACTTAACAATAACGTTGAAGTTCAGGGTTTTGATCCATGAAGAATTAAATGTAAATATCCTGATTTACATTACCAACCAAAACACCATGGGCATTTTGTTCGTTCAATCCCTCAATTACAGTTTGATTTGGGAGGACATACATCCCAGTCTTGAGTTCTCTTGGGCTTTGGGTCAAGTTTATTTACTTATTAATGTGGTTGCACACTCCGTTAATTTTATCACATCTTTTCTTTATCTCCTCACAGAAAGAGACGGACAAAGAAGTGCGTGACTACCTGCTCCAGCAGCTCCATCTGCACGAGAAAGAGAAGGTGGAGGACATGGCCCGGCTGACGGCCCTCAGTCATGCCCAATCCTCTATATCACCTAAACCATCTGTATCATTCTCATCATCACCACCATCATCATCATCATCTGCTTCAGCTTCTGCACTTGCAACTTCTTCTTCTTCTGCTACCAGCACGACTACCACCACCTCCTCCTCCTCCTCCTCCTCCTCCTCCTCCCCTTCCTCTCCTCCATCCTCCTCAGTAGATCCTCAAGATTCCACCAAGCCATCCCGCATTAGAAACCGGAGGCAGTCCATAGCCGCCTGGCAGTCCGCTGCTGCCAGAGTCACTGGCGCTCATATCATTGCAAGTGTCTTGGTTTTTTTCTCTTCTCTTCTTTTACGGTTTCAATTGCTTATAGTTCATAAAATAGTTCAATCTGATTTTAGGGACCACCTGTATATATCATCTGTTAGGACAGCGCTTCTTTCTTTCTCAGTCAAACCTTGCTTATATAAACCACCGTTTTATACATTTTGTGGTATCCCTTGAGTGGTCTTTTTGTACAGGTTTGAATTAGGGTTTTATCCTGAAAAGATGTACATGTACACCAGAAAGTGTTAGTTCATCCAACATCAGCATCTTTATTAATTAAGAAAATATTCTCATGATTTGTTAAAGTGCTTTGAATATGATCCGGAAATTTAACATGAAATAATATATTACGATATTACGATAATCATAGACCAGACAATCAAATAAATATTCAAAATTATGAATATAAACTTTACTATACATGGCTCATGCAAATGAACATAATGATATAAAATCAATGACAACTCATATGTATAATTCAAGTCAACATTGCCTACATGTATTTTATTTGACTATGTTGTAAGAGCGCAAGAATAATTTCAAATGGAAAAATTTATTTATCTTTTTCACATTTGAGTTCCATTGCTTCTTTCTGCTTCATCTTTGGTAAGAGTTTTTAATCCTGGTTATTATTTTCTTTGTACCAGCTCCAATAAGAAAAATCTTATAACTTCAAGTCCTTTTTGATTGCCAGTATGCATCTCAATAAAATATATTAAATTATATTAATCAATGTCTAATAAAGGAAGAGAAAATCTTGACATAGTTTTGTTTGTATGCCCTATTCAGAACCCCTTCTCCTTTATCTTCAGCAATTTACATAAATACATCTCCTTGAAATACTGATATCTTATATCAAATTCCTTGAAATATATACCTTGTCTGAACATATATTTCTCCTTTAGAAATATTTCTCCCTGAATGTATTTCTTTTGTTACTCTCGTTATAAGGGACTGCGACTTTAAAGACGAATCTTGCAATCTTTCTTTTTCAAATCCCCAAAGTCTTACCAAAAGTGCGCAGCTATCTATAATAAAGTGGAATGAGATCAAATCTTTATGCTTGAGATGCAAAAAGCGAAAGCAATGACCAAAATTTCCCAAGGTGGAGGAGTGCATGTTGTATTTAATGCTGTGCTGTGGAATTCTTAGTATATATCTTGCTGTTTCCATGTACATTTCTTTGCACAGCTTGTCACCATGCACTGCCTATCCACAGTTTTTCTATGGAAATGCCATCAATAGGAGTCCTTTTTGGGGAAAAACATCCTTTTTTTTAATTAAAAGAATCTATGTTCATATGAGGAAGGAACATGTACAAATGTACATTTGAAAATGATGGATGAAGGAAGGAAAAGAACATTAATATAGTAGTAGAAAGAATAGTTTGTAAAAAGTTATAAAAGAATACTGGAATTTCTGCCTGAATTCACTTTATCCACAAAAAAATTGCCAAATTGTGTTTTACTTGCCTCCTTTTTATGCTATCCTCTGTACTGTTTCATCAGAACTGTAGTTCTTTCAAGAAATGTTACTTCCAAAACGTAACAATCGGTCTTCTTCAAATCGGTGCTTCTACAGAACCACCAAATCACTTAACACTCTTTTATTTCTTCATTACTTTTAAACCTGAAGTGGCCGGAGTGGAAATGCCTATATCGAATGCGGAAAGGAATTATTCACAAACCTTGCCTGTTATGCAATTTGTTGTTCAAAATTTTCCAAGGCGCATATCTTAAAAAATCCTTTTATCGATGGAAAATGAAAAGATTGATTGCAATATTACATCAATATCAGGTTGATGGTCCATGCATGTCCCTTGTAAAGCAGAAGAAAAAAAAATCTGTAGATGGAATAATAATTGACCTGTGGAGACTGATACCTCTATTGTGCCCCATAGAAATCCAATTTGCCTTTGTAATGCTCTATCCACAACTCTTCAAACTATGCTATTTTTGTTAGAATGCCCATATAAGTATATCAATATGTTTTGTGCATTTGTATTTTTGTGCTGTGTATCGTCAGTTTGTTGTTTTGTCCATTTGGAAGTGCCCTCATTGGTATTTCTCAGGAAATGGTAGCCCCTAGTTTTCCTTCTCCATTCCATTGAATATTTTTTAGTGCCTTTGTGAATGGTGAACATTTTCCATTTCATTTTCCTGAAAGATGAAAACTTTTGACTACCCCTTTTTTCTTCCTTATACGTTGTTGAATTTTGACCCCTAAGAATAGAAATAGACTGTAAAACCTGCTTAATATCCCTATCTATTTTCTATCTTTCATTGTTTCCCTTGACTTCTGAAAAATTAGGAAGCCCCTAGTTTTCCATTTCCATTCCATTGAATATTTTTTAGTGCCTTTGTGAATGGTGAACATTTTCCTTCTCATTTTCCTGAAAGATCAAAACCAGATTTTCTCTCTTGACAACTCCTTTTTTCTTCCTTATACTTCGTTAAATTTAGTTCCCTTAAAATAGAAATAGACTGTAAAACCTGCTTAGTATCCCTATCTATTTTCTATTTTGTCATTTTTTCCCTTGACCTCTGTATATTGGTATAAATATATGTTTATTCTTATATATTTTTATGTATAAATATATATATACTAATTATTTTGTAGAATTATAGTGACATGAATGAACACTTGCTTCGCCTAGATCACATATATCATAGTATGTGTTCTCACACTTTAATAACAAGCAAAATATACATGACAAATTTTGAGATATGAAAATTAGTGTAATGATTATTCATAGCAAAAACAAATCAGTGCACTTGCTAACTCTTCGCTTTAATCTTACCCTTTATTTTACTTTCATTATACATCAATTGACATCATATTATCCACAGTTCATAAAAATAATATTTTGTTTAATACTTATGTCAACCAAATGTTCATCTAGATAAAGACATATTTTCATACTTTTTAATAGTACACTTTTTGATCAAATGAGAATGATATTCAATTGTGCATATTTCACAAAAGCATAGAATTATAAACTTTACATGTGAATTGATATTTTTGCTCATTTCCTTTTGTGAAAGCATTACAGTACTTTTTTGTAGGATGAAGAGATTGACATTTGGGGCTAAAGTAATCAGTTGAATAACTCTGTCAACATACATGAATGTTAGCATTTAACCTAGACTAATGTTAGCATACTTTTATAAATACCTGCATAAGAATACAGCAAATGGTGCTCAGAAGAACATGTCATTTATTATTTCTAATGTGAATGGGGGTCCTGATCATCTCACCAACTTGCCTATGTAATGTAAATGTACTTGTATTTTACACCATGGAAATGAGTGATGTAGTCAATACCAGACGTAAATTGGGCACCTCAGTGACCCTAAAACTATAATTTGAGATGAATGTCACCAAAATTGTGCCGCCTGCCCTTGGTCTTGGAACGGCCCGTCTTAAAAAAAGAGTTATAATCAATCACAACTTATTTGCGATTGATATCAATCAAAACTATGTACATAAGAGATAGGAGACTACAAACTTGTGATTGATTGGTGGACTTGCAATGGATTTGGATCAATCGGAACTCTTTGTAAGACGGGGCCTGATCTGCATCACTGATTCTGATTAGGACCACACCTCATCACTTCAATGTGATTATGTGGTCCTAATGTGTTCTATGCTCACTGTGTTTGGTCCCCACAGCAATCAGACTCGAAGGGATGGCAGCGTCATCTCTACAACAAGATGGCCGCCAGTAAGCTGGTCCAGGTGGTTGAGCTTACCAAGGACAAGGTGATAGAACGGATCATGAACATGGCCCAGGTCCTCAATCGACTTCACCAGGTAAAACTCTCTTTGCATCTTATTTTTGTTTCTACTTTTCCTGTGTGTTACTTTTCTTAAAGCATTATTCTTCTTCTTAAAGCTTCATTGTCTTCTTAATTTTGCCCTTTTAAAAAATGTTTTTCTTTCTTTCTCCTGTTTATTCCTTGTTTTATGTTACTCCTCATTTTCTTCACTTCATAATATACTTTATTAAGTTTTATTATCTTTTTATTCTCACTTTTCTCTTTATATTTGCTTTCATGTAGTCATATTTGATGATCTCATGAAACTCATTTTATATTTCTTTAATATATTCTCTTGGGAGTTTCTTAAACTTCAGGGCTTACAAGTAATAGGCCTTATATGTACATATATTTTGTTGATTCTTTTTAGTTTTCATAAAAATCTTATGATTTCTTTGTTTTTGAAATGTATTTATTGTACATCATTTTTCAATACATTTATTACTTCTATTCTTGGGTTTATGATATACCGTACTTATATGCAAATGGGTTTACCACACTCCCATCATCTGGAAGTGAATAAATGTTAGTATTCATTTCGCCTACACAGTTGATATAAGCATTATACGTGTGTTAATACTGATTATGATTGTTATTGTTCATGTAGATGGAGCACCCGTCGGTGTCTAAGAAGAATGCATGGAGAAGGCTGATGTCTGCTCAGCGCAAGAGAGCTATCATGGCCTGCTTCAGAATGATACCACTCCATCATTTACCAAGGTATCTACCTACACATCTACTCCTTGGAGACAACAGAAGTATAAGTCACAAATATGTTTAAACAATTGAAATTTCTCCCAGGAAGCATTACATTTATTTAAAAAAACAAGACAGTATTATCTATGAATTACAAAATGATCTAGGTTGTGCTATTTACTATAGGCCTATATTATTTGTTGAGAGGATAAATACCCTAGTCGGTTACTATTTGGAGAAGGGGGTTGTCACCCCATGACACAATTTTTTAAACCCTGAAATAATGAAGAAAAGACACCTTACCAACATGTCGACAGGACCGCCAAAATGAATCATCATGTAATGTGTTACAGTCATTATCATGCCCTGTGGATCATAACTTTTCTTTCTTATACAATGTTTACTCCGATGTTAACGTGTTGACCTTGTAATGTGTATTCGTTGCTCTTTACCAGACATCGGGCCATCAACTTCTTCCTCAAGGCTTACAAGGAGAGATGGCTGAGCAACGAGGAGTCAGCCCAACATCTCCTGATTGACGATCTAACTGTAAGTCTGCTTCAGTTTCACTACATGTTATATTTCTTCTATTATTCAAGATTTCTTCTATTATAAAAAGCAGAAGTTCTTTTGTGTGACAGTTGATGCATGTTTAGTATTAAAACATAATGAAAGTGAATTGGTCAGCATTTGAATTAATTCCTATGCTATTTGAAACAGAAATGCAGTTCCGAAGAGTTGCAGGAGTTTGAGCCGGAGAACGTGAAGGACCCCCTCTATCAGCTCATCTCCACCTTCAGCCGAGCCTTCGGACTCCAGCAAGAGTGAGTGACACATTCAATCAAATTAAAGATTATAGTTTCTTGAATTGAATTAACCTTTTACTCAAACAGAATTACCCTTTTCAGTAGCAGCACTAATAATAATAATAATAATAATAATAATAATAATAATAATAGCCTAATAGTCCACTCCAAATTTTATTAAACCGAAACGGAAATTCTTTTTGCCCAATTGATCGTGAGCCCGGCAGCCACTGAGCAGCGCCAGATCGACGTTGCTCTATCCCTTATTGTTGAACGCCAAGCAAGGTAGCAACAACTCCCATCTTTTAACGTCTTTTGGTATGACGCGGCCGGGGTTCGAACCCACGACCTCCCGGTTGTGAGGCGGACGCTCTACTGACTGAGCCAACACTCCACTAAGAAGGCTCTTGCCTTTTATAAGCTGTCTCCTCATTCATATACCGGGTACTTTTATTTTGTGATCTTTAAAAAAAAGAAAGAAAGAGATTTAATGTCACTGGAACGTGAACTTGAACAATTCTTTTTCCATTGGTACATATAGGATAATAGGAGCCTACAGTAAAGAGGAACCGACAGGTGCTCTTTATCATGTAACTTTTTAGCCAGGTTAATCATTTCAATACATTGTTCGATATGTGATATGTAGTCTACTAAATTAAATGCTACTTACCGTATTTGCCGGCGTAAAGGCTGCAGTATTTTTGGAAGAGAAAATATCAAAGTCGGGGTGCGGCCTATGCTGCGAAAGAGTAAAAAAAACCAAAAAAAAGTAAGTCAAAACCAGCACGAATTTGCACATATGGGACTATAAACGGTACAATAACTATACCACTATGGTGCAGGACAATTCCACACATCTTACCGACAATTTTTTCTTGCATTATTGACATGAACACGAAAATAAACTTCCAAAGACAACATCTGCCGATAGAGCTTGTTCGTGCCAATGCATTGCAAAAGTAAAAGAAGGGCCCGTTTAACGGAGTTGCCGCGAAGCATCCAGCACGCAAAGTCGCTGTTTTTAATCCATTTCAATACACAAGAGAGAGGCGCAATGTATACATCACAGAAACAGTGCGGGATGGCCGAGCGGTCTAAGGCTGTGATTTTAGTCACATCAACATTTGTATGCAAGAGATCAAATCCCGACTTTGACAAAAGTTTTTTTTTTTTTTTTTAAATGTCAAAATTGGGGGTGCGGCCTATACGGCGCTGCGGTACATGTCCATGTGTGGTATGTCTGACTACAAATTTACTGTAATGATCTAGAAAAACAACTCCATTAGTATATTTATCCTCTCAAAATAAATAATTGCTAATGGACTCATAATTTTGCTGGTTTAAACATCTCCATGATAAATGGAGATGCGACTTCGCTATTTTAGAATTCGAACCAGATAAATTTGTAGACATTTTCATTTAAATTGTGTGGACAGAATCATTTATACATTTGTATATGTTTTATCCCAGTATGTTGGAAGAGGACTCCCTCTATCTGTCATATGCCGCCATCATGAGCACGAGCTGCAGCGGAGGAGAGGACGACGATGACGACGATGACGGAGGAGACGAGAACGGAACATCATTCCAGGTATCTGTCAGACTGTCGACCAATTCAAAACTTGTCTTAAGGCACATTTATTCAGAATTGCTTTTGATGATTAACTTACTCTGTTCACATTGATGTGTATTTCATATGTATTGTAATCTGTAGGTTTATTTGTAATTTCTTGTCTTGTTCAATATGTAATTGTTTATCATTGTATTTTGTTTGTTATAGCGCTTAGAGACTTCAGTGGTAAGCGCTTTATAAGCACCGTTTTTATTATTATTATTTTTATCATCTTTCATAATAAAAAAAGGCTCGATCAAGAAGGCTTTAAAAGGATTTGTTATTATATTAGCGTGTTGTCTCTTACAACTCATTACTGATATTATGATGTATACATTTTACTTGTTATGACTCATCCCTTTTTTTTTCCTTTTTCAAATTTATTGTTGGTCGCACACTAAAGTAACATAATTGGTTCAACCTAGGAATATGTGTTTAGTTTTGTATCAGAAAATATTATTTTGAATTGAATTCATGCTTTCGGTACCACCAACTAGATTTTTATAGATCCTTAGTATTCAGTCACTATTTAATCCTAGCTATCCTATGCTAGCATGCAATCCTATGTATATTATGATGCAGATTTTGTACCATTTTCACTGTACAATTCCTTTCTGATAGACTTGTACTCAACAATGTATGTTGGAAATGCTTTTTTTCCCATACTGTTCAAAATCTTGACATATCAGCTTTTCAAATGTTTCACTTAAACTGAAATCAGATTACAAATGATGTATCCTTATTTGTTAATTTTTCATTTATTATTGATTCATCTTCACTCCTAATTTATTAATTAATTTATTTCTTCGACTTCACCTGTTTAGGAGCAAGAAATGGAGAAGCAGAAGCTGCTGTCGGAGCAGGCCAGGCTGGCCGAGAGAGGCTGTGCAGAGATGGTACTCCTCCTCATCAGTGCTAGCAAAGGTATTGTCTCACTGCTTTCCGTTTCTTCTTGTGTTCATCTCCCTTACTGTACTTCCCTGTTTCTCTTTCTTTGTGTCCCGCTCTATTGCTCTGCATTCTCTCCTATTCTTCTGTTCTTTGTTATATACTTTTCTCTTTCTTTCCTCTCTTCTGTCTCCACTCTCTTTTCTCATATCTCTTTTTTCTTCTCTCCGCTCTCCTTTCTGTTTTCTTCTCTCTTCTCTTTCCTCTGTTCTGTCTCTGCTCTCTTCTTCCACCCTTACACCCTCTTCTCTCCTCTTCTCCTCTGTCCCCATTCTTCTCCCCTATTCTTTCTCCATTCTCTTCTCTTCTCTATCTTTTTCCATTCTCTTACTCTCCTCTTTCCTCTCTCCTCTCTCTCCCCTCATTCATTTTCTTCTCTCCTCTCTTTCACCACTCCCTCTCTATCTATCTCGTCCCTCACTCTTTCCATCTCTTCCCCTCTCTCTCTCTCTCTCTCTCTCCCTCTCTCTCTCTCTCTCTCTCCCTCTCTTTCTATCTCGTCCCTCACTCTTTCCATCTCTTCCCCTCTCTCTCTCTCTCTCTCTCCCTCTCTCTCTCTCTCTCTCTCTCTCCCTCTCTTTCTATCTCGTCCCTCACTCTTTCCATCTCTTCCCCTCTCTCTCTCTCTCTCTCTCTATTTCTCTCTCCCTCTCTCTCTCCTTGAGCATGTTACACCATTTTGGTTTTATTGTATTTTATTCCACTTTTGTATCAGTGCCTGTGATTGCATTGCGATGCTATGCTATGATATGTTGAGTAGCGTTAGATACATGTAGTAGCAATGTTGAATAGCTTGTTTGCATAATTGGATGTCACAGATTCAAAAGGGCATACGGTACGAGCTTATTGCTATTAAACTTAGGTGCTTATTACAAAATGCTATGATAGACGCTGTTCAGTATCGTCTTTATGTACTCAATGTTGTACTATCTGTATTATGATGAAGTGTTTTAGATGGTCTACAGTGTATTCTGTAAGGTTTATCTGCGCTTCGCCTAAATTTGAGATGTATAGCATTGTTTCTAATATGTTTTACCTTTGCAATGACAAATATATTAAGCAGCTATAAAATTGATTCTTCTAGACGTACTGGTATCTACAAAACTATTGTAAATTTTCTATTTGCAAGCAATATTCCCTGCTGATTTTATACTTCTATTTTTCATAACCGTCTGTCAAAGCTTTTAAAAATATTAGACTTTCAGCAATCAGGATGTTGAAATTTGTTTGAATGAAAAAGATGGACAGTACACACTGTATTTCATATTTTCCCCCCTTTTTATTAACCCTTGCAAATACTTCATGAATTTGAGAACTTTGAAAGGAATGGTTTTATGAAATGATATCGAATGAAATTTCAGGTTTGATTCCATACTAAGAAATGTATGTTTAGGTCATGCATTAGATTTTGCTTTGATAGTCGTAGTTGAATGACTATTGCATCTCTAATTCCTGAACATTGCAGACCGAACCCGTCATTCTTATGGTAAGTTGCGGGTCTTGATCTTGGAGACTAATTGTTGGTTTTACCATTATTCCATACATGTACATAACACTTTTGTTTGTCAAAAAAAAAAATGAAAGATCAGCTTTTTGGGGTGATGGAGTCCATATAGTTCTGTATTAAAGAAAGTCTGTTTGATACAATACATTATATTTTTCTTTATCCCTTCCCCTTCTTTAAATATTTAATGTCTATAAATTTGAAATGTTTTTTAACAACTTTTATAATTTGTTAATGAAAAACGTTTGAGGTGCATGTTGGAGTGAGCTACACACATTTATTTCTCACAGTTCATGCATGAACAAATGCCAGCGCTTGCAGATCTTTTTTTTTGTATTTAAAAAAAAAAATGTTTCATCATTTTTGCTCTGTTTCATTGTTCATTTGAATTGTTGAGTGATTTGCTCATGTGTGGAATTCACTTGCTAAAAGTTCAAGCCAGATTTTAACCGTTTGTTTGATGATATTGCTAATTACCAATAGGGTTGAGATTTTAAAAGTTTGCGCTTATCAGCTTAAGTCCTGCTTGTAGGTTTGAAGTCTGCTTTTAGGTTTAAAACAATCATTACCCTGTAAAGTAAGGAAAACTTTAACAGGCACACTATGTGTGAAGTCCTTAATTGGACTGGGGTATTTTTGGGGGGAGAGACATATTAATTCTTCAAAGAACTGGTAGGAATTTATTCCCTGAAATGCTAGAGCGCCGTTTGGCAGCCGTGCTAAAGCCAGGGTAATAATCAGGAGCGCCAGGAGGGTCAAATCTGACTGACATGAGCGCTATACAAGAACCCACTATTATTATTATTATTATTATTATTATTTTGTGGTTATAGTTCTGACCAGAACAAGGACTTGTAGATCTTTTGAAGAAAGAGATGGTCTCCACATTTCAGACAGTGTGCTCCTGAGTGCTTCTCCTGACAACGGACAGACCACACAGTCCGAAATGTCCAGACCATCTCTTTCTTTGAAAGCTCTACAAATCCTTGTCAGAACTATAACCACAAAAGAATTATACATCAGTTCTGTAAAGAACTAAAATGTGTCTCCAAGAAAGAATACTCCAGTCATTATAAGGACTACACACATGGTGTACCCGTATCTGTTTTCCTTGCTTTTTCATCATGCAAACCTATAAAGAACAATTACATCATTATATTGCACATAAACTTCAGTATGTCTGATTCACCGCTAGTCATGACATGAATTCTGCATGCGATTGAATGCTAATCCTAATATTTAAAAGTACTTTAAATGTTAAAAGAAAAAAACAGTTGTTTAGGGTAAGCAGTTGTTCAGAAATGAAGATTTAACATTGAATGTGGTACTAGCTTTCATTGACTTCTTCACAACTTGCATGGAGATTTGATCGCTCTTCAACACACAGAATGCAATGTGTTCCATGCCTGACGCATAGAGATGACTGAACATGCATGTAAATGCATGAGGCAAAATGCATGGTGCCCTTGCTCTTGGTACCCCTTCAGCATTTTAAAGGCCCCTATCAACAATTTTATGACAATTAAGCTCGACAATACTGACCCGATTAACAAGATTAATGCATCAGTTGCTTTTAGACCGCATCTGCATCTGGGCTGCCCATTTTTGTATGTATAGAGACAGTGGGAATAAGTAATCATGATAATAATTATAAGAAGAATTGGATTTATATACAGCACCGTTTCCAGAGAATACAAGGCACTGTCCCTTGGTCTTATTACAAATTAAGAATCGTAGAGGAATGTTTTCAGATGTTTTTTAAGAAGTCAAGTGAATTACAACTAATTAAAAGTATTTGAAGCCAGTCTATTTGTTTTGGATTTGGGAATGAGAAAGGAAGGAGCTGCTGTTGATTGAAGTTAATATGATGTTCTCTGTTGTTGAAAGAGTGAGGAGATGTATAGGGGAAATGTGGTTGAAAAGGATTGAAAAGTTTGAACAAGTATCTGGTAATACATTCTCTGAGTAACTGGAAGCCAGTGTAGTTCGTTTAACATTGGGGATAGCATGGGTCCAATTCGGTTTTTGACAAATTAGCCGAGCACACTTATTCTGGAGACATTGGAGTCTGCCCAGGTCCTGCTTACTGATACCCCAAGCAAGCATACACCATTATAAAGCCTGGAGAGCACAAGTACTCTAACAACATTATGACATACATAATGTACATACATACATTTATGTATATGTAGGTTTCATAAATGTAGGTTCTAACTTAATATCATGTCAAAATATTGGCAGTGTTTGTGCTTTTTTTCATGCATGCACAATATTTTTTTTCTCCCATATTCACAAAAGGCATATATATATATATATTTTTTTAAAATTTAAATGTATTACAATGTATTATTAATCCAACAGACTTATAAAATGTTGAGTTGAGTTGAGTTGAGGTTTTATTTTCCAAACGTTCAAATACAGTAATATAACAATAATAACAATAATAAATGTATGTTTAACAAATATCTCAAATGAATAATAGGGACCAGAAAATAGCATAAAATGCTAATCATGTCTGGTAACTTTAAAATACAGTATCTTAACATTTAACAATTTGTGTGTATATATATATATATATATATATATATATATATGAATTATTGATTACGGGTACATGTATATACTTAAGCTACCATCTAACATAAAACATGTTTGTGTGTTTAGAACAAAGCCTTAGCTTGTATAAATAGACATTCCGTATAAGATAAAATATGGAAATGATGAAAGAATAAAAAGCAGGTTGATGAATGTGGGAATGATGAAATAATAAAAAACAGGTTAATGAAATGCGAGAATAATTAAAGAATAAATAGCAGGTTGATGAAATGTGGGAATGAATGACTATAGAAGGAACGTTTACCTGCAGTTATGACATGAAAATTAAAAAAGTAAGCCAAGCGTCATAAGTGACAGAAAAGAGCTTTTTTAGACCTTTATTACAGCAGATTTATCTTATTAATTGAGAGCATACATTTACGCAACCATCTACATCAAGTATTTATTTTGCAATCATGTCTATTTTATTGTACGTTTAACATAATGTATGCCGTATACACCATGTATACAGAACAATATATACACATACACCTGTAGTGCGTAACACATTTTAATATTTGTGAGGATACATGTATTCATCTATGAGAGACCCGAGGGTTCCAGTGGTTCAGTTTGCTTTTCGCCTCCCAGGCACAGGTGACGCCAAATAGTAATAATAATGATAATAATAATCTAGGTGATTGCTAGTATAATTATTAAAAACCTGTCGAAAGTGAATAATTAAATAGATGAATGATATAACTACAGAAAAATTGTAAGCCATATATTACAATAGTATCAGTTAAATGCTATTGCCTGTCAGAGGAATATTAACAGCTTTATGAAATCTAAAGCTTTGAAAATTGGAAGTCGTTGTCCTAAAATCTAGTTATCAACTTGATGTCGTCACTGTAACTGCGGCAAGTTTTAACCCCTGTGGACCCTTAACTCGGAGGGGTGCGGAAAATGAGGTTTTAATTTGCTTTTGTGCAATGCTGAAAGAGAAAAATTATTTATTCCATTATTTTTTTATTGTACAGCCTTCTATTGATATGACGTTGTATTTTAATTGGATTGGTTATTTCGTGTTGTCTTGCAGGTGAACCTAGTGACATGGTGTTCTGCTCTCTCAAGCTTGGTATTTCATTGCTCAGAGGAGGCAATGAAATGGTTCAAAGGGTGAGTTTTTTGTCAGCTTTAAAAATACATATTTCAAATGTATTACTGGTACTAAAAAAAAATTACACATGAAAATTTCTCTTTTGGTACCAGCTGACATATAGCCTGTATCCTGTTGACTATAATTTGAATTTCTTGTAACATGCAGACGCCCAATTTTGAGTTATTTCCTACTTATAGTATTTAACAGTTTTATAATAATGATAATAATAATAAGTGGATTTATATAGCGCCTTTTCCAAAGGATACAAGGCACTGCTCTCTTAGACTTTTAACAATTTAAGAGGAGTTGTACAGGTAAGTTTTCAGTTGTTTTTTGAAGAAATTGAGTGAAGAACTGTTTCTTAAGAACGACAGGAGTTTGTTCCAGAGACGTGGGGCTAAGGACTGCACCTTGATACTTGATACTTGATGTGGTAATCCCTGAAGCAGCTTTTCCAAGCTATACTGGGATGGGATGTGTTGTGACAGCAGGTGAAGGTGCAGACAACAAAAGGGTGTACAATTGCTTTATACAGTAAAATAGTGACGTGCAAGTAAAAATAATCATGCTGCTAAATGGTTTACAGCATTCTGGAACCTACAGGAGGTTCCAACCCTCTGATGACAGGGAGGGCGGTCATCTGGAAAGCAGCAACTGATGGGGCAGTAACTGCAGTGAATGGTAGTTGATTCCAGATGCGAATGGTGCGGGGGTAAAATGAGTACTTGTAGGAGTCGATTGTTGCCTCAGGAACAGAGAGCTTGAGTGTGTGGTCTCTTCTGCTGATGTATGTAGCTTTGGTTATGAGGTGAGGAAGACAAATGTTGACTAGCTGGTGGTGTATTTTAAAGAGCATGGTGCTTTGTGCTAGAAGACGACGTGTGTGCAGTTTATCCCATCCCAGCTGGGAAACAAGCCTTGTAGCTGACGTGGTTCTTCGGTAGTCGCGGAAGACAAAACGAGCAGCTGTTTTCTGTACCCTTTCCAGACCTTCGGCAGCACCAGAAGTGTGAGGGTTCCAGGCTTCAGCGCCATACTCTAGCTGCGGTCGAACCAGGGCTGTGTATGCTCTTGACTTCACATCCTTGGTGCATGGTGACAGGGTTCTCCGCAGCAACCCAAGGGTTTTGTTGGCCTTGTTCAGTAGGAGTTGGCAGTGTGTATTCCATCGAAGGTCCTTGGTTACAGTTACCCCGAGATACTTGTACTTGTCTATCCTGGGTATTATCTCGTTGAAAATCTGGTAGTCATGCTGTATTGGTGTTCTTTTCCTCGTGATGGTAAGGGAGGTGCACTTCTTGACATTGAAAGCCATGAACCATTTCGCTGACCAGTCAGACAAGGTTTGAAGGTCTTGCTGAAGGATGGAGGTGTCATTCTTAGTGTGAATTTCTCTGTAGATCACACTATCGTCAGCAAAAAGGCGCATCTTGGACTGGATATTTGCAGTGATGTCGTTGATGTACAGCAAAAAGAGGGCTGGTCCTATCACTGAACCTTGAGGTACCCCAGAGGTAACAGGCATCCAAGATGACCGGGAGCCCTTGACAACAACTGCTTGCTGCCTGTTGGAAAGTAGCGACATAGTCCAATGTAATGTGTCTCCTCTTATGCCATAATGCTCGAGCTTGGTCTGCAAGTGGCGATGAGGTACTCGGTCGAAAGCTTTCTGGAAGTCAAGGAAGATGACATCTGTTTGGCCTCTGCATTGTAAGGTGTGTGCCCAATCCTGGGTAGCAGAGATGAGTTGTGTGGTGGTGGAGAGTTTCTGCAGAAATCCATGTTGGTCATCTACCAGGATGTTGTTGGCAGCTACATGTTTCGAGATATGGCTGAGCACTATGTGTTCCATTAGCTTGCTGCAGATGCAGGTCAAGGAAATAGGTCTGTAATTTCCTGGATCACACTTATCACCGGACTTGTGGATGGGTGTTACCAATGCATGCTGCCATTCAGCTGGAACAGTGCCAGAGTTGTAGCTCTGCTGAAAAAGGAATCCTAAGGCAGGAGCAATCTCGTCAGCTACAAGCTTGAGGAGTTTAGGTGGAAGTTCGTCTGGCCCACAAGCTTTGGATGGGTTGAGATTTGACAGCTGCTTTGCCACACCAGGACGATGAATGTGTAGATGGCCGATATCAGGAAAGTGTGAGGAACCTTCCATACGAGCATGACAAACCTGTTGGTTGGTGAATACCGAGTGGAAGAAGGAGTTGAGACACTCTGCTTTGTCTTTGTTGGTTGTGTGGATGCCTTTGTCAGATCTAAGCGATAGGATTTCCATATTCTCAGTCCGACACTGCTTGACATAGGACCAGAAGGTCTTGGGATTCCCTTGCAGACTGTTCCCTATGATGTTGTTCACGTAATCGTGGTGTGCTTGGTGAACTAGTTTCGCTACCACGTTGCGGTGCTGTCTGAAAGCCTTCCATTTTGACGTACTGGGGTTTCTACGGGCTTTCTTAAAGAGCCTATCACGCTTCCTCATTTTTCGTTTGAGGTCGGTGGTGATCCACGGAAGGTGTCGCCGGGATTTGCTCATCTTTGATGGTATCAGATCCTCCATACACTTCTTGAGGAACACAGATATCCTGTTCCAATTCTCATCTACAGTTTGGAGCTCTGGAGATGAAAGGAATAAATCGATTGAAAACTTTTCAACTGTTTCTTTAATGATCTGGTGGTCTGCTCGGTGGAATTGGTAGATCTTCCTGGGAGGGGCACGGGCTGTTTTCGGATTTCCTGAAAAGACGAAGGACACAATGTTGTGGTCTGATATGCCAGGATGAATGGATACATCTGTAATGAGGCCAGGGTTGGACGTCAAAAGAAGATCCAGGATGTTACTAGACGCAGGACGGGTTACATCCCTTACCAGTTGTGTCAGTGAGAATTCCAATAAGGTGTCAAGCAAAAGTTGATGGATGCTTGCACGGTTTGGATTGGTCAGTGAGCAGGATTCCCAGTCGATGTCTGGAAGATTGAAATCTCCTCCAATGATGATGTTAGGGTGACTTCTTCTGTGTTTAGACATAACCTTAGCAAAATTAGCAAAATGTTGTAAATTGTAGAGCCACAATGGAAGGGGATTTTAAATACATTTCTTGATCCAACGCTTTCCTAAAAACAGAGATCTACTGTACATTGTCTTGTCTGGTTCTGGCATGAGTTTATTTCCTTTATTTTATTTGTCCCTTTCTCTCTACCAGAAAATGCTGGAGCATCTACAGGACAAGATGGATGTGGGTTTCTTCACCAGTGTTGCCGAGCTCATGGAGAAATGCACGTAAGTACATATCGGTATATCATTCAAACTTTGATGATGATAGTGTTACAGAAAATATGTATATGGATATGGATGTATTATTAATCATATGCAGAAATTGAAGATGTATGTAAACCAACACAAAAAAGACCTTTCATAAATTTTAGACATTTTCATTTTGTTTTACATATACATGTGTATTGGATTACAATATATTAGCAAAATATTAGTGTATGGTTGGCAGACAAACTGTACCTACTCGATTATAAAGAACATTATCGCCCTAGTCTTTTACATTTATTTGTACATATAGCTACATGTACTGTGTCCTTTATCTGCACAGTTTCTTGGTCAGTATCTTGATAAACGTGAATCAGATTTGCATCTTTTATGGTGCTCTAAAGAATGTTTGCATGTATAAATGAAAACTACTAAATTGTTTGTGTTTTCTATCAAAAAATTCAGAGTTCTCGATCTGGAGGCCTTCGAGAGGTACAACAAGGCAGAGGGTCTGGGCGTAACGTCTGGTGAAAACGCAGGTATGAACAGATTTAAGGTCTAAGAAACATGTAGAGATGAATGTTAGAAGGAGAAGCGTCCTTGATAGTACATGTGTGTTTGTAGAGCAAGCATGAATTAATTGTTCTGATAACGTGCTTAGGAATTTTTGATGACATAGTTTTGTTGACACTGTAGGTTACAGGGTTGTTTCCCTACTAATTCTATAATAAGAAATGATAACCAATATTAGATAGGGTAAATGTATGATTGTTTTGTACTTTTTGAGTTACATTTTTAATACACATGCAGTGTGTGGAAATACTAGATTAATGTTTTAATTAGCCATGTAGAACAACACATAGAGAAATATGATGGCATACTAGTTTTTCAATTGAGCATGAGTTGAGCACAAATCACTTGTACGGTTTATGTTTTCTGATGAAGGACTTTTGTTATCTAAAGTAGATTGTAATGTATTGCCTCAAATTAATGACCTTCTTTCTTCTTCTAATCTTGTATTGTCTCGGATTCAAACCCATTTGGGTATTATTGAATAAATTGCTAGAATCCATAATTTACATTTGATATTTTTGAAATTTGTGATTTTGACTTTCCAGCTTTGATTTGAAAAATAGGAAATTTGCATTGCAAGACGATTTGCAGATTTTCGCCCTGACATTGGTTGATTGACAACTGTACATTCATGCCAGGTGTCGATAAAATATTATTTTGCAAAGTTCTGACATGAAAATGTTCAGAGCAGACAAAGTCACATCTCCTTAGACCCTTGAATCTGGTTCATGATCAACATTGCCAACAGACAGAGAGACATAGGACCAAAATGTGAAACGGCGAATTGCGGCAACTGATCTTGTTATCTTTAATAGATATGTTTGAATGAATGAATGAATGTGTGTTGTGTTGCCTTCTGCATAATTTATAGTGTAGTTTTGGAATTGGTTTTCACGAAGGCACACTTTAATACTCACCAATGTTTCTTGAGCTTGAACTTGTATTTGTGGTGTGAGTTTCAGATGAATAGATAGTTGCATTTTCAATATTTTCATGATGGTTTGCAACGATAGGGAAGTTCAGTTTAGGTTTACACTATATGAAGCTTTATTTCCCTGTCATTTTTTTCTTCTTGAATTAATTTCTCACAAATGTCCCATTCAGGCGACTTTTATTTTATTATTTTGATAATGAATAACTTGGATAGGGGAGAAAGGAAAACAATTTTTTTTCTTCAAATTTATGAGGATGCAATATATGCAGAAGTGTCTGTAACTCATGAAATATACATTATTTTTTAGAGCTGAAAGATAATGAGCTTTTAGATTTCAGTTACAGCAAGTGATGTGTACTTGTAGATAAGAACATTTTTCTTTTTCAATACCCCCCTTCAATTTATTTTACATGTAGATGTATGATGGAATATTGATTCCTTGTACAAGTATTCTATTACAGACAGTGCAATAATATGTTTGACATTGTGTGGATTTTACCCTTCTGCATGTACATACTTAATCTGACATAGTGTTCTAATTTAGTCGATTTGATGTGTAATTAATCTACGTTTCTTGTGATTTTGTCAACTTGGGGATTGACTATTCTAATGGTACATTGATTCTTTATTTAAACAAATTTGTTTAATATGTACAAGTATGTATGTAGTAGATAACAAGTAGTTCAATCATTTTGAGAGTCTAGCTTAAGATGTTTTGTCTTAGAAATTGTAATTCTTCAAAGGTATTGCTTAACATTTACATGAAAGTGTCTTATGATGCCGGACTTGAAAACATTTCATTGGTTTTAATTTTCATTTATAATCAATTGCATCAAAAAGGGAGGAGGAAAACTCCATTTATCTACACACTTTTGGATATCAAATACAGTCTATTTCAGCAGAATTTTAGCAGGCTTTGGTAATTTTGCCTGTGTCAAAAAAACAAACCCCATTGACAACTACTCCCATGGAAAATTCCTGCCCAAAGTAGTTTCCCCTTTGTTGATATATAAGAAGATCGACTTGTGTTATTTTCTCTTTGGGGGGGGGGGGGGGGTGGAGAGGGGGGTAGTTTTCCAAAAGATGGGGGAGATTTGGTCGTATATGAGGTATTAGTGTTGGGTTTTTTGCTCAGGGTTTGTATTCCAGAGTGTAATTCCATTGTGTTTTGAAGTTGGCGCTTGACAGTCAATTAATACAGTAGTGGCGTTTCCTCACTTGGGAATTCAAGTTGTCTTGGTTTTTTTCTTATCTTCCTTTTTTTTTTGGGGGGGGGGTGGCGAGGTAATTTACTTTTACAAAATAATTGTAAATAAAACAGGTTCCAATTTTCATTTTCATCAAATTTAATTTTGATAATATTTTTTAATATGTTCTCTTAGTTATCAAATTGCTCTAGTATTTTGAAATGTTAAACAATACCTGTGATATAGAACTTGAGAAATAGAGGCATGGTTCGCTTTTTAATTCAGACCCTCCCCTTATTCTCATTTTTTTCTTTCTTTCTTCTCTTTATTTGATCATCTGTTATTAAACCCTCGTTTATGTTGATATTGTGTTTAATTTTTTTCAATCCAATGTTTGTTGATATTTTACCCCTTCGTCTTTGTGATCCCCTGCAAACCATAAACAGGCTGTGATGGACTTAGAGCAGGTAAAAATACAGAAACAAAATTAGCACTCTTCTATCTCTCTCTCTATCTCTCTCTTTGGAAATTGAAGGTCGATTATGATATGGCCATGCAAATGACCTTTAATTCACTCTCTCCGATATCTCTACACTTCACTACATTGCATTAACACGCCTCGTTCCTCGATTTCAAACGCCCTTTTTTCAAGCTAATGTTGCAAAACTTTTGTAGTAGTATAGAGCCTTTTATTCATTATTATTTATATTCATTTCATATGGAGCTTTCTTTCTGGGGCTTATCATTATCGAGCCCATATTTATTTATTTGCATGCCAGATGATAGATAGTATTTATGATATATGATTTATGGAGCTTTTATCTCACACAATGGTATGTGATGCCTGGTTTATTAACAGAAATATATATTCACTTTTGGGCATTGTTACCAGCACAATTTTTACACGATTGCATTGGTGAGGCACAATGAATAAGCACACACTATTAAAAGCACACTAATATCGCTATCATTAATATCACATGAGGTACTAATATTGATTAAAAACGTTTGTGACAAGCAAATTTTTTTTTTAAATACCATAAATACAAATAGGCAAGGTTCTTCAATAAATGATACATTATGGCTCATGAATTAGATTGTGCAAACATTTATGAACTGATGATATTTGAGTCCAAATTGGGTCACGCTGTAAGGTATCGATCACATGTTGTTGTTAACTGGTTGAAACAGGAAAAATGAAGACGTTTAGTTTGATGGCATTATATGACTATGAATATGAAGGATGCATTTTTCTATAAGATTTTATTAATCACTACATGCAGAATTGGTCATATGAACAAAAGACGGGGAAAAAAACCTTGCTGTTACATACATCATGACACCTTTGTGGGGATGGTTTTGAATGCCTAGATGGATTGTGTATTGCCAAGAAGAACCGACTGGGATTATCATTAACCCCTTGCCCCTGGGAACTGGCTGGTTCCTGTATTTAAGCCCACAGGACCGACAGAGTTCAGTAGCCATGTTTCTTCTAGATGAATACAGATATTTGCATGTTGTGCATGTACCTTCATCATTATTATTTTAACTGCATGGCAATTCGCATGTTTCTTTGAGTTTCTTTGAGTTTCTTTAACATTGCAATGAATGTATTTTCTTTTCATATATTCAGTGGTGTCAGCATCTTAATTTCTGTTTTGTTATTTTAAAACGTTGCTACATCATTTGCAGTTCCAGCAATTAGTAAGATACAGGCAAAAGAAAATCTCAAAATGAAAAATGGGGAAAAGGTTACTGTAGGCATCTATTCTTATTACACTGTAGTTCTTAATAGATGCATTTCTCTATACTTGCTCTTAATAATTCTAGGGGAAATTATGGTAAGGATGTTTTTATCTTTCACTTTATACACCATTGTTTTTCAATTTATCAGTAATAACTTATACATGTCCAGATGTGGACCTTTTTCTTTATGAACAGCAACAAACAAAGAAAGAAACAAACAAATAGACAGATAAGTAGAACGGTTTAGATTTCTCACCTGAACTGAAAAGAATATATCCATTAAGATGTCTAAAGTTGTCTAAAGTTATCCAAAGTGAAAGAAAGATATTAATATTGTTTTCTAGTCAAGGGTGACAAAAGCAAAAATTAAAATTGGTACTTTGAACAATAAACATGTACTGTATTCCTCTTCCCTACCCAATTCAGAAGGAGAAAAATGTGATTGACTCAGAACTCATAGTACCCTGTTTCCTTGCTATCATTTGACAATGATCATTAGTATGATCATGATCACTTTCTTATTACTTATTATGATTGCTACTGTCAATTCTAACCTTAATTTGAAATCCTGATTGGCTATCTCCTTGATGTTCATCCCGTAATAGGAGAGAAGGCGATGCATGATGCGGACTTCACCTGTGCCTTGTTCCGATTCCTGCAGCTGCTCTGTGAAGGTCACAACTTAGGTAACGATCATGCAACCTCAAAGGCATCATTCTGTAGATATAAGTCTTGGGCAACTCCAAAGTACATTCTATTGTGTCCTATACAGTATGTTACCAACTATATCAAAGATTCCTGCAGCTGCTCTGTGAAGGTCACAACTTAGGTAACAATCATCCAGCCTCAAAGGCATCATTCTGTAGATATAAGTCTTGGGCAAGTCCAAAGTACATTCTATTGTGTCCTATGCAGTATATTACCAACTATATCAAAGATTCCTGCAGCTGCTCTGTAAAGGTCACAACTTAGGTAACAATCATCCAGCCTCAAAGGCATCATTCTGTAGATATAAGTCTTGGGCAAGTCCAAAGTACATTCTATTGTGTCCTATGCAGTATGTTACCAACTATATCAAAGATTCCTGCAGCTGCTCTGTGAAGGTCACAACTTAGGTAACAATCATCCAGCCTCAAAGGCATCATTCTGTAGATATAAGTCTTGGGCAAGTCCAAAGTGCATTCTATTGTGTCCTATACTGTATGTTACCAACTATATCAAAAGATTTTATTTAAGCTTAGTCATGAACAAGTTACGAGTACCTTATCTCCTCAAATTAATCATACCTCTTTCAATCAATTGTTAATTTACAATGAATAGTTACAAGTTACGAGTACCTTATCTCCTCAAATTAATCATACCTCTTTCAATCAATTGTTAATTTACAATGAATAGTAACATATGATTAATATTATTTTACATGTACAGGGTGTAGATACAATGCATGGTAAGATATGGTTAATTTCAGCAAGATTGGAGATACAAAAATTGTTGCAATTGATTATAAGTTAATTTTTATGTTACAAGGAACTGACAATAGTATTACACAAGGTACATAGTAACTTGAAATCTCTAGTTTTTATAAGAATACATGTAAGTAATAAGGAGGGTGATTTCTTTGATGGTTCTTTTGTTCATTATTCTGTTTTACTTGTTGACACATGGGACACAAAGTGACCAAATACTGTTTCTTGGACCTGCCTACATAATTCTAAGCTTTTCTTAGCTAAATGTCATGAATTTCATTTACTTGTGTCAACTTCGTTGATCCTGAAATTATATATATGGCTTGAGAGTTACCTCTTAAAGGTTTATATACTGTCAGTATTGATTGATCTATTGAAAAAGCATATCAATGAAAGCATCATCATTCGAAGAGTAGGAGCCCTGTTTTGTAAATAATACTTTGTTTGTCAGTTTGAAAGATCTGTGGTGAATCAAATACTGTATATTGATTTCAGTAGCTTATATCAATTTGTGTAACTTGATATTGCTATAAACAGGACGTAAACTTTTTAAGTATTGTTTCATTGATGTGTCCTTTATTTAAAGAAAGTTTATACAATGACCTTTCTTGCTTTGCTTTGGTTCAATATCAGAATTTCAGAATTATTTGAGAACACAAGCAGGCAACCACACCACAGTCAACATCATCATCTGCACTGTGGATTATCTTCTAAGACTACAGGTCAGTGAACCTTTAAATTACTCATTTGAATGATTGATAATGTGCATATAAATTTCTAAAGTTCTTATTCAAGATTCATATTCCAATTCCATTTGTAGAAAATTATTCTTATTCAGAGACAAAAAAGTACAGTACTGAATATGTATAAAAGTCTCGAAACAATTAGATATGAGGATTCTGCAAGTTAAGTTTTGGGTCTTTCTAAGCTGTAATTCTACTAATGATCACATCATTTTAGTGTCTGCTATATTTCATGGGTATTTAGATAAAAATAAAGAAATTACCCTGAAAATGTATACGCATTAGTTATTCTTCACTAAATTTGAACGAATGGTCAAATTAATTCTGTTTTCCTGCAGTGATTTTATGTGCATACATGTACTTGTAGTTGAAGTCTTTTTTTCTTTTGAAAAATATCCTTTTCATATAGGAATCAATCAGTGATTTCTACTGGCACTACTCTGGCAAAGATGTTGTCGATGCTCAGGTAAACTATCTCTCTCTCGTTTGTATGCTGTAAATACTTGTGTATTTATTCAGTACTGGTATATTTCAGAAATGTATTATATAGTGTAATGATATGTAACATTGGCTTTGGAAACCTTTTCAGATACATGGTTTTATGTCCGGGTGCTCTTCAAGGCACGCTTAGTGTCAGGTTGTGAATATCCTTCATCGTCTTTTGATGTGTTTTACCCTTTTAAATATTGGAAGGAGAAAGGATCTATTATTTTGCTCAGTTATCATTATGTAGAATATGGTCTTCTTTTCATAGTGAAGAGATTTTGACTGGAGTATTCTTCAATAACATTTACAAAAACTTCCATTAAATGTCAGATGTTTATTCAAATCCAAAGCATGAACATGTATGGACATATCTGTGACCAGTTGATTAACGTGTTAAATACAATTTGATTTTGGTATATCAGGAATTTTCCACTCTCTAGCCTGATATGATGCTCAATGGTTTAAAACTAACAACCATTGAATGGAATAAAGAATAAAGAATACAATAAGTAATGAAACATATATGAACTAAAAACATGCATGTAAGTATATTTAAAGAACCAGAAGTTCTGTGAATTCTCATAACTCTACTTTGTCTTTTGAGGCATGACAGTTTGACTATTTTACTCTTACAACAGGGTCGAGAGAACTTCTCCAGGGCATTCAAGGTAGTGAAGCAAGTCTTCAGCTCCCTGACTGAATACATACAGGTACGTGTTACTAAACCTTTTCTTCTTCTGCGTGTTCGCAGATCATTAAACAAGTATTCTATCAGTTTCTACTCTTCTTTTGCTTTGATCTTCCTCTTTCCATCTTTTCGACATGTTCTGTGTTGTCGGTACAAGTTTTTCCTTGCCTACAGACCTCTCAGTGATAAAAGAGATCATGTTCTCTACATTTTCACTCTTTTAGATCCATTACTTGAGGCAGCATCCCTGTTAAGGGAACCAGTTAGCCTGGCCCGAAGTCGTCTGTGAATTCATCTTTTCGCCTACCTCTAGTAGATGCCTTCTTGAGTCCCCTAATTATATTTGTCATTTTAAACTTAGATTTTGGATCTCACTCTCTTTATCTCTGTCTGTCTCTCTCTCTCTCTCTCTCTCTCTCTCCTGTCCACCATTCCTCCTCCCTCACTATCTTCTCTTCTGTACCTCTCTATATGTCCATACTGTTGTGTTAAATTTAGACATATGATCTCAATTAATTTTCTTTCAATCAAAACTTTTCCCACAGGGTCCATGTTCTGGAAACCAGCTAGCCCTGGCCAATAGTTGTCTCTGGGATGCTGTTGTAGGGTTCCTCTACATCTTTGCCAACCCCCAGAAGAATTCTTAGTCCCTTACATGTACATCCATTTTGTTATTTTCAATTAGGATCCTGAAATTCATTTTTCCCCTTTCTCTCTCAAACCATTTCCCTCTCAGGGTCCATGTTCTGGAAACCAGCTAGCCCTTGCCCACAGTCGTCTCTGGGATGCTGTGGGTGGGTTCCTCCACATCTTTGCCAACCTCTGGAAGAGTTCTTAAGTCATGTACATGTACATCCATTTGGTTATTTTCAATAAGGATACAAGATGTAATTATTTTCTTTTTTGTTCTTGCTTCTCTCTCAAACCATTTCCCCCTTCAGGGTCCATGTTCTGGCAACCAGCTAGCCCTGGCCCACAGTCGTCTCTGGGATGCTGTGGTAGGGTTCCTCCACATCTTTGCCAACCTCCAGAAGAAGCTGTCCCAGGACACCAGTCAGCTGGAGCTCCTCCGAGAGCTGCTCAACCTCCACAAGGAGATGGTCGTCATGCTGCTCAGTATGCTTGAAGGTCAGCTAACAATATCTCTTTTGTTATCATAAAAAAACACTTTATTCAAATTAATGATTTTTTTTCTTCTTTTTCTTATCACATTAATTTTAGGCTTATAGAGTGCATTGTGTGTTGCCATCTTTATGCGCTAAACACAATAACGATAAAACAAATTTATAAGCATGCTTGTTAGTACTGTAATGCATTTTAGATTTTGTCAATTAAAGCTAGGTGTTATCAAAATCATATTTCATATTACCTGTACCACCTAGTCCTTAAGGCTAGTTTGTGAATTTCTTGTTGAGTTATTATTTCAGCACTATTGCACCTTAAGAATTTGATTTCAAGTGCATTTGGTGCATTACAAATGTTTTTATTGTTGTTGTTGTTATTAGTATTAGTAGTTGCACAATATCATTTTTTTTTTAATGTTTCTTCATGACAGGTAATGTGATGCATGGGACCACTGGCAAACAGATGGTGGATACTCTCGTGGAGTCATCATCTAACTTGGAGGTAAGCCGACACGATGTCAGGATCGATAGATCACTTTTACATTGTATATCTACAGTAATGATTCCAAAAATAGAAGATATTGTCGTCTTGGAGCCACAAGGCGTGTTACAGATGTTTATGCATGGGTATATAGTTAGTTTAGTTTAGTTTATTTCTTTATTAAAAAATCACACCCGTCATCAGACGGCTGGCCTAAAAAGGCCTATGAGTGATACATCAAAAATAACAGTCATAAACAATTTGACATGATAACATAGTACAAATATAAGTATAACATAATTACAATCACAGGGAAAAAAAAAAAAGAAAAAAAAATTATTCATTTAAGTAGTACAAAAGTTCTTGGCGAGTTGTTAGGATTTGGTTTGCAAAACTGGCTATTAAACTGCTTAGTGAGTCAGCTGAAATTAGGTAAATAAATTGTTGGTATGTGGAAAGATCTGAAAACGTATGGTCATGTTCTATTATATCATAAAGAAGTTGTGATCTGATGTCATTATATGCAGAACAAATCATAAAACAGTGGAACTCATCTTCTATGTTACTAGAATTACAAAAAACACAGTATCTTTCTTCATATGGGACATTTTGATAACGCCCAGTTTCAAGAGCTATAGGGGCACAACCGCATCTAAACAAAGCCAAAGCACGTCTGTTTGATCTATTTTGACATTCTATTACATATTTTGACGTGTTCAAAGATTGTTTAAAATTTCGATAAGTTCTAAGTTTATTTTTAGCATGAGCTTTCTTCCTTTTATCGTCAAAAATTGAATTTCTCCATCTATTCTCGATAAATAATTTACATGACGATGACACAGTTTTTACAAAATTGTCTGTACTAACAAGATTAGCTAAAGGTAAAACATGTACACATTGTAATTTTGAAAAAAGCTCTTTGACTCTGAAACACCAGTTTTTGACTCCATTGTTTGCTAGAGATTTAGACCAAGAAAAGATTTTACTTGGGTAGCGGTCACTATTGAGTTTACTTAAGTTACTCCATAATCTAACAACCGATTGAATTTGGTGATATATAGTCGTTCATGATTTAAGCAACTTGGCGATCACTACATAACACTTAGCCAACAGGTATTTGCTGCCCTCTATATACCCATGCATGAGCAACTTTAACTCATAATTTTAAATGAACAGTCAATGCCCTTCTCTCTCTGAACAGACTATATTTGTTTATGTGAATCGGCCAAAGTAAATGGTCGGCCAATGTAAATGATAAACGAAAGTGGTCTTTACCTTGATGAATGAAAATATCCCCCTTCACCTTGAAAAAGTAATTTGTTTTGTTTGAACAGCAATCTACTAAAAATGCTGAGTATACAATGTATATACATGCACATGTTATATGCATTGAAGAAAAGACATTCACGGAACAATCTCCTTTAGCGTTGGGAAATTATGTAAATTATCATTGTCATGACTGTCATGATATCAACATTATCAATTTAATATCTGAGTTTTACAAAGAAGGATAGAAACAGATAAAATCTCACTCTTACAAGTGATATTCTGTAGATCATTGCTACATTGTATGTGTACATGTACAGTGCATCAAGTCTTTGCAGCATTCCTAACATGTCGATTTTGCTCTTTGTTTGTATCTGCAGATGATCTTGAAGTTCTTTGACATGTTCCTCAAACTGAAAGACCTTTCCTCTTCCGATGCATTTAGGGTGAGTATTAAAGGCATTGGGTGGTATTCTCATAAGTTAAGCCGTGACTAAGTCCAGACTAAACCAGAATTTTAGTTCACACTTCTATGGAATGCTAGGTTTCATCTTCCTCCTTCATTATTCATAACAAAGATAATCTACCAAAGACTTTGTTGAAATTCAGTTCATACTCATATTATCTTTTTCTTCCCATTTAATTGCAAAATTAATTTTTTGGACACTTTTCATTAAAGAATAAAAATAATCTGTACAGGGTAAATGAGTTGACAACAGGCACTCCAAAAAAGTGTGGACTAACTTAGTACACACTACCGAAATACCACCTATTGTTTAACAATGCTAAATCTGAGATGCTTGACCCTACATGTACTTGTTATCAGCGTCTGTGATATAGTGTAATATTGTAGCCCTAGAAAGAATTGCGCTTCAAAATGATCATGAAGTGCTTCAAAAAAGTAAAAATCTTTGAGTGACTGGTTTTACCATACTCATTTCCCCCGACAGACGGTAGTTTTATAAAAACTGTGCCAGTCATTCGCGAAAATATCTGTACGCAAAAAATATCAGCTTATCCAGTAAATCAAGATGTGTTTCTTTCTTGACAGGAATTTGATGCTAATGGCGATGGTTGGATCTCACACAAAGAGTTTCAGAAGGCTATGGAGGCACAGAAGATGTACACAGTGTAAGTCATATGAACAGGCATCATGATGTAATTGGGCATTCAACAGCATGTAAATCTCGAGAATAGTGTACTAGAAATGACAACTAACTAAGAATAATAATCAGATTGGAATAAATTGGACAAAACAACAACAAACAAAATAGAATAAACCTATTGCTAAGCTTGTGTTGATTTTGGTCATCATTCAAAATGCATTTTTTCTTACTAGTAGTTTATTGCGAGAATGTATCTATATACATTTAAAACCATCAAATCGGCACCACACAAGCAAATGCATGTTACGCTGATCTGTTTCACGATGGTGTTCTATTTACGATCATGTGGGATGTATTGAAGTTGGTAATATATGAGCAAATTAATGCAAAGTCACTATTTACCTGACACACTAATATTTTCATTTTCATTTTATTTCATTTTTATACTGATAGAGATGAGATTGACTACCTGTTGAAGTGTGCAGACAGGAATAACGATGGAAGGATCGATTTCAACGAGTTCACAGAGAGATTCCACGGACCAGCCCAAGACATCGGTATAGGAAATATTTCCAGCCTTAGTGTAGTTTGATTAATAGTAATGAATGTTACTGTATGTATATCTATTTGTGTGTGGGTGAGTGTTGATGTGAGTGTGGGTGGGTATGTATGCATGTGTGCTCACTTCGAGGATGTCCTCGGTTCATGGATCCTTTGATGTAGGGGTACATAATTATATTAAGGTGCTCTATTTGCAAAGAAAAAGTAAATCCTCACTTCGAGGATGTCCTCGGTTCATGGATCCTTTGATGTAGGGGTACATAATTATATTAAGGTGCTCTATTTGCAAAGAAAAAGTAAATCCTCAGTTATGTAGTACACTTCCGAATCATCTTCGGGATGTTATATATTACTACAAACATGTTTGTAATAATGGATTAAAATACTGATCTGTACAAACTAGTCACTGATTTACAGCAGAAACGTGTACAAATTTGTGTGTGTGTATATTTATAAGTGTATTTACACCCTTTTTACACTTTATTTCACAAAAAAACTGCCTTTCTCTGCAAAATTGAGAACTTACTTTAGTAGTGACATATAATTTTTAAGCTGAAGATTATTTACATGTACAATGTACATGTATATATTTTCATTATCTTTTTGGAATTACTTGATATTTGACCCAATTTCCCTTAAACCAATAATTGATGTGAATAGAATGTATAATGTCATTGATCCCAGCAAGTCTCATTTATCATTTAGTATGTAAGATATATTTATTCCTTCTGAATTTCAGGTTTCAATCTTGCAGTGCTGTTGACCAACCTTAATGATCACATGCCAGGTGAAAGAAGGTAAAAAAATATTTAGAAATATATTTTGCATTCTTTTAAAAAGAGGTTTAATATAAGAAGTAAATTATCACAGTGTAGTGGAGAATGTTTATATTCAGTTTATAAATGGTCATCTTCATTCATCGTGCAACAAAGGAAATGCAGTTGAAGTTATTGCTGCCTGTTTTTGTGAAGGAACATGATTATGCAATAGAATAAAGAATTACAAATTTGTTAGAAACATGATACGATTGACTGGTACTATGTCGTGTTTTGAGAGCCAGAAAGTTGTCTACTTTGTGTAAAAGCATGGCGGCTCTCAACCGACTGTGTTGTTTTTAATGTTTCATGTATGAAAAGTGTGATATATTTCTATTCATATGAAATACTGTTACCTCTGATTGTTTAACAGGTTGGAGCGGTTCTTACTGCAAGCAGAGAGCTTGCTGACCTACTTTGAGCCCTACCTGGGTCGTATTGAGATCATGGGTGAGTTCTGCACTGCCTCTCCCTCTTTCCATGAAAGTCTTGCATCTACTGTACAACCGCTGTAGCCAACTTTTATTTAAAGCTTATCTGTTAGTTAAGTGTGTGGCTCAGTCAGTAGAGCGTCATACCAAAAGACATAAAAAGACAGGATGCTGCTATCTTGTTTGGCGTTCAACAATAAGGGATAGAGCAACGTCGATCTGGCGCTGCTCAGTGGCTGCCGGGCTCACGTTCAATTGGCCAAAAAGAATTTCCATTTTCGGTTTAACTTAATAAAATTTGGAGTGGACTTTAAAAGATTATTATTATTATTAAGTGGAATATTTTGGGAGCAGCAACAGAGAGTACAGAGGAAAGTTGTGATCTTCAACAGTTAAAAGCACTGGTGATCTTGTATGTATGCAGTGCCATATTACTGTTATCAAAACTACTGTATGCTATATTTAATGTTAGCCTGTTTGATATGATTACCTTTCATTCAGTATGCACTTTTATTGAGTTTCTATCATGAGTTATCTCTGTCTTCCATATTGAATGGATTGAATGACAGTTACAATTTATAAAACACTATTTTATTTTAAACATATTAAGCTGTTTTTTAATATTTTACTTCCTTCATATTTATATAACTGTTTATTTAATTGATTACCATTTGATTATGATAACTTATAATAATGACAAAAATGAATATAATGATGATGATGATGATGATGATGATATAGTACTTGTATATGTACATGGAATCCTACATGTATGTAAGAATGTATGTCTTTTGGCTGTATGGTTTTATCTCACCATAGCATATATTAGGAAGATCAGTTTGATGTGACGAAACGATCTGAATTTGTCTACCAATGATTTCAAATACTATGTGCTTGAAGAGAGTCACAAATTTATGCTAATCATGTATTCTCTCAATCATTCTATCTATTTGATATATTTTTCACCTGCAGGCAGCAGCAGGGGCATTGAGCGGGTGTACTTCAAGATCACAGAATCACACAAGGCACAGTGGGAGAAACCCCAGATCAAGGTACATTGTCAATCATTTATCTTGATTCTAAAAAATAGTACCCCCATAAAAGATATGACAAAGCTACTGGGAAGAACATTTGTTTAATGCAGATTAAACATTATTTTTGTCATCAATCAACTTCAAAGATATTATCACAGCAAGAAGACTATTTAATTATTTAATTAAACCCTCCTGCACCTCAACACACATGAAATTATGAACAGTATTAAAACAAAAAAAAACAAGTTTTTACCTGTGACTATGACTGTGGTGGTTTTTTGTTGTCTCATAAATCTCCTATTCACCAATATTCATGAATATGTATAAGATTAAATATCAAATTACATATTATTTTGATATTTAATCTATTCCAAATAGAAATACAAATAGACCAGAAGATAATAGTTGTAAGAAAGGATATTGGAAACAAGAAATATTCACTTCTGAATATTATTTTAAATTATGCGCAATATGCAATTTATAAATGTTAAGAAGATCGTTAATGGTTCTGTTTACTACCCACATACTTTGTTTTTTGAACTCAAGTCGTTGCTAAGATTATTTTTAAGATATGAATGTGTTAGCAAAGAAAATAATACTAAGCTGGAAGAATTGTTGAATGTACTTTAATCTTTAACCTATGTTATGTTTCACTCAATTATTGAGTTATTAATGTACAAATGTATTATTATTATGGAAATAAAAACCTCGTTTGAGGATAAGAGAAAAAAAAATGAATATGTATAAGATTTGTAACAATATTGATGTTATGCAGATTCTACTACAAAATTTCAGGGACTAGTGGTTCATCCTCTTGTCTTTCAATCTGGAAATTGTGGGTTTAAATCTTTCCCCACAGACAATATTTAGGTCCATTTACTCTACTTTGGTTAGATATTCACCAAACCTTTAGAATAGCTTCTCCTTGTCCATTAGGCATATACTTGTATCTTCAATTAACCTCTCATTGACAATTTGAAAGGCTCCTTAATGTAAGGAATTTTCTAATCACCCCAAATTATAGTACTTCTTCTAAATTTCTCTGGATGATAGTTTGCCATCCTTGAATATTGTTGAAAATCATAATTTTATCACACAGAGGTAGAACCAGATCATAAGGACATGGGGCTGGTAAATACATGTTTGATTTCGATTAGGTTTAATATTACCTAGCCTTCATTCAGATCTGTCAAAAAAGAACTTTTAAATAAAAGACATCTCTAAGTATTATCCCTTTTTTGTGCTGAATGTATCTTTTCGTACCACTTCATTTGGCTAAGCTACCTTAAGGAGTTGAGAATATGGATACACTGTTCAATATAGTTATATGTATGAAGGAATAGCATGTTTAAATATTTGTATCCAGAAATTTTTGATTTGTTGATTCATGTGTTTGTTTGTTTTATTGTTTGTTTGTGTTATAGGAATCTAAACAACAGTTCCTCCACGAGGTGGTCAATGAAGGAGGAGAGAAGGAGAAACTGGAAGACTTTGTCAACTTCTGTGAGGACACCATCTTTGAGGTGAGCTTTACTCTCCTATAGTTTCTCTATATTATCATGCCGAGAGATGCAATAGTTCAGCTATGTCAACCATATTTAGTAGTGATTTGGCAGTGATGCACAGATCAACAAGTCAGCATTTTTGTTTTAAAATGACGATAACTGCTCTTGTATGAGAAGGCGGAGTTATAAGAGTTCCTATAGATAGATAGTACAGGTACATACAGGTAGGGATTAGTTTTGGTAGTAGGTTAGTAGTAAATGATTAAATGTCACAAAATTATGACTACCCCATGTCAGGAAAACTTTGTCTGAAGAGCCATAAGAGCATCAAGTCTTTGTTAATGGATATCTTCTCGGCCCTAAACAAAAGACTCTGTGATAGTAATATACTGCGCATGCAAGAAGAATGATAACGAGGAACTTTTGTGCATGACCATAAAAATTTAACAATAATAATAATAATTGGATTTATAAATTGCCTTTTCCAGAGGATACCAGGTGCTGTCCCTTCTTTAAGAGAGAATTCAGAATTGTAGAGGTACGTTATATATAATGGAATGGTGTACTCCATTCTCCACTTCTAACTTGCCACGACCTGTAATTTTTCCCCCTCACAGATGCAACACGCAACCAGCATCAGCGACACCGGCGAGAGCCTCCCCGAGGTCTTCATGAGCCTGCTGACCTTTGGCGCCAGCCGGGACTCCAACAACTGGCTGGTGTGGCTGGTGAGGGGGATGAGGCCGTCCAACATCCGCAGGCTGATGGGAGACTTCTTCAGCAGCTCGCAGTACAACATCAAGCAGATCCGCTCCCTGTCGCTCTTCAGGCTCTTCTTTGGCGTCATCAAGCTCATCTTCCTCGGCGTCTTCAAGCTCTTCAAGTTTGCCTTCGTCATTGTGGGGTGAGCCAAAACAGACATTCTTGTCACTCCTTCTGTCTGTCTGTATGTTTGTCTGTCTCTCTCTCTCTCTCTCTCTGTCTGTCTGTCTATCTCTCTCTCTATGTCTGTCTGTCTATCTCTCGCTCTCTCTCGTGCTCTCTCTCTCTCTCTCTCTCTCCCTCCCTCTCTCTCTCTCTCTCTTTCAGTCTCAGTATGTTTTTACCCTATGGGCAAGGCTAAAGTATTTGGTCAATTGCTGCCTTATATTTATCAAAATATTGGAAAATAATTGACATTGAAAGTGTCACTTGCTTTGCATGTGTATCTGTTATCTAAGGCTGTTGTAAATAGTTTTGTTTCTGTTCAAACTGTTGAGTGTCAAAGATATCAAATGTGCGACTATCTCCTGTATGCTTTCTTTTGCACTGATCAGGGTACTGATATACATGTATGAACAGTTTTCTTTTACATGACCGTGTGAGTGCTTGGTGATGTGCCTGAGGAATGTACTTGCATTTTCATTGTCTATTAAGCCAAATACTCATTGATCATTCATAGCACAAAATAAGGGAATGTGAAATGTTAGTGGTTTGATGTAAAGGCAGTTTGCTTTTGCTGATGAGCTACTTTGATTTGGTGGCCTGTAGTGCATGTAAACTGAAACACTTATTGGCAATTATGGTCTAGTGTTTTGGGTTTTTTTTTTTGCTACCAGCATTATCATTGAGCATCATTGTATTGGGAGTGTAAACTCAGGAATCAAACTCTGTATAGAATAGCAAGATCGTTGCAAAGAAGTGATTTAACAATTTGGTTTTAATGAAATGAGATGAAAGATGAAGGATGTTTTTTCTCCTTAGGAAATCTGGAAATGGTGTGTTAAATTAGCAATGGGGAAAATATTTTGCTTTCCTTACTCTTTTCTTTTGCACATGCCCCCCCCCCCAAACTACTGGATTCCAACTCTTTACTAATAATTGCATAAGACCTATGTTCCTTATTCCTAGTTGACAGGGATGCCAGTTTACAGGCAAAAGCCTGAATTTAGGCGCTGTCAAGTTATTTTCAGACCATAGTTTAGGCCTTTTGTGTACAAAATAGCTCATTCTAGGTGATTTTCAGGCCCTCTGATCAATTCTTAACTGACATCCCTGCTATTAGGACTTAGTAACTAAGTGTGCTACCAATAGTAACACACTTAGCCCCCCCCCCCCCCCCAATATTGTGTTAGTGATAAGAGAATGCCAAGTCCAGTAAATATTCTAGTCTAGCGCCATCATGTGGCCAAGTATATACAGTGGCATAAATATCTTGGTCTCCCAGGATGTGTATCAAATCCCACTCTGTGTGCTTTAATTTGATTGCAAGTTGTGATGCCTTGATGCTGGGTTTCATATCAGATTTCAATTAAAGCTGCACTCTATGGTTTGCTTTGAGGAAATGATATAGTTGAGAGTATTTAAAGTTCTTATTGGCTTCACTTTCATGAATGTTTTCTAGACTTTGACTCCTATGAGTCATAAGATGTATTTGTCAAGGGAATATAATATTAAAGATACAATAGTATGAAGATTTTTAATGGTATTTATGATGAAATGCTGAAACCTTTGAGTGGATGGTTCTTCTAGCACTGCTCCTTTTAGTGATGGAAATAACGCATTTATTTTTCTCGTTAATGTTGATCATGTGTAATTCAAAATAGTATTTGATTATCGTGAGGGCTATCAAAACAAAATAAATTCTTATGTATATCTAAATACCAGAAGAAAACCCCATCCCTAATTTTTTTTATTTCTATAATATTTATTTATATTTTTTTAATGTAAATGAAAATGAGTTTTTGAAATGCAAATAAAAAAAATTGGAAGGAAATTTAAACAATGGAAAATATTGGATGTTCTTGTAGATGTAGATTCACATCACAATGCCCCCTCAAGATTGTCTTTAAAATTGCATTTTTTTTTAACATCACACATCATTTTTTATGATTTTCATGTGCAATTGACCAGATGGCATGTAATACATGCACATTCAGGATGAGTGCATATTCTGTTCCATCCAATTATACAAATTTCTTTCTTCAATTAAACCTTTAATAGATACAGAGTTATATGATTTGGTTAATGGCCCTTGAATGTACCATGCACAAACATGACTCCATAAATTGGTGCAAGGTTGAAATAACATTTTCTTTCCTATTCAAGACAATCCATCTGTCAAAAACATGCAAAGAGGAAGCGAAATGAACATGTTACTCTTATAATTTAGTGCCCCACCCCCATTTCATGCATGTTCCAATGTTAGGCCAACAACTGTCATAAATGTTTATGACCTTTGTCATCTTTCCCCATGAGATAAAATAATACTAAAGAAGGAAGCAAGCACACATAAACGTCACAAAGCTTGTGAGTAATTTTAATCCCTTGTGTATATGTTTAGTCACTGTGAAGAGGAAATAAATGGATATACCAGTATATTCTATCCATGCATGAAATTAAATACCCTGAGACAGTATTTGGTTAATACCTGAAGGTTTCTTTATGCCACTTCCTTTCACGGACTAGTGTCCAAGCATGGTTTATATGCTTGCAGAATACTGGGATATAAATTACAACAAAACTGGAGAGAGTCCGGTTTGAAGGGATTAGACCTACTTTTTAGAAATTAACAAATTAACATATCTGTTTGGAAATTCCCATACTGTTTGTTTAATATATATATGTAGTATTTTGGTGCACAAATTAAAAATATAATTGAGAAACATTGATCTGTACATGTATCTTTTAATGTAGTTTTAATTGGTTGCCATTTGTTTAAATGGTATTTTATCCATTTATAATCAGATAAATTAAAAAGCAAAAATGAAACCTTCTCAGTAAGTTTAAATATAAATGATCACATTCACTTATGCATATTTCTTCAATGTATCAAGTAGCAATTAATCATCACTTTTGAAGTGTTCACTTGAAGTGCATAGTGTGCAAACACTTAATTAATCGTTAATCAAGGTTAACATTTGGTCAAAGCACAGGATTGAAAACAACTGAATGTCTGGTCTTGGTCTCAACAATGGTGATCCGAAATTTGCACCAGCAACTATTGCTTTTGACTTTATTTTGCCAAAACTACATAGGATTAGGATTGCAATTGTGTTTAGAATATAGGTTAAGGGTTAGGGTAGGGTATGGTGTTTGGAATAGCATTAAAGTTAAGAATCCAATTAGTGTAAGAAATTACCACCGAGGAACAGTTACAGGAGTATGTGTTGTACATCCTTGACAATCCAATACTAGGTTGCAGACAGAGATACAACACTTTCTTCCTCAATCAAACACACCTTGTCCCTTTAAAGATAAAGACCAGTTATGGTCATGCGATTGCATTGTGAAAGAAACGTTGTGGGATCGATCAGAAAAGGTTGATCATCTAGCACATAAGTATTGGTGTGTATTGCAAGGTTCTGGAATCTTTAAAATGATAAGAAATTTGGCCAAGTCTTGGTAAAGTTACAAGCACTGTACACAGAAAGATGTATATGGGACTACCCTATATCTATCCAGTCCAGATAGATATAATAATTTACCAAATATATCAATTAGTAGGCAGTTTCCCGGCAAAATTTGTATCATCACGCATTAGTCAAAACATATTCTTTCACATGATTGGTAAAAAGAGCTTCCATTTCATTTTTTGAAATGGAGGCGTTTCCAAAACTGGTCTTTACCTTTAACGTTGATTGAGGAAGTGTAAGCTGTGAAACCGTAATGTGATTTCCTTTGCTGTGCTGAGGCTGTGGGATTGAATTCGACTTCCTTGTTCTTTTGCTTGTTAGCCATGAATAGAAACTAGAGCGCTGATTTCCCACGTGAATCGTAATGCCCAGATTTACATTTAGTTGAGGCAGAGCTTATGAAGGTTGGGTAAATAAGTGTTGAGATTTCTTTCACATTATTTCTTCTTTGGTTTTCCCTCTCTTTTTTCTTTCTTCTTCTTTTTATACACTTTCTTCTTTTACTCTCTCTCTCTCTCTCTCTCTCTCTCTCTCTCTCTCTCACTCTGCCTTACTTTCCTGGCAATATCCTCTCGCTCTCTCTGCCTGCCCCCTCCCCCCCCCCCTCTCTCTCTCTCTCTCTCTCTCTCTTTCACGCTCTCCTTCTCTGGCACACCTACTGGTAGCCTAAAGAGTGCTGTGTGTTATTGAATAGCAAGCAATTTGTTTACAATCCTGTATCTGTGCGGCTTATTTCCTAGGGGGTGTTTTTAAAGGGAGAAACTAAGCAAACATATCAATCAAACTAGGCAAACATCTTGTGTTTGTCTACCACCATGATTAACCAACCCAAAGACTAATAGACCATGAGGTATTTTGCTAGTGGATTATTTCTGTCCTGTAAATTATATGGATAAAAATATTAATTCTTATAACAAATGTTGCTGGAGGTGTGAACTTGAAGAGATAAGGAAATTAATGCAGCAAGTGAGAGAGGAAGGGGGAGAGAAATAGAGAGGAGAGGGAGGGTGAAGAGAAGAGAGATACTGAAGAGAGGGCGAGAGAGGGCGAGAGGGGAAGGTGAAGAGAGGGGGAGGGGAGAGAGGGGGAGGGGATCAGGATCATGGAAAGAGGGGGTATAAATGAAGGGACAATAAGATAGAGGAAGAATGGCAGAGAGAAAGAAAGAAAGGTATAGAAGAGGGCGCGCGAGGGATAGAGAGGGACATAGGGAGAGACAGCGAAAGAGACATACACTCTGGAAGATGGAGAAAGACAAAGAGGGAGATAAGATTAGATAGGAGAGAAGCAAACAAAAGAATGGAATAATAAGCACTCAGAGATGGTAGTAATAGAAGATAAAATATAGCGAAAAAAAGGAAGTTTAGAGAGAGAGAGAGAGAGAGAGAGCTGTTAGGCAACATATAAAAGAGGGTAGAATATTGAGAGTGAGAGCTGTAAGGCAAAATATTAAGGAGGGTAGAATATTGAGAGAGAGAGAGAGAGAGACTTTGGGGGGGGGGGCAGGCTGTGAG